ACAGTGGCAAGCGCGCATATCGTGGTTCACCACCGCTTTCGAACTCTTGGCGGTGGTCTCACCGCGAACAATCCCGTACGTGATGCATCTCATGCCGTCCATGCAGCTCCTTGTTTCGTCGGACACACGAGCGATGATTAATTAGTGGAACTAGCATTCCTTGTTGCCAGATCCATGTAACGGCGTGCCGAGCAGCCCGTATAAGCAGGCTCCACGTCCTTGTTCTTCCTCATCTTCTTCAACAGTATTGTCTCCGCCACCAGCATCATATGTGTCATCCGAATATCTGGACCGTTACAATAGCGTCAGCTTTTATTGTCTCCCGTTACAAATAGTTTAATTGGCTGAAAAGTGGCCAAGCCGAGCCGCAGCTCGAGCAGGTGCCCACAAGCCAGAACCCGACGAGCCGAAGAGCAAGCCGGCACGCGCCCACTCAGTGCAGGAGCGGAGGTCATGTTGGTCAAGCTCAAGAGTCGCCCGCAGTCGCCGCCGCCACGAAGCAGGAGGAGACGACGACCGTGATGGTACCATGCTCGTCGAGGCGCTTCTGCCACCCACCCATCCGCCGCCCGCCCCCGAGAAGCAAGACATGAAGAAGGAAGAGATGGCCATGATGGTGCCGGCCATGCTGTCCGTGACGCTGCTGCTGCTACTGCCAGCTAGCCAGCCCCCCCCCCCCCCCGCAGCCACGGTGTGCAGAAGTAGACGGCGTAGGAGACGACCGCCCCCATTAAGCTTGACACGAAGGAGGTGGCGCCGTCCGAGAAGCACAAGACGAGATGGCGCCGGCCGGGCTGGCCCTGGCGCTGCTGCTACCAGTCCGTCCCCCGCTGCCCACCCCCAAGAATCTTGACACGACGAAGGAGACCCCGCCACCAAGAAGACGGACACGAAGGAGGAGACGGCGGCCGTGATCGCGCCGGCTGCGCGTGCCGTTACGCTGCTGCTGCCAACCAGTCGCCCACATCCATGAAGCAAGAGAAGACAGCGGTGAAGGGGTCGTGTTAGTCGTGGCGCTGCCACCGGCCAGACATCTGCCGCCCACCCCCGTTCACTGGGACGCACGTACAGGGACGGCGTGGTGTTGACCATGCTGGTCGTGCACATAACAGTCTGGAACGGTAGCTAGGTGCTCAAGCTCTCACTCATGCTGAAAATGACGCCGAGGCCCAAGACGACGCCCAGTCCTGACGACAGTGAAGGTGACGAGGCCTGTAAAAGCTTTTTTAATTGTCAAGGGTTGTATTAACAGTTTTCGAGAGTCTCGTCTGTTGCTCCCACTTCATCTTGAGGTGGTTGAGAACAAGCAGTATGGAGGAAAGCGAAGATGAAAGCAATAATGCCGGAGGCCTGTCTATCTCTCATGAAATATCTACCAGACTATCACGAGGTGCCGCGTTTTCTGGAACGGAGGAGCTGACGCTACTCCTGCGAAAGCTCGCCCTTTCCAACAGCAAGTATGTGGGGCAGACTACTCTGGGGATACTATGGTGAAGTGGGTCTGTAAACCGTGGCAAGTGTATTATTCGTGGTACGTCTGGATGACCAAGAAACGTAAGCCTACTTAAAAAAAAAAGACACGAAAATCCAAGTATAGTCACATTCCGGTGGGTCAGTGGTGTATCTCTCGTGTTTGTTTGGGCCACAACAAACTCTGCATGTCTACGGCTATACCTTCCGTGAACGATTTACTGGAAATGGTCCGATTCAACAGCGCTTTTGTTGAAGGTCATAGTACAGGACTTGCGCGGGTATCAAACGCCCTATAAGAAATAGACAAGATAAAAAACATGGATGGGCGTCAGGCGACTTTGTATCGAGCTATACGCAAGCGCCTCATGCAAACAAAGATCATGGATGACTATAGCCTGCTGCCTGATTTTTTTACTGCCTTCGAATCCATGAACCCTGGTTCTAGAGTGAGCTGCCAATTGGATGTTGATGGGAAATTTTTCCGATTATTTATTTCTGTCGTCCCGCTTGTAGCGCATTCATTCTCTTTTACTTCCCGTTCTTCAAACAGACGGTACTCACATGAAAAGTGACAACTACAATGGAATTTGTCTTACAATGATTGGACTTGGTGGAGATAGAAAGGTTGTCCCGCTAGAGACAAATGAAAACTTCAGCTGGTTCTTTGCTAATTGCATCGCTAGTGGAATTTCTATGGCCAATCTACCGCTATTCTCTGATCGTGGAAAGCATCGAGACGCCCAGAAACACCTAGCTTCTCTTGGCTATCAAGTCAACTAGCGACATTAACAGCAAAGCACGAGTCACTAAAACTTTGGACCGACTACAAGTGCAATGTGACCCCAAATACAAAAAAAGTATTTTAACAAGGAGCTGTTAAAGTCCTCGTGCAGCGTCCGACCGGTTAATTGTTCAGACACGGAATTCTACGTCGATGATCCTATCACAAAAAAGTCGGAAGTGGTGATGGCGTAATTCCGAAGATCGCCCGCACACACATCGTCAAGCTAGCACCACGTAAGTGTATGCGATGCAACAAACGTGAACACTTACAACTGCCTTGCAGACATCTTCTCGCTGCTCTAGGGAAGATCCAAAATGCAACCGGTACATCTGCGTTAGCGTTAGTGAATACAAGTTACACAGTGAAAGCATATAAGGCATCGTTCGAAGACGCAAAAATCCGTATTCCTTTGCTGAGTGAGATAATTCCGAGCTGGACGGTGCAACCGCTCCCTGAGTACACGACGGTCGGCTCCAATAAGCGTTCCAGCTTGGCCTCTGACAGAGCTAAGGGCGGAGCATTGATTCGGGGAGGGACACGCGCTTGACCTCGACGGGAAAGTCGATATCGCGGCTTAAAGTTCTTATGCCAGTATCACAAGCCCTTAAATTTCCTGATGCCTTCGTTGTTGGCTAGCGTTTCCACGAGGACACGGGGCATAGCGGTTGTTCCGGGAACGCCTTCATCGCAGAACCCACCAGTTATGTGCCTCATTATGTTTCGATAAAATCGTCCCCAACTACGTGTCTGGTCGCTCTCGTTTTTGTCAGGTAACAGGGCAGGGCGGATGTCTTGGTCCTCGATTTCTTGTACATTTCATATATGTAACTTCTGTTTGGTCGTGAAGGCAAAACCCTTGTACTTATTCACTTTTCGCCCTTGGCCTCCATAAAATCGTGAACAGCCTTGTATGCGTATTTTCCGAATAATTCAAGAATAAACAACAAATGTATAAAAGGGCACTGGAGCGCCCTCTTAACCTTTCTAAAGAAAACAGAAACGGGTGTATATATTGTACCTTAACAGAGCACATCTAAACCGTTAGAATATAATCATAACGTTTTCAACACTTGATTAAATTGTCGGTAAATATTTTGCCTATATGTAATTTGACACCGCATCGCGATGTAATAAAATATGCTGGGTGTACGACGCAGAGGCTACAGACTGACTGTTTATTGATAAACACTATAAGATATCCCAAGTCTTGGTACTGATGGTGAAGTGATGCAAGGCGGCACTTGGTTAGCCTACCATAAAGCAAACTCTTTTTAGGCAATCATGAGAATATAATAGTGATAGGTCCAATCGTCTCTACCTTCAATGTTGCACCTCACACCCATCATTCTTAGCCAACCGCGCTCTAACCTAGACCCAGGCACGATAGCTCCGGCCTCGGCTCCGGCCTTCACTCCTACTCGAACTACCACGAGGAATCCGACATTCCTGCTCCCACGCCGATTGCAGTGAGGACTACAGCTCTAACTCAGACTCGTACTCAACTGGTAAGCGATGTTTCACAGTCAAACATACTTGATTGATCACGGCAACGAGTTCGTCCTTCGCTGAAATGATCAACAAAATGTAGCATGGTGTACTTGTGCTGAACAGATTGTCCAGTTTGATTTGTCTGGTGGGTCCCTAAGCTGGATGAAGTGATCTTTAGGTATCATAACTGTGATTTTTGTCTTGCCAGATCTTGTCCGATCGAGCCTCGATAGCATGCCGGTATAGTATATTGCGATTAAATGAAGGGTATTAAAGGCGATCAGCTGTGAAACGTGTTTGCTAATTGCGCTGCATCTGGTCAAGCGAGTGAATCGGGCTCGGGTCATACCAGCAGGAACACCAGCTGAGTTAGCGAATAGTCTTGAGATCTTCGGTATCTACTCCACGCTTCTTTGCTTGGTTGTGATTTCATATGTCTTGCTGTACAATATTGCTTTTGTACGTGGCTAAGTAGTGATAAGAATGTATCAAGCCATCCATCTATTACTTCATATTAACTCTAATCAAGCACTTCCGAAATGTACTATGCTTACAATCACTTGTGTCGAGCATTCGTAAGACAGTTTGACGACAAATCAAATGTAGCAATTTCATTGGTTAATATTGTATTATGTAGTCTCGAGTGTTGCTGCATCTCGGCTCGTAAATTGGACTGATTTATCTGTGTGCGCATTTTGCCCCCTTTACTAGAGGCAGCGCACTTGAAAAATGCCCCTTGAAATGTCCGGGCCTTTGATCCTGACGCCATGCACTAACCTCCTGCTAGAAGATTTAAATATACTTGCCATGAATGGAATGTAAGGACATCATAGCACAGTTATCATGCGACCGTTTGTTCCCGTAGTGGAGCAATGTTTCTTCGCTTTACTGGGGTGAACGACAACAGTCGACGACAACAGTCGTTCACCCCACCACGCCAACTCTCCTTTCTTCAGTAAAGTACTAACACTACATAGGAGATGGAGATTCGGATAGAGCGCGCATACGCAAACCAGTCTACGCTGTAGCATCGACAAAAAGTATGGCTGCAGGCAGTGGCTTAGTTGCAGGAGATACTGAGTAACTCGCCGATGCCGAAGGTCGAGCCCAGCAGCGATATGGCGCGCGCCGAGCGCCCGCGCAGCAGTGTGGAGCTCCTCCGCACCTCAGCGTCGTAGGTATAAGATCTAGGTATTATCGCCGTTGCAGAATACGTGGTTGCATTTTGTTGCTGGACTGTAATGATTAGGTAAGAGGGGGTTGGAGGATCTCGGGAAGCCCACTGGCAACACCGTTCCCTGGCTGCCACGCCTTCACAACTACTATGATGTACGCTCAAGCATAAAATTTACTACATTAAAATGTACATGTAGTACCGTTACGAGCTATTTGTCCCTCTTAGTTTACGTCTGCCAACTTCATCGTAACTCCGTGCCCTACAACGGCTGCACCTCTGAGTGGAACAGCTCCACGGACTGCATGCACGCGTTCGTGCAGTCATTATGCCGATATTTAAGCTTGCTGCCAGCGGCCAACTACAGGCACATCGCTTCGTGTGTGAACAAGAGGCTACTTACCCTACCGCACCATGCAACTGCATCGTTTCGGCGCTCAACGTTGCCACCGCGTCCGCGGCAACGATGCCGCTGTGACCTGAACACTTTTGGCCAATTGTATGGCGCAAACTAGTGTCCGACAAACTGTCTTATGTTTTGACAGATAATATGCAATGTAGCCACTGGTATACAAAAACCAAGATGTAGTCAAAACGCATTGATCGGAAAACGTAAGACGCTTTGTCTTATGATAGGCATTCTCGGGCTAAGTATCGTCTTACAAAAGAGCATGAATCACTCTTGAAACAAAAAAATGTTTTTGGAGTATACTATGAATGCAACCAACAAACAAACGGGTTGACCTGGCTTTGGGTGGTGGGGCCCGATGCAAAACACGGGCCCAGCCGGTGAACCGGGACCTCTCGCACCCAAAGCGAGAATCATACCACTAGACCACTAGGCCGCTAACCTAACCTCAACAAATACACATGTCGCGCATACTGCCACAAAACAACACGCACACACACTCAACCACGCTCTGCACGCACACCTCCACCACCATTCGATTCTGTGCCCGCTTGTCGAGTCGCGGATCTCCGGTTCCTTCTCTAGACCATCTTATCGACGATTTACTGATATCAAATTATAGAGGTGCGACACAGAGGAGGCGACACAAGCATCCAGGCCGGTATTCCATACGGCAGCGCCATCGCAGAGACTCGTACTTTGCACCCGATGGCCACAAGCACACACAACCATGGTGCGTCGGGCCAACGGCACAACGCCGAAAACGACCCACCAATCCGAGCATGTACGTAGCAGTGTGCAGTCGATCAATACCAACTACCAACGTCCTCACGCATACAGACGACGCACAGGAAGACGAAGATGACCCGAAACAGGAACAACGGGCAGCAAAACCCCCAACAGTAGCAGCCCACCCGAGCAGTCAGTGGTACGCGCCGTACAGGGAAACAAACCCCGCCGTGCGCCGCCTCGCCGCGATGGGCGCGGTTGACCTGGCTTTGGGTGGTGGGGCCCGATGTAAAACACGATGGCCACAAGCACACACAACCATGGTGCGTCGGGCCAACGGCACAACGCCGAAATCGACCCACCAATCCGAGCATGTACGTAGCAGTGTGCAGTCGATCAATATCAACTACCAACGTCCTCACGCATACAGACGACGCACAGGAAGACGAAGATGACCCGAAACAGGAACAACGGGCAGCAAAACCCCCAACAGTAGCAGCCCACCCGAGCAGTCAGTGGTACGCGCCGTACAGGGAAACAAACCCCGCCGTGCGCCGCCTCGCCGCGATGGGCGCGGTTGACCTGGCTTTGGGTGGTGGGGCCCGATGTAAAACACGATGGCCACAAGCACACACAACCATGGTGCGTCGGGCCAACGGCACAACGCCGAAATCGACCCACCAATCCGAGCATGTACGTAGCAGTGTGCAGTCGATCAATATCAACTACCAACGTCCTCACGCATACAGACGACGCACAGGAAGACGAAGATGACCCGAAACAGGAACAACGGGCAGCAAAACCCCCAACAGTAGCAGCCCACCCGAGCAGTCAGTGGTACGCGCCGTACAGGGAAACAAACCCCGCCGTGCGCCGCCTCGCCGCGATGGGCGCGGTTGACCTGGCTTTGGGTGGTGGGGCCCGATGCAAAACACGGGCCCAGCCGGTGAACCGGGACCTCTCGCACCCAAAGCGAGAATCGTACCACTAGACCACTAGGCCGCTAACCTAACCTCAACAAATACACATGTCGCGCATACTGCCACAAAACAACACGCACACACACTCAACCACGCTCTGCACGCACACCTCCACCGCCATTCGATTCTGTGCCCGCTTGTCGAGTCGCGGATCTCCGGTTCCTTCTCTAGACCATCTTATCGACGATTTACTGATATCAAATTATAGAGGTGCGACACAGAGGAGGCGACACAAGCATCCAGGCCGGTATTCCATACGGCAGCGCCATCGCAGAGACTCGTACTTTGCACCCGATGGCCACAAGCACACACAACCATGGTGCGTCGGGCCAACGGCACAACGCCGAAAACGACCCACCAATCCGAGCATGTACGTAGCAGTGTGCAGTCGATCAATATCAACTACCAACGTCCTCACGCATACAGACGACGCACAGGAAGACGAAGATGACCCGAAACAGGAACAACGGGCAGCAAAACCCCCACCAGTAGCAGCCCACCCGGGCAGTCAGTGGTACGCGAAACACAGGGAAACAAACCCCGCCTTGCGCCGATGGGCGCGGTTGACCTGGCTTTGGGTGGTGGGGCCCGATGCAAAACACGGGCCCAGCCGGTGATCGAAACCGGGACCTCTCGCACCCAAAGCGAGAATCATACCACTAGACCACTAGGCCGCTAACCTAACCTCAACAAATACACATGTCGCGCATACTGCCACAAAACAACACGCACACACACTCAACCACGCTCTGCACGCACACCTCCACCGCCATTCGATTCTGTGCCCGCTTGTCGAGTCGCGGATCTCCGGTTCCTTCTCTAGACCATCTTATCGACGATTTACTGATATCAAATTATAGAGGTGCGACACAGAGGAGGCGACACAAGCATCCAGGCCGGTATTCCATACGGCAGCGCCATCGCAGAGACTCGTACTTCGCACCCGATGGCCACACGCACACACAACCATGGTGCGTCACAACGCCGAAAACGACCCACCAATCCGAGCATGTACGTAGCAGTGTGCAGTCGATCAATATCAACTACCAACGTCCTCACGCATACAGACGACGCACAGGAAGACGAAGATGACCCGAAACAGGAACAACGGGCAGCAAAACCCCCAACAGTAGCAGCCTACCCGAGCAGTCAGTGGTACGCGCCGTACAGGGAAACAAACCCCGCCGTGCGCCGCTGGGCGCGGTTGACCTGGCTTTGGGTGGTGGGGCCCGATGCAAAACACGGGCCCAGCCGGTGATCGAAACCGGGACCTCTCGCACCCAAAGCGAGAATCATACCACTAGACCACTAGGCCGCTAACCTAACCTCAACAAATACACATGTCGCGCATACTGCCACAAAACAACACGCACACACACTCAACCACGCTCTGCACGCACACCTCCACCGCCATTCGATTCTGTGCCCGCTTGTCGAGTCGCGGATCTCCGGTTCCTTCTCTAGACCATCTTATCGACGATTTACTGATATCAAATTATAGAGGTGCGACACAGAGGAGGCGACACAAGCATCCAGGCCGGTATTCCATACGGCAGCGCCATCGCAGAGACTCGTACTTCGCACCCGATGGCCACACGCACACACAACCATGGTGCGTCGGGCCAACGGCACAACGCCGAAAACGACCCACCAATCCGAGCATGTACGTAGCAGTGTGCAGTCGATCAATATCAACTACCAACGTCCTCACGCATACAGACGACGCACAGGAAGACGAAGATGACCCGAAACAGGAACAACGGGCAGCAAAACCCCCAACAGTAGCAGCCTACCCGAGCAGTCAGTGGTACGCGCCGTACAGGGAAACAAACCCCGCCGTGCGCCGCCTCGCCGCGATGGGCGCGGTTGACCTGGCTTTGGGTGGTGGGGCCCGATGCAAAACACGGGCCCAGCCGGTGATCGAAACCGGGACCTCTCGCACCCAAAGCGAGAATCATACCACTAGACCACTAGGCCGCTAACCTAACCTCAACAAATACACATGTCGCGCATACTGCCACAAAACAACACGCACACACACTCAACCACGCTCTGCACGCACACCTCCACCGCCATTCGATTCTGTGCCCGCTTGTCGAGTCGCGGATCTCCGGTTCCTTCTCTAGACCATCTTATCGACGATTTACTGATATCAAATTATAGAGGTGCGACACAGAGGAGGCGACACAAGCATCCAGGCCGGTATTCCATACGGCAGCGCCATCGCAGAGACTCGTACTTCGCACCCGATGGCCACACGCACACACAACCATGGTGCGTCGGGCCAACGGCACAACGCCGAAAACGACCCACCAATCCGAGCATGTACGTAGCAGTGTGCAGTCGATCAATATCAACTACCAACGTCCTCACGCATACAGACGACGCACAGGAAGACGAAGATGACCCGAAACAGGAACAACGGGCAGCAAAACCCCCAACAGTAGCAGCCCACCCGGGCAGTCAGTGGTACGCGCCGTACAGGGAAACAAACCCCGCCGTGCGCCGCCTCGCCGCGATGGGCGCGGTTGACCTGGCTTTGGGTGGTGGGGCCCGATGCAAAACACGGGCCCAGCCGGTGAACCGGGACCTCTCGCACCCAAAGCGAGAATCATACCACTAGACCATTAGGCCGCTAACCTAACCTCAACAAATACACATGTCGCGCATACTGCCACAAAACAACACGCACACACACTCAACCACGCTCTGCACGCACACCTCCACCGCCATTCGATTCTGTGCCCGCTTGTCGAGTCGCGGATCTCCGGTTCCTTCTCTAGACCATCTTATCGACGATTTACTGATATCAAATTATAGAGGTGCGACACAGAGGAGGCGACACAAGCATCCAGGCCGGTATTCCATACGGCAGCGCCATCGCAGAGACTCGTACTTTGCACCCGATGGCCACAAGCACACACAACCATGGTGCGTCGGGCCAACGGCACAACGCCGAAAACGACCCACCAATCCGAGCATGTACGTAGCAGTGTGCAGTCGATCAATATCAACTACCAACGTCCTCACGCATACAGACGACGCACAGGAAGACGAAGATGACCCGAAACAGGAACAACGGGCAGCAAAAACCCCAACAGTAGCAGCCCACCCGAGCAGTCAGTGGTACGCGCCGTACAGGGAAACAAACCCCGCCGTGCGCCGCCTCGCCGCGATGGGCGCGGTTGACCTGGCTTTGGGTGGTGGGGCCCGATGCAAAACACGGGCCCAGCCGGTGAACCGGGACCTCTCGCACCCAAAGCGAGAATCATACCACTAGACCACTAGGCCGCTAACCTAACCTCAACAAATACACATGTCGCGCATACTGCCACAAAACAACACGCACACACACTCAACCACGCTCTGCACGCACACCTCCACCGCCATTCGATTCTGTGCCCGCTTGTCGAGTCGCGGATCTCCGGTTCCTTCTCTAGACCATCTTATCGACGATTTACTGATATCAAATTATAGAGGTGCGACACAGAGGAGGCGACACAAGCATCCAGGCCGGTATTCCATACGGCAGCGCCATCGCAGAGACTCGTACTTTGCACCCGATGGCCACAAGCACACACAACCATGGTGCGTCGGGCCAACGGCACAACGCCGAAAACGACCCACCAATCCGAGCATGTACGTAGCAGTGTGCAGTCGATCAATATCAACTACCAACGTCCTCACGCATACAGACGACGCACAGGAAGACGAAGATGACCCGAAACAGGAACAACGGGCAGCAAAACCCCCAACAGTAGCAGCCCACCCGGGCAGTCAGTGGTACGCGCCGTACAGGGAAACAAACCCCGCCGTGCGCCGCCTCGCCGCGATGGGCGCGGTTGACCTGGCTTTGGGTGGTGGGGCCCGATGCAAAACACGGGCCCAGCCGGTGAACCGGGACCTCTCGCACCCAAAGCGAGAATCATACCACTAGACCACTAGGCCGCTAACCTAACCTCAACAAATACACATGTCGCGCATACTGCCACAAAACAACACGCACACACACTCAACCACGCTCTGCACGCACACCTCCACCGCCATTCGATTCTGTGCCCGCTTGTCGAGTCGCGGATCTCCGGTTCCTTCTCTAGACCATCTTATCGACGATTTACTGATATCAAATTATAGAGGTGCGACACAGAGGAGGCGACACAAGCATCCAGGCCGGTATTCCATACGGCAGCGCCATCGCAGAGACTCGTACTTCGCACCCGATGGCCACACGCACACACAACCATGGTGCGTCACAACGCCGAAAACGACCCACCAATCCGAGCATGTACGTAGCAGTGTGCAGTCGATCAATATCAACTACCAACGTCCTCACGCATACAGACGACGCACAGGAAGACGAAGATGACCCGAAACAGGAACAACGGGCAGCAAAACCCCCAACAGTAGCAGCCTACCCGAGCAGTCAGTGGTACGCGCCGTACAGGGAAACAAACCCCGCCGTGCGCCGCCTCGCCGCGATGGGCGCGGTTGACCTGGCTTTTGGTGGTGGGGCCCGATGCAAAACACGGGCCCAGCCGGTGATCGAAACCGGGACCTCTCGCACCCAAAGCGAGAATCATACCACTAGACCACTAGGCCGCTAACCTAACCTCAACAAATACACATGTCGCGCATACTGCCACAAAACAACACGCACACACACTCAACCACGCTCTGCACGCACACCTCCACCGCCATTCGATTCTGTGCCCGCTTGTCGAGTCGCGGATCTCCGGTTCCTTCTCTAGACCATCTTATCGACGATTTACTGATATCAAATTATAGAGGTGCGACACAGAGGAGGCGACACAAGCATCCAGGCCGGTATTCCATACGGCAGCGCCATCGCAGAGACTCGTACTTCGCACCCGATGGCCACACGCACACACAACCATGGTGCGTCACAACGCCGAAAACGACCCACCAATCCGAGCATGTACGTAGCAGTGTGCAGTCGATCAATATCAACTACCAACGTCCTCACGCATACAGACGACGCACAGGAAGACGAAGATGACCCGAAACAGGAACAACGGGCAGCAAACCCCCAACAGTAGCAGCCTACCCGAGCAGTCAGTGGTACGCGCCGTACAGGGAAACAAACCCCGCCGTGCGCCGCCTCGCCGCGATGGGCGCGGTTGACCTGGCTTTGGGTGGTGGGGCCCGATGCAAAACACGGGCCCAGCCGGTGATCGAAACCGGGACCTCTCGCACCCAAAGCGAGAATCATACCACTAGACCACTAGGCCGCTAACCTAACCTCAACAAATACACATGTCGCGCATACTGCCACATAACAACACGCACACACACTCAACCACGCTCTGCACGCACACCTCCACCGCCATTCGATTCTGTGCCCGCTTGTCGAGTCGCGGATCTCCGGTTCCTTCTCTAGACCATCTTATCGACGATTTACTGATATCAAATTATAGAGGTGCGACACAGAGGAGGCGACACAAGCATCCAGGCCGGTATTCCATACGGCAGCGCCATCGCAGAGACTCGTACTTCGCACCCGATGGCCACACGCACACACAACCATGGTGCGTCACAACGCCGAAAACGACCCACCAATCCGAGCATGTACGTAGCAGTGTGCAGTCGATCAATATCAACTACCAACGTCCTCACGCATACAGACGACGCACAGGAAGACGAAGATGACCCGAAACAGGAACAACGGGCAGCAAAACCCCCAACAGTAGCAGCCTACCCGAGCAGTCAGTGGTACGCGCCGTACAGGGAAACAAACCCCGCCGTGCGCCGCCTCGCCGCGATGGGCGCGGTTGACCTGGCTTTGGGTGGTGGGGCCCGATGCAAAACACGGGCCCAGCCGGTGATCGAAACCGGGACCAGGACATCCGAAAGAGTATGAAGCCAGCTGGACCGACGACCACAAGCTCGTAAGCGCGACTGGTCACGAGTGCGCGCCGCCTAAGTGTCTGGACTACGACGCCGCCCTCGACACCAGCATCATCCACGAGGATCTTGCGAATGGTCGCGACATCTCCGATGGCTACAACAGACCCGCGCGTGTCGACGCGACCGAAGAACATCCGACAGCGACACCTCCAAGTCGCTCCACCCGAAGCATCATGTTCCCGACTGGCTGCGCGTGCGTTGGGCGTGCTTGAGTGCTCATGCGAAGCGCTCCGCTCGGCCGCGCAGTGCCGAGTGCCCTTGCCGACGTCGACCAGTGTGTTCTTCAGTTGTTTGGAGTGTGTGCGGCTGCGCTTAAGTTACCTAGGCGCAACTTAGAGAGGAGGGTGATGGAAAGGGCCCATTTATATAAGTATAAGTAGGTAGAAGTTACATAGGTTCATACACAAAAGTAGGTGCTAGGGTGTGACCTGCTGTCATGTTCTGATTGGTTGAAAGTGAGGAGCCAGACCCATTTCATCCAATCAGGTGCCCACTTAGATTTGAGTGGTTCACAAGGGTAAGGGGGCCTCCGCCCCCGTCCCATACATAAACAGAGTTGATTTTACCCTAAAGACAAGACTTGAGCTTATTATTGCAAGCTTCCTCTTATCTACAGTGTGCGCTAGTGGCGGTATCTCTTACCCCGTTACAATAGTGAGACATGGTACTTAGCAAACACGATCCTCTATGCCAAGCAAATGTAATTACCAAGTTTGAGCTCACAAGAGCCGCCGTTCCAATGAAACGGGCTATAGATCAGAGGTGTTGAGCCATCCCTCTACTGAATCCGAAGGGTCGTGCTGGTGCCAAAGAATATATTCTCAAGCGACTCTTCGATACTAACTCTAGGAAAAGGTATACCTATAAATAACTTACACCAAAAGCATGTATTGGGGTCAGGTTAAAAAAAAACAAGATTGATGATGTCATAACTCGATATCAACTCCGCCTACGATGCTGCTGAAGATAGCACTGGGTTACTCAAACAACGTGGCTTATGCCAAAAACCAAAAATCTCTATCCCACATGAAACACCAGGTCCCCGTCGTGCTGTTCCGCACCTACCATTGCTCTCCCCGCAGCCTACAACCGCGTAAGTGACCTCCGTCCACATTCCCACCTGGCAGCCCAACACCTCACCATGCGGATGAGGATGAGCCTATGGCAAACCGATTGTTAGCGTCAAGGCCATCCAGCAACAACATTCAGCATGTCAGACAGAACCTCCTCTACCATCACTGGCACAAAATCGGCAGTCGTCTTCGCTTTGCCTTCCGTGTCCTTGGCCGCGTCCGCTATGCTCGCAGGTTGGCTGTTCTGCGCCGTCTCTTTCACTTCAGCGGCATCTATGGGCACGCCCACCGCAGCTGACACAGCGCTGGGAGCCTCCTTGGACTGTGCGATCTCCATTTCCGTCGCGTGCTTGACATCTATCTTCCTCGTCGCCTTCTTCGCTCCCTTCGTCTTACCGCCTCCTTCTGCATCCTTCTCCTCCGCACGGCGGACGCGCGTGGCGCTCACTCAACAGCCCCTCCGGACAGAGCTGCCGCTTCCGCTCTGAGAGCTCATAGCGTGGTGTCTTTCTCGTCGTATTGAGCATCTTGCTTTCCCCACGGTATTTCTGAAATGCACGGTGACCACTCGGGGTCGTGGTGGGTGACAAGCCCACTTCGCTCAACCTACTATCTTGATCTTACTATAGCGATGAAAGGCGAATACGTACATACAAATTTGAAGAATAAGGACCGCTCATCTTGAAGGTACAATATAGCATGGACGCAAAAAAATGTCACAGGCTATACACTCCGTATCTTCCACGGTACAAACGTTGGGAAGTAAGGGGCTAACCAGTTTAATTGTGTTTCTACAGGTCTTAACGTTTGAAAATGAAACCTTCTCGACAGCACAAATAATCGCTCAGCCTAGGAATTATCTAGCCTCCAACCAGCGCCATTTATGCAGCCGACTTTTCCTCAATACCCCTCGCACCGTTTACTGCACATCAAGTTCGAACGCAGTTTGGAAATTTTCTCTAAACCTGAAACGAGTTTTCGTACCGCTTATATGTCCACTGTATCTCGTTTGCTCAGCTACAAGGTTGCTGCGCTTTTGCTGGGAGACCTTCATTATTTTTTTTTATTGGGTTTGTTCGAGTTGGTGCCAGTACCCATCACTACCAATACTCATTAACCACTTCACTGTAAAAATGTCTGGTCTAAGCTGGAGAAATTCGTGGCGAGTGAACGATGGTGTAAGAGGTATGCAGCGTAATCCCTGTACTGTTTCAACGCGGGATGTTCCAACGAAGTGGTGCGCAAATTGCCATGGTGGCGCAGGCTGTGTTTCTTGTAGGAGCATGAGCATCCGAAGAATCGTTGCTCCTTGGGCTTTCCATACGGTGCTAGCGAATGCCAAATCAACTGCATGTTGAATGTAGCGAAGTGGTTTCATCGAAATGCTTCTCGAGGTGTGCGAAAACTTGACTTTGTCATTGTCAGCTTTGGCCGTAATGATTCCAATTGGAATTATCACTCGACTTTTGTACGTTTCACCTGCACTGTTTGACAGCATTGCTGTTTCCAAGTTCAAATGATCAGGCCAGTGAAGCCCATTCACTTCTTCTCCAGATGGTTCTATCAACACCACGTTGATGTATTCTGGAGGCCATGGCAGATTGACTATAGACAACCTTTTCTGAGTAGCGCCAAGTATAAGGTCAGACGCAGCTTGGGCCTTTTCAGCGTCATCCCATCCGAGCGAATGCAAGTAGCAGGCTGTACCATTTGCTACACCCAGTATCACATTGCCGACACCGTTATCCAGAATTTGCGCTGGAGCATTTTGTGTAAAGTATGCGAAGAGATACGGATGCGTATCTTCGTCATACAGCACATTCGCCACAGCCTCTGGTATACTTCCCTTAATTTGACGACGCTAGCGAATGACCAGCGTGTTGTTTAGCGCCGCAAACGTGAGAACGGCAGGTTGAGTTAGCGTAGCTCTGTCCAAGTTTCCTGTTACCAGAATGCGGTAGTCGTAGAGCTACCCAGGATCATTGATTATATCCGTGGGCGTGAGTTCTTGCTGAAGTGATGATAAAATTTGTGGCGTTACAGGAAAATAATCTGCTCCATTTTCATCGTTCCAATCAGTACCGTTTGGATAACGATCGGGTAGTCGATGAAATTGCTCAAGATTTTTCTGCTGTCGCTTGCATTTTTGAGCTCGGAGCTGTTCGTGCAAGAAGAACACGCGAAATCGTCGGAAGAGATCGCGAGCTTTGACATCGTAATCTCGTTTTGGATCAACATACATGTTTTTGCAGAGGGAAACGCCGCCAACGACGTTCAGTTGGTGAAAATCGCCCACCTTTTGAGGTCATGTTAGTGAATGGATAATGAAATGTTTGAATGTCAGAAGTTTACGTACCAGCATTAGCGACATTCCGCCAAATATTTTGTTCGGATCGTAGAGAGAACGAAGTCGTTCATCGATTTGGGCGAGCAATTCAGTAGACACCATAGATATCTCATCGATTACCACCTACCACCAGCCCGACAGTATCATCAAACTGCATCTTGAGAGTTTCGAGTGCGGTCGGGTTTAATGGCCGTTTTGACTTCGTGGCGATTTTAAGGGCCGAGTGTATAGTTTGGCCACCAGGTAACAGACAAGCTCCGGCTCCAGTTGGACAAGTGTTTATGACGTGGACGCCTCGAGCCTCCAATTCCGCTTGAATGCGTCGGATGACAAACGATTTGCCAGTCCCACCACTCCCGTGTAGCAATGTTAGCGACTGAGACCTCTTTCCATGCACAGCGTCCATCACTTCATTTACAACGTGGTCTAGCACTTGGTATTGGTCGTGGTTGAGTGTCGTTGGTGATATGAAGGTCTTCTGCGTAGGTTTGTCGCCACAGTAGCCACTATTTCGGCTTTCACTTTCATCGACTGTCGAGGACGGTGGTAAGGTGTGTATCTGCTTCGCGATATCAGCTAATCGGAAGGGATTGTTTGTTGCATTCTTTGTCGATTCCTCGCTAGACGTATTCCCGGCCAGTTCGTTGCCACAGTACACCAAATCGTTTCCACAACGGCCAGACGTTCTTTTTGTCACAGTTTTACGAATTGATTCAGGAATCGTTTTCCAAAACCGATCTCTTAGAGAGCGGATTTTGGCTTGGACATCTGATTTGTAGTGCGTCGTCAAGCTTAGAAGCTGAAAAACATCCTCATCGTTTGTGAGAATTCCAAGTGCTTCTGCACAACCAATTGCGGGCCCAGTAGTTTCCTGCGCTGTATTTTGTTCTGTAGCCGGTGTATCATCCGAGGAGAGTTCATTCCAGTAGTCGGCATTCCGAGCACGCCATGCTGAATAAGTGCAGCCACTATTTTCATTACGATAGCCGCGCTTTAGAAGATTCGAAATCGAGCGAAAGCGCTGGCGATTAATTAGCGATGCTTCACGGGTATCCCAGCACTTGAAAAGGGATCGAAGACCATCAGCCGATGGTTCAAACATTGGCGCCCTGGTTTGAAGATCCCAGGGTGTGTATGTGCCAATGATTGCCCTGCACGTAATAGTAGCGATGTTAGAGACGAGTAAAATATCGCGTACCTTGAACTACAGCGTACTTGGCGAGGGTGTCCATCTTTGCTTCTGATTTCAATGCCGCTTGATACGTCGGAAGAGGGGGACCTCCAAGCATCGGAGTCATAAATTTTGTTCGTATACAACCCTCGTAGTGTGGATACAATGGGTGGCTCGATGCAAACGAAAATCCAGCTCTGCGGGGTCTTCCTCGTTGAATAGTCACATCTTCATCGTTGGAAGAGGGCATAACTTTGCGGATATCCACAATTGATTCAAACTCAATTGGTGACAGCTCTGCAAAATGCTTTCCACGATGGCGGTATGACTCCGCTTGAGTAAGAAATACGACCTCGCTACCCACCGTAAATTTGCGTGCGTGGCTACTTCGATCAGCACTAGAATCATCTTCGTCGAATATGATTTCAGCCTGCTCATCTTGTTCTCCATACAGTACATCAATTATCTGCTGCAGTTCGCACTGAATACTTTGACCTCCAGTTGAGCTCGTATCCGGAGCGACCACGGGTCTTGCTGCAATTTCTCGTAAATAGTCATGCGGGAAAATATACCAAAATGAGTCAGACGACAGATATGATGAGTTCCCGAGTAGAGCGTACACCATTAAGGCGTGGGGCCATTCATGTCCTCCGTTAAACGCATTTACCGTTCTCGTTGCGAGGTATTGACCTTGGCGAATCGGTAGGTGGCTGTCTTCGGCGGTACTCCCGTGCTCTTCAGCGTACGTTATTGCCGACATCATTGCACTTGTGGCGGATTTGAGCCCACTTGTATCTTTAGTCATATATTGTCGCTGATATTCATTCACAAACTCGCCAGCATCTTCAGATGCCAAGACGGATGAATTCGTGTGACTTCCTGTAAGAACGCTTAAGATATGGTTAGTTTCGACAACCATTTTATCCCGCTCTGGCCGATGTTGTTCCCAGGTAATGGGTGGGTCTAGGTGGGGGCGCACCAGTTGCCCTTGCTCCAAATCGTAACCACTATCAATCGCCGCGAGAGTTTTTTCGGAGACGGGAAAGCTCACAACTTTGTCTCTTTGTGCTTCGTACCAGTACCCTCGCGTATCAATCTCAACTCAATCGGTCTTGTATCGTCCTCGAAAACTCCCGCGGGTCGGCTAAGGCGGCACCTAAAACGTCCTTGCTTTCCTTTTAGGCAAGTGGCAGAGTGGCGGTGAAAGTTTGTGGCAGCAGCACAACGTTCTGCCACTAGCTTAAACCGGTTGTATGCCGTTTGCGCCGACGGAACCTCCATTTCACAAGGCCTCAACAACGTCGAGGCTACAGATGCAGTAGTGTCAGCAGAACGTTTTAGGCACTCCTCTCGATATTGGTGCGTTGCTAGCGATAGTTGCGTGTGCGACACACTGTCCAACCAACGTGCTGCTTTTTCACAAAGCCGAGGAGACGGGATTAATCGTGTAAGCAGCTCCAGCGACCACGTAGAGTTGTAGACAGTCATATGAGCATGAAGTCGACCATCGTTTTGCGGCTCCACAACTGCACCAAACGCAGCTACCTTTCCAAATGCCCCAGCCTCCCGCTGATCGAAATCTCTACTAACTCGAGTTGAACTACTTTCATCACCCGCAAAGTGTCTCGTATAGCATTTTTAAGCCTGGCTGTAAACATTTGAGCTGCGAGAGCAGGAAATTTTGCAGATACTGATAAGCGCATACGCGGTGATCGACGAAGTTCATACGGAAGATCATCCCACGCGCAGTTTGCACGCGAAAACACACACTCTGGTTGATTCCACTGCTTCAATTTGCGGAGTTGCGCTATTCGATGTAATCGAAGATCGTCATGCTCAGGAGGCACCAAAGTAGTCCAGTGGTGCGCAAGTCCGTATCGACAGCTGAGAGCAGCTAGGTTGGGCCGAGCTGAAGCGATTTCGAAGGGAGAAAAGGGAACTGGTTCGCCGACGATGGATAGCACTCGAAGTAACTGCGCGTTGAGCATTTTCGCGCTTGTTGACGTTGGATTGCTCTGCGCGTCGAGCAATTGTTGCTTGAATCCATCATCATTCGCTAGTTTCGCCAATTTAAGAAGAGCTTTGCCATGTGTAACACTGACATGAGCTGCCTTCCGTACGGCGGCGTGACGCTGTTTCTGGTTGAAAAGCGTTGCCACAAATACAACATCTTCTTCAAAACGACCGTCATAGTACTTGAAAAGGTGATCAACGAGATGCTTTGGCATCGATCCCTTCGGCAGCATATCACCTCCTCTTAGAAACAGCGTCGGGAATGCGCCCGCTAACAACTTGCCGTTTGCGTCCCATTCCACGACGGGTTCAGCTGCGCGTGTTATTGGGATAGTGCAGTTTGCTTCGCCATCAGAGGGCTCGCGATGGTCTGCTCTTGTTTGGCCTGAGAGAAGGTCTACCATTGCGTCGACAACACCAACACCAGATTCGTCCAACGATCTTCTCAAGGGTGACTTTAGTACAGCCGATTTCTCTTGTATCACGTCCGCTGCCGCAGATGAGGTTCCGTTTACATCGTCGTTGTTGTTGGTGTCTTGAGAGACATCATAAAGACGCTCTGCCGAATCCGATGCCTCCACAACAACATTTTCTCGAATTTGTTTCTCCAATTCTCTCAGTGCCGCACGTCGGCACCACGAACTATCAATGGAAATACCTTCCTCCAGCCAGTAAGAGTGCGTTTTTTCAAGTACAGAAAGCCAGCGAAATATGGCATCTTCGGGGACGGAAAACAAGTTTTGAAAACGGTGCTGCTCAACACGCCATTGCTCTTTTGGTCCAAGAAACGTCACCCGAGGAATGCAATCCATATCCGTATGAGGTAGCGCCTTCGAACACTGACTAGGACCATTCGACGGAAAGCAAATAATGTGCCCTGTCATGTGCTTGCCAGACAAAGAAACTTCGATTCCAAAGCGGCGGACTGGACATATGCAATTGGTTGCAACTTCGTTGAGCTGAGGAAGATTACCTCTTCTACCATAGTCATGACCACAAGCGATACTAAATGACGAGCTCCGCGGATTTACTGCGCACGTCTTGCATAGCACAACCTCATCATCACAAACTACCAGATCCGGATTTATGTAGAGCAGGTCCCCATTGCTCACGACAACTTGGCAATGCTCGTTCAAGATATCATCAGGAACTCCACCATACCGCTCTTTGCGTTCTTGTGGCGTTGCCTTAAACGTTACTGGCAGCTCCGACAGCTTCATTCGCACGGCGCAGGACTCTGCATTCGCGATGATTTCGCAGCACGATGCACAAGCGGCAATATCCCCTGGTATATCTTACTGCACGGATTGTTGACACCGAATAGCTTCTTCTTGGCCTGGTGGGTCGTCTAAAACCCTTAGAAGCCGATCTCCCACAGTAGGCTGGGCTTCTGAAGTACGGCCGTTCCACTCACTACCCCGTTCTCCGGGGTTACCATTGGGAGGTCTTAAGTTGTGACGGGGCACACAGCACTTCTTAACAGAGGAAGCAGGAGTATACAAACTCCAAGTGAACAGCCGTTCACGTGTCCCTGGTCTGAAGGGGACGACTTGACTTGAAAAGCGGTAGATCTAAGACTGAATGTATTTATAGGTTGGTACAGATTTGGCCTGCATACAAATCCTAAGTTCCCTATAGTTTGTGTCATACAAAGTGTATCTGTTGGCTCTGAGGCCACTTGGGTCACTATCCAGGGGAGTGACCGATGTAGCCATCCCGGAATAGTGGCAGGGTCACTATTCCATGTAACCCCGTTACATAACTGCTCATCGTTGTGAACGAAAGCGTCAGGATGCTGAGCGCAACAGTGAAAATACGCCAGCGCAAGTAGTGGATGGGTGCTAAAGCCCTGCCCGTCACGCAACGTCTTCATGTCATCACTTGATAGACTCGTGGCATCCAGAATGCGATCCAATAGCTCTGCAAGTCTTGCGGTTCGATTCTCGCGCAGCACTTGAGCTTTTCTTGCACGTTTCGGTTTAAGGCCCGTCTTCATCTCCAGGTTGGCATCGCTTGTGTTCCGTTTAAGACCAGATACAGGAGCCGAAACTGGAGCTGTTTGCTGTTCTTCCGCCACAGCTTCACGAAACTGTTGAAGTTGGCGCGCACGGCTACGCCGCTGTTGATCCGTTTGAGATGGAGCTCGTACGCGTTGGGAGTGCTGCTGCCGTGCTTTCATGTTCGCTTTGTCGTAGCACGTTTTGAAATGGTTTTTGAGTCCATGAACTTCAACTGAAATGGTAGGTTGACCAAATTACTAATTCGTACTGTATTTTGACAAATGTTTGAGTATGTGCATTGTGCGAAAGGGCTCACGTCGGACTCTTCGTAACGGTGTCGAGACTCTCTCATTTGAGTGCGAGGACTCACTTCGACTATTGCGCTTGAACAATGTCACGCCACCCTATTCGCGATCTTTCTCCAGTGCTGGGCGTGCAATGGGAAGTTGTTGCACGCATCGCGTTTCTGTCTCCAGTCCGGCAGTGGTCGAATGCAAACGGAAGAGGCCACGTGATGAATGCAGAGCTTGTTGACGCAGAGGGCAGTCAATTTGTGCCTGCGCATTTAACAATGACACCAAGAATTTGGCTACAATCTTGCGTGGTGACGGCGTCTTCTTGTTCGCTGGTGGAAGAATCAGAAAAGCTGCGCGTGGATTTGGCAAGCCGAACCACACGTACGAAATAGGCTTGTCTTCTTCAGCTAGCGTGACTCCGGTTGAAGATGATGATTCCATCGAGCACGTGGACTACGCTTTCACAACTATTAGCGACCTCGCTCATGCTGATGCGCACGCACAAGTTGACATCCTCGCAATGATTATGGACGTCGGTGTTCTGGATAAAGTTGTTGACCGCAAAGATGGGGTTCAAGTCAAGCGAGAGCTAAAGCTGACAGATTCGTCGAACGTGGAGATTGTTTGCACTCTGTGGAATAAGTTTGCAGAGGTAGACTACACAGCGGCTTTGCACCAGCCGTACGCGTTCCGGCAAGTGATGGTGAATGAATTTCGGGGTCGGTCGCTGTCTACGCTGTCGTACACAATGGTCGTCCCGAATCCCAACTTACCTGACGTGATCACTCTGCAGGAGTGGTTCGACGATACTCGAGGCGAGTTCAGTGTTCCTATCAGCCTAGTGGATTGCAAGTTTACTTCACTGAAGGACGTAACATCGCAACCAAATGGCACATCTGTCAGCGTCATTGTGCGTGTTGATAAGCCGGACGACGTGACAGCGAAGGACGGGAGAATTCTACGCAAACGCAAGGTGGCTCTGCAAGACATGAGCGATACTGAAGTTGAATGCACACTGTGGCAAGCAGAAGTTGACAAGGTCTCGTCGGAACAACTGGAGAGAGTGCTGTCGCTCGAGAACTCTAAGGTTGTTATCTACGGAGACTGCCGCGTAGCCACGAGTGTGAAGACATTGGTTTTGGTTGATTCAGCAATCCCTGCCTGTTTCGAGCTAGTACGATGGTACACCACACCGCCCAATATTTCCGCCGATGACGATGATAAGGGGAACAAGTCTACCATGACTGCAGACGAAAAAAAGCAGTCCACCTCTCCCCAGCAACTGCAAGTTGCTACTGGTGCAGCGCTGGAGCACTCGCTCAGAGGTTCAATTGGAAACGTGGAGCCCGCAACCTTGCGCAGCCATTCTCCGCAAGCGACACCAAGCCCCATCGCCGCAGATGATCCTGGCACTCCGAGCAAGAAGCCGAAAAAGCGTGAGCGCGGGAGCTTAAAGGTGGGTAAGAGCAAGCGTCCGAAAGTGTCACCGTGAGGTGAAGGGCATTGCGAGCGGAAATTAACTGAGCTTAAGGTTCGCCATGAGGTGGGCACGCAAAGCTGGTGAACGGGCGCCTTCGTCAGTTTGGTGATTTTCGTGTTGACGCGCTAGGAGCAGAGATCTACTGGGCTTCTGCGCATGAATTGTTTTTGTATTGATTCAATCAACACATGTTTTACCACTGGCCTTGCATCTCCTTGCACTGCTGACTTGCCACTGAGAGAGGGAAGATGGTCTATTGTCCCTAAGTTGCTGCCAGTAGAGAACGTGCCAGGCAAAAAGAACCTGGCCCTCTGAACTACGAACTGGACATAGCCTTCTGGTTAGTATTTCCTTCCTCCCGAAACCTCTTAGAGCTTCCAAAAACGTTTTTCGCTCTTCAGATATTTTTTGCAAACTCGCTAATTGCGATTTCGATGTCTCCGGAACGTTACCTGTAACTGGGAATACTGTGGAGTAGCGCCCTCGCAGAAATCTCGCGAATGCGATCTCGCACAAACTCGGCGCGTCTGGATAGCGGTCGCGCCGAGCGAATTATTCCCGGTTGTTGGAGTAGCGTATCTTCGAAATACAGGCCCAAGTCTTCGCAGGCTTCGGAGTTGGGGGGGGGGGGGTTCTTGTGTTGACGCTTGTTCCTTGTCGTAGGGCGTCGAGCCTTGGGCGTGCGGCGTTATCGGGCCGACGTTTCCTCGGCGTTCCCGTCGGGCGTGCGGCGTTATCGGGCCGGCGTTTCCTGGGGCTTGTGTGGCGTTATCGGGCCTACACGGGGGGTCTAGTGCACGGCGGTTATCAGGCCAGTGCGGTCCTTCGCCTAGGCAGCGCGTTATCGGGCGCCCACCTAAACGGTATACGTTTAACGTGCCTTTGTTCCAGCACGGGTCTGTGGGGGGTGAGCACCCGAACCAGCAAACGACGGGGGGCCGCGATATCGAGGCGGCTCTACTTGCCGGCGCTTGGTGGTTCCCCTGGAACCTCGGAGAAGACGGGAGGTCTTTGTGGTTCAGAGAAATTTCGGGACTGAGTCCTTACCCTATCCTATGTCCTTGCTACTGGCTACTCTGTACTACTGCTTGCTAAGCCTACCGCTCTGGGCCTATCCCTACTTTTGTCGTGCTTGCACTGCCGTCCTTCAACCTGGTTTGCGTGGCGCAATCAAGATCTTACCTCGGCGCGTTTTGGTCGGCGGGGGTTAGGGTCGGCGCGTTTTGCTCGGCGGGGTTTAGGGTCGGCGCGTTTTGCAGAACCGGGTGCGCTGGTCGACCCGTCGGATGATTACGCGTCGCACTGGATTCTGGCACCGTGTCTCACGGCCCATCACCCACACCGACTTTCCCGTCGAGCTCGGCCCTGCGTCGCGCCCATCAATCCGCGTCGCGATCCATCAGCCGCGTCGAAGTCCATCACTCGCGTCCCGGCGCCTTCTTCCTCCGGCGCCCGGCGCGCCCACTTCTTCCGCGGGGTACTACACCACATTCGTCCCGCTGCCACGCACGCGCACTCCCCAGGTGGGTGTGTCGTCGCAGAACCTGCCCCGCGCCTTGGCTTCGTCTCGACACCATCGCGTTTTCTGCCCTCGCAGTCCGCTTCGCGGTACTCCAAGCTTCATGGCTCGCCGCCACGACGTCGACGTCAACGACATCGACCTGGAGGAAGAAGAGCTTGACACCAACGAGCTGGCTGCGCGGTTTGTGCCCTCGGCGCGCATCGTCCTCGCCTCCCCGTCGCGCCCCAAGTCCAGCTTCCGGCTTCAGGCGCCCCCGTCCACTCGGTGACTGCTCTTGTCGCCGACGCGCACACTCTCCAGCGCGAGAACCAGGAGCTGCGCGCCCAGTACGAACTCGTCTCAGCGCACAATGCGGGCTTGGCTACTCACGCGTCCGTGCTGCATGACCGCAATCTCGCGATCTTGCATCGTGCTCGCGAGGGTTATCGCGCAGGCATGATCCGGCTCGAGCAGGCGCTCCTCTCCTGGGAGCAGGCCGAGCGGGACTACGCCGTCCTGGAGGACCGAGTGGCCGACTTCCGCGCTCCTGCTACGCCGCCTCCCTCCACCGTGCTGCTAGCGCGGCTGTTTGCTGCACAAGGCGAGCGCAACGACGCGCGCGCCGAGCGTGACGACCTTCGCGTCGACCTCGCAGCCGCCCAAGCCGCCCTCGCTCCTGTCCAAGCGCGCGTGGCCGCTGCCGAAGCTGAACGAGATCACATGCGGCAGCTCGTGGCCACTGCCGAGCAGCAGCGCGACGCCGCTCTCGCTGAGCGTGACCGTGTGACCCGCGTTCTCGTGGTCGTCGAGCAAGACCGTGACGGGGCCCTCGACATGCGGGATCAAGTGCGTCGAGCCTCCACGGCCCTGAGACGCGAGCGAGACGCTGCTGTCACCGAGAGGGACCAGGCACGTCAAGCCGTGGCCGCCCTTGAGCAGCGGCGAGACGCTGCCGTCACCGAGAGAGATCAGGCTCGTCAGGCCTTGACCGCTCTGGAGCAGCAGCGCGCCCCGGTCGACGAAGAGCTCCGCGCGGCCCGTGTGTCGCTTTCTCAGAGCCGCATGGAAATCGAGGCGGCCCAGAACCTGAACGTCCCGCTGCAGAACGACCTTCGGCGCGTCAACGCGCTCTTAGTGGCCCACGCCGAGGAGCTCCGCCGCGGCGCGACGCGTATCCACGAGCTGGAGGAGTCAGTGGCTACTGCTACGACTCTCCGTGTGGCCGCCGAGTCCGAGATGGCGCGGGCTCAAGCCGGCGAACTTTGCGCCACATCTCGCGCGGCGCAGTATCGAGCTGGGTGGCTGTCCATTCGGCGGTCGTCTCAGCAGCGTCGAGGAGCGGTCGGCGCCCAGACCCATCGTCTCAGCGCTCGCGTCGCCGAGCTGGAGGAGGAGCGCAACTTGGCCATCCGAGAGCGCGACGAACGCGCTGTGGCTTGGCGTCGGATGCTTCGAGACGCGCGTCGGGGCCGAGAGCTGGCGCGGCGGGTGCGCGACGAGCTTGCCGATCGTCTCGCCGGCGTCGTAACGCGTGTAGGCGGGTAGATCGACACCGCTGACCTGGTCAGGCGACTCAAAGCCACTTTCACGGCGGAGATCGACGATGCGATCCCCCTCCCCCCTGCTATTCCTACGTCCGCAGCAGTTCCTGCGGCATCCGCGGTTCCTGTTCCTGCTTCAACTGCGTCGAGCTCTGGTACCCGGGCGGGCTCGTCGGCTTCGACGGCAGGCTCGACGACTGGCGCTTGCCCTCCAGCAGGTCCTTCGGGCTCCCGTCCTGTTCCGACTTCGTCCGCTGCCTCGTCCTCGTCGGGTTTTCGGCGACCTCGACACGGCGCGTCGAGTCGTTCGGGTTCTCAGTCACGCGCGCCTAGGCCGTCAGGAGTGGCGTCCGCTACGTCGTCTGGTTCTTCGCCCCTTCGACGTAGTCGGCGGCCCTCTACCGTGGCCGACACTGCGGCTTCCGAAAACGCCGCTGCGCAGGCCTCATCTGCAGCTACGCCCTCTGCGGCCGCTGCAGCGCGCGCACGAGAGGACGCGTCGCTCTTCGGCTCCGAGTCTTCGGACAGCGAGGACCAGACGCGGCGAGCTCAGTCCAAGCGCCGCCGGCTGCATAGCCCCGGGTCTCGCTCACGGTCGCCGGCGCGTCCGCCTCCTCGTTCGCCGTCACGGTCGCCGGCGCGTCCGCTTCCACGTTCGCCGGCGCGTCCGCTTCCACGTTCGCCGTCACGTTCCTGGACACCCCCGCGCTCCCGTTCTGCTTCGCGTTCGCGTTCACGCTCGGCCTCTCGTTCGCGTTTGCACTCGCCTCCACGCTCGCGCTCGCGTTCTCGCTCGCCCTCCTTGGCGTCGACGCCTTCGGCCGGCTCAACGCGTTCGGCGCACGCGGCGGGGTCGGCGCACTCGGCGGGGTCGGCGGCCTCGCGTCACTCTTCTCCTGCACAGCCGACGCACTCCTCGCCGAGGGGCCGTGCGGCAGCCGGAGCTGGACCAGGCCCTGGTCCGAGCGATTCGGGCGACTCCAGTGGCGACGACTCGTCCGCTTCCTCGTCGTCCCGCGCCTCGTCCTCGAGCACCGCCTCCAGCGGCTCGGCGGGGTTTGGTCCGTCGAGTTTTGGCTCGGCGAGTTCCGACTCCGGCGATTCTTCCATCGCAGCGCTTCCAGCCACAGTCGGAGGCATATCGGGTTCGCTTTCCACCGCCTCCTCGCCCGTATCCGGCTTGTGGTCGTCGGGTGGCAAGTCTATCCCTCTTCCCTTCGGCGCTTCCGCGACAGCCGCCAACACTGGGGTCACGGCGCGTCGCGTCCCGAGTTGTCTCGGCTCCGGTCGCAAGATGGCTTTAGGCGTCGGGTATGAGGGGCGATCCGTCATCGGTCCGTCGAGCTCGGCTGGGATCCAGTTCTCCTCCGCGTCGCGCGTCGTGCCGTACGCCAGATTCTGCCACTGCTGGTACCGGGTGGAGCCCAGTCGGACGAATCCACGGTTCCGAGGCTGGCCGTCAGACGGCGTCCACCACCCAAGCGTTTCATGCGCGTCGAGGGTTATCGCTGCGTCTCCGATGTTCGTGACACGCAGGTACGTTTTCTTTCCGACTCTCCCCTTGACAAAGGTAGTCACCCACGACTCTGCCCGTGTCACCCACAGGAACGGCGCGTTTCGATCCGGCCTCAGCAAGACTTCATGCGTGTCTCCTGGTTCGAGCCTCACAGGCGTCTTGACGTTGACCGAGTGCATCCGTGCGCCGTATAGCGGTCTTCGTCCGATCATCTGGATATGCACCTCGTCGGGGAGGCACGCCGTGCCGTCCGCAGTGTCGATGCGCACTCCAGCGGGCACCATGAAGTTCATTCCCAGGATTGCGTGTTGGCCGACCAAGTCGCCGACCCACAGGTGCATGTAGTACACCAAGTTCCCAGCTAAGGTAATCTTGACTCTGGTTCTCCCCACCGTGTAATATGTCTCATCACGAATTCCCACACACTCTTGCGTGATCTCCGTGTCAATCAGGCAGCCTACCTCATGAGCAAAGGTGGTGTCCAGGATGGACACCTCGGCACCTGTGTCGAGCAATAACACAGCACGGCGGTTGTTCAGCTTTCCATGAATCTTGGCCTGCTTGTACCACTTGTGCGGCGCGTAATGTTTCCAGTATCCGCGTCGCTCTCCTGGTTGCAAGTCAATGTCGTCCAGGGGTGGTTCACGTGCAAACTCGTCGTCCGTCGTACGTCGGACCGCCGAGATTCGCGGCGCGCGTTCTTGCGTGGTACGTTCCGGGTTGAATTCACATATATTATCATTCAGGGAAGTCGGGATCTCACTAACCACCTCTCGCGACTTCTTGGTCACATATGCATCGACGGAAACAGGTCGCTCGTCTCGTACTGGTTTCCAAGCCAGCGAGCGTCCTAGTTTAACATCTTCTCGGCGGCCGGCGGCAGCATTCCCGCGTGTTTATTCGGGTCAAACCACTGGCACAATTGGTTGAAGAACTCCTCCATCGAGCATTCTCCGGCTTCGTGCACGTCACCGCAGGCCTTGCACACCCTCAAGCATCGCTCCGTCGGGTGCTGGCCACCACACTTCTGACACGTCAACAACTTCCAGCAGTCTCCTTCGACATGGCGACGTGAACCACAGTGGCGGCACCGCGGGCGGTCGCGTCCCGAGTCGTCGGGATCGAAGTTGCGACGCGCCGGCTCTCCCGGCGGGGCCTGTCCCGCGACGAACAACTTGGCGCGTTCTTCGTCCGCCTCGTCTTGGTCGTACTGGCGATCGTCGCTGTCGCGACTTTCGCGTTCCGAGTCGTACTCGTCCGACGCGACGTGAATCGCATGCACGGCGCGCGCCGGCTGAGTCGGCGGGGTCGGCGCCTTTTGGCGGAACTTGTTCGAGCCGAAGAGAGTCTTTTTCTGGTGAGCCAATCCACGTTGTCGGGTACGCAGCTTCTTCTCCAGCGCCTCGGAGTCGGCGACCTCCATCAGCGTGAGACGCGAGGCGAGTTCGGCCTCCGTGTTCAGCGTCCGGATGAAATGCTCGACGTGTTCCCGCTTCTCTTCAGTCGTGCCCTCGGCGTATGAGATGTTGGTCCTTAAGCCCGCGACGTTGAGCCGGTACAAGTGATCCAGAGGGGTCTCGTCGGGGCGCTGAGCCGCATGGTAGTAGCGACTGGCCATTGACACGCCCTTGCCGCAGTACTGCACCCGGAATTGCTCCATCAGCTCGGTCCATGATTTCTTGACCTTCCTGGGCAACTGGAGATACCATTGGCGCGCAGGGCCGCTCATTAGATCGCTGAACTGCCCGGACACTTCTTCGCCCGTCATCCCGTCGCGCCGCGCGGCGGACTTCAGACGGTTGAGCCACAGTCTGGCTTTCTCTTCGCTGGCGTCCCGTCCCGAGAACGCTTTCAGCTCGGAAGATGCTGAGAGGCGTACGCGGGCGAGGGCTACGCCGCTGGCTGTCGCCGTCGAGACGGCGGCCGTGGTTCTTGGCACTCCGATGTCCAAGTCGAACAGCGGGGTCCTCATCCGCGTCGCGTCGAGTTCTGGACCTCGTCGAAGAACGCGAACTGACCGACTCCATGGCGACATCCGCTGCCTCCTGGGGGCAAGCTACCGTGGGTGTGGGATTCGCGGGCGGCTTCGGCCCCGTCGGAATTGCGGCCGTGTCGGCGCGCGGGGTGTTAATCACTGTCGTCTGCATCAGCTTGATGATAGATTCTCTCAAGGCCTTGGGAAGCACCTCCTCGGCGGGTTTCGTCACCTCTGTGCGTGTGGGCGCCGCGGATAGCTGCATGACGCGCGGCGGCCGGTTCATGGGCATGCACTTGGGCGACTCGAAACTGCTGTCGGAGTCCACGCTCGATTGGTATCGAGGTGGAGGCGAGGGCGTGGTCGTCGAAGTCTGGGCTGGACCCGCCGAGGGGCTCGGCGCGTCTTGGCCCGTCGCGGAACTCGTCGCGTCTTGTTTGACGGATCCGGCGAGAATCGTCAAGGGCTCCTGCACGACGCGAATCGCACGTAACCAAGATTTGAGGTCCCAATCGCACAGCCTCTCCATCTCGATAGCCCCCAGCACGAACCCCGAGTCACGTAGCATCCGGAAGAGAGTCGGCGCGGCGTGGGCAACGCTGGTGAGACTATTGAAGTCCGGCGCCACGAAGGGGCCTGTAAAGTTGCTCATCAGCATGGGCTTGAGGAAGACCAAGATTGGGTCTTGTTCTAGCAGACGGAAGAGCTCCGTGCGCGCCACAACGTACCGTACCTCCTCGACGGTGTACTGACGTCCCGTGTCCTTGCCTTGCGGCTTGGACAGCGACTCCTCCGCCGAGTCCGGCGCGCGCAGCTTCTTTTTCTTCCTCTTGGGCGGCTTGCGCTTCGTGGCTGGCTTGGCGGTGGGTTGTTGTTGGTCGTCGGCCTTTGCAGGCTTCCGACCAGTAGGACCGCGACTTGCGTCGCGGCCCTTCGCGGCTCCCTCGTCGGGAGCCGCATCGGGAACGGCAAACTGTTCTTCGTAGCCCTCCTGGTCGTCGCTGGCCCCGTGGCCTGTCGTGAAGGTTCCCTCAGAGCTCCACGACGCGACAGGTCTCTCAATGTACTCTCTTGCGGTCGGCGACCTTCCCGCCGACTGCGCACCTGCCTTCGATGCCTCTTGGATCGTTAGCCCGTCATTCGAAGTAGTACTCCCGGGTCACGGCACCATTGTGGATTAGCGCCCTCGCAGAAATCTCGCGAATGCGATCTCGCACAAACTCGGCGCGTCTGGATAGCGGTCGCGCCGAGCGAATTATTCCCGGTTGTTGGAGTAGCGTATCTTCGAAATACAGGCCCAAGTCTTCGCAGGCTTCGGAGTTGGGGGGGGGGGGTTCTTGTGTTGACGCTTGTTCCTTGTCGTAGGGCGTCGAGCCTTGGGCGTGTGGCGTTATCGGGCCGACGTTTCCTCGGCGTTCCCGTCGGGCGTGCGGCGTTATCGGGCCGGCGTTTCCTGGGGCTTGTGTGGCGTTATCGGGCCTACACGGGGGGTCTAGTGCACGGCGGTTATCAGGCCAGTGCGGTCCTTCGCCTAGGCAGCGCGTTATCGGGCGCCCACCTAAACGGTATACGTTTAACGTGCCTTTGTTCCAGCACGGGTCTGTGGGGGGTGAGCACCCGAACCAGCAAACGACGGGGGGCCGCGATATCGAGGCGGCTCTACTTGCCGGCGCTTGGTGGTCCCCTGGAACCTCGGAGAAGACGGGAGGTCTTTGTGGTTCAGAGAAATTTCGGGACTGAGTCCTTACCCTATCCTATGTCCTTGCTACTGGCTACTCTGTACTACTGCTTGCTAAGCCTACCGCTCTGGGCCTATCCCTACTTTTGTCGTGCTTGCACTGCCGTCCTTCAACCTGGTTTGCGTGGCGCAATCAAGATCTTACCTCGGCGCGTTTTGGTCGGCGGGGGTTAGGGTCGGCGCGTTTTGCTCGGCGGGGTTTAGGGTCGGCGCGTTTTGCAGAACCGGGTGCGCTGGTCGACCCGTCGGATGATTACGCGTCGCACTGGATTCTGGCACCGTGTCTCACGGCCCATCACCCACACCGACTTTCCCGTCGAGCTCGGCCCTGCGTCGCGCTCATCAATCCGCGTCGCGTTCCAGCAGCCGCGTCGAAGTCCATCACTCGCGTCCCGGCGCCTTCTTCCTCCGGCGCCCGGCGCGCCCACTTCTTCCGCGGGGTACTACACCACAATACATTGCGTGACGAATTAAAGTTTGTGAGGCTGGTAAACCAGCAAGCTGGTCTCCCAGGAAAACTGACACTGTCATTCCAGCCAGATCTACCGGACTTAACCCGCAGTTTGGTACTGCTTCTGCCGAGAAAGCTTATCACATCTCACTTGCGCTTTTCTTAACTGCGCATCATTTTCTGTTTACTATTTTTTGATTACTCGCCATAACTCATAAGCCTACAAGCAATATGGCATACTAACACCTTGTCACGCGCAAGACATCGTCCGCGATTTACGTCTTCGTACTTATAAATATTCATTGTTTCTCTATCTCGCTGGTTTGGACGTATTGGGGTAATACAAATTTATGACATAACGATTAATACATCTTATAGTACAAGCGCGCGCTCATAGCTGAAGACGAGCTTGCCTATACTGGAAAGGAGAATTGGGTATTATGCGAGAGTTGATATGGTAAAAAAAATTGCGGAGCCCAGTTGTAGCGGCTCACCAGGCGCCGCAAAGCTCTATTTATTAGTTATTATCACTAGAAATCGGCATAATTTCGTACTCGTAGGACGACCAATCTAACTCATCAGAACCGCTGCTTTTCTCTTAAGCTTGGTCGACCATGCACTTGATGTCTGTGTAAATGTTCGTACCGAGAGCCAAAATCAAGTTCGGCTCCCGAAGCTTCTTGCATCCGATGTAGTCAATTATTGGCCCACTTATCCTCTACGCTTTAACGGACTCCGAAAAAATACCAGATGTTTTCTCGTCGGGGGGGGGGGGGGGGGGGGGGGGGTAGTCAGAACAAAGTTCGCTAATTCACCAATATTTCCGTAACCGCACTTAAACTACGTGATATCTATATTTCAGTAGCAAATATTTAAAGTGCTTACTGCTGCTTTCTTGCCCGATACTGAGCTACTGCAGGATTTTAATGATGATTGCTGGTATTAGATTTAATCGACGAGATTTTCATGATTAGTCTGGTTATTTTGAAAAGCACTAGTTCTGAGACGATACGTATTATGAAGCGATACGTTCGTTGGGATAATATGTAGTATGTCCGAGATAATACGTATTGCCTCCTCAACAAACACGGCCTTAAAATGAAGGTGGCTACGTTGTCTAGTTCTATATACCGGCCGAGCAACCCGGGCTCAAAGTTGGCGCATGCCGCCAGTAAGGCCGATATGTCTTCACCTTTTAGTCCAAACCTTTGTATATCACATTGTATCGAAACGATTAGAAGGGTTTCACCAGATTACACGTTGTAACTTCGTTGTGTAACCAGTAATCTTATAGTGCAAGCAATTATAGAGCAACTTTGATAGCTTTCACGTGACGGTAGAGGTGGATGTGTTACGCATCAAGTGCACTTACCAGGATTTCTTCTCTAAGTTGCCATCTTTGCGGTTGCCCTATAGCAACTAAACGCCTGCGACTACTTTAGCAGTGCAGCATACAACAAGTTCTAATTGTGCTGATCCCGTATAAATATTTTTTATAGGTGATACAATATTTGTATTGATGTAACTACTGTGGTTACAAGTGAACATAGTGAATCAGCTGGAACACCTGGGGGGGGGGGGGTAATGAAGGGCCTACCAAGTGTCGGTAGCGCGGGATCGACGTACCAGGAGGAAAACGACAGTTCGAGTGATGAAGTTGGCCCGGATGGGAGCTGCGAGACTGTTGGGCACGTGAACGCGGTGACAGAGGGGTTACGGCCAGGCTTACGGAGCGCAAAGTGCGGGAAGAAAATGTACTCCTTGTTGCTCTAACGTGACCACGGCCTAAATGTCTTGCTTGGGTCCTTCCATAGATATTTATATTACAATAAGTAGCGTAGATATAAATGCCGATCTTTTGGACCTAACCAGTGTTTGGTAGTCTGGAATTCTGAGTCCCGTTAAATGACCACAAACTGTTCTAATCATCCAGAAAAGCGGAAAATGTAATTTCCCACTACTCCGACACCTTGTGCCGATAATACATTTATCATAAAATGCATACTCAGGGGTCACTCTGCATTTCAACATAGTATCGGTTCAGTAAATCTGTGATTGTTCGCAAAAAGCGCGTCGAAAGCATTCTGAGCGTGAAGGGTCGCTTTAACCAAGTAACAGGCGCCGAAACGGCGCAGTCAGCTCTCTTGCGAGACAAGCGGTCTCTATTTTGGACAGGTTCCGACCCATCAGTAAATAATATTAGTATGGACTCCTTAGAGCACTGAAAAGACTACATACTATATGTCATCAATTCGATTTGGTTGTACCCCACTACCACTGGCGGCAACACTTGTTGGGTTATAATCGGATGGCACCATTGGAAGCACGAGCGCTCATTTACTCCGACAGATGTTTTCGTGAGGACAGCCAGGCCTCCCGATTATGATACTGCTATTTGTCCACCTTCACAACATAAATTGCTTCTCTAGCGTCGGTAAATAATATCATTATCAACTACCAACACATACATAAGAGAACAGCTTAATACCCTTTTATCTTGTGGCTACATCTATCGTTTGGACCGAACAATTCTGCACGTTTTGTCGAAGGAAGAGCTGCATCTCCAGCGTGACCAGCTGAAGGCTGTGCCGCGCATGGTCGTACGCTGTTCCGGCGACGTTAAAAAAACGCTCAGCTACGTTAGACGTAGGAAGGGTTCCCCCAGCAGCTCGTATCTAGGCTCCACCGCTGCTAAGCGGTGTCGCTTTTGGAGCCGATCTACGAATGAGCCCTTATCACCGCTCTCTGCGTCTTGGCCATTAGGTCGGTCGCTCGCATCCTCGCAGCGGAACGGGTGCAAGGCAGCTTTCTCGCCTCGCGTGGGGCGGCTCGTCTTCCCTTCCAGGACCCGAACGCAGCCCGACTCAAAGTCAGGTCTGTGCACAATGTCGGCGCGGGGCCCTGTTACATGCAATAAATTTGTTTAGAGCCCAATGACGATTATCATGCAAACAATAAAAAAAAACATACCGAGATACGTGACGTACTGTCTCATAATTGGGATTAAGCCGTCGAACCACACGTGCACATCCAGCAAACTCTCGCCCTTGCCTTGGAGGACCTTGATCACGGACTCGATCTTCTTCAGGCCTTTGAGCAGCCCCCGAAGCTGCTTGTTGCTTGCCGGCGCCGGGGGGATGCCCACCAGGGCATCGTCCGTCGTGGCGAGGTGCTCCAGGATTCGAAAATAGCGGTTCACCATTGAAAACTTCCGAGCTCCATCATGTGTCTTGGCGAATCACGTAAGCGTGGTCTCCAGCCTGCACAAAATTATACCACATTCAAGCTCGGTTCAAAAGGGATTGGTTTCGGACAAATTGTTAGTTTGAGAGACTATAAAAAGGCAGGTGTATCCAGCCCGATTCAGCCTAGGCCCGAATTTCAAATCCAGATCTTTTGAGCATATTGAGCTGGATCACGTGTTGGGTGTTTCAAATTGCAAATGAGCTGAATTAAGAAAATTCGGCTGTATGTAGCCTAAAGCAACTGGATGGGGTGCAAGTCGAACACGGCCTTAAGAAAATTAAACTGTGATTAAAAGAATCACAAGGAGTAGGGGGGGGGGGGGGGGCAGCAGGGGGGTCTTCGTGACGCCGTCCACCTCGTAGCAAGCGAAGACATTCGACAAATTGCTCCGACGCGTGGCTCCAGCCGTCGAAGGTGAGTCCAATCGTGCGGGCATCTCGGCGGCAATGAAGCGCTCCACAATCCGAGTGAGGCCTTCCATGGCGCGTAGTCCAAATTGGAATCTACAGGACATCACACTAAAAGTAGGTATCGTAGTTAGAAGCAATCATGTATTACTTGTCGCTTTGCAGCTTGGTTCTCGCAGAAATGCATCGATAGGTCGTTCTTGACGATCCAGTCAGGCCAGTCCTACACGGTCTGAGCTGAGCGGCGAACGTAGTTCATGATTGAGCTAGTCTCAGCTGTAGGAGCAGCCAGCATCATAGACTCGTAGTCCGGGTGCTCCCGACGCACGTATTGCATGAGGTTCGTGCAGCCATTGCGACGGGTCTGTGTCCGCACCATGACAGTGAAAGTACTCCGAGATTGTATCGTCCATGTCGCCGCGACACGGACGGAAGTAGGACCCCCCTCCGCCGGGGTGAAGGTGGCGTGGCGCGTGGCGAGGGCCATGGTTGATCTGGGTAGTATTGAAAATAGCATGCCATAATCGGGAGGCCTGATGCCAGCTCCATACAACCACCTAACTGCGTAAATATCGCCTCCAAATCCATGAATTCACGATCAAGGCGAAGGAATCGCAGTGGACCTAGGCGTACTGGTCTATCGGTCGGTTTGAGGCCACCTCCGTCTGGACCATGCCGATTTGCCTCTAAAGAATATTCCTCCGAGTCTAACACATCCCAGCAGCAATTTTAGTCGCTAACTGCTTCGACATAGCGCAAACTAGCGTGTGCGCAGAAGCCCGTCGGTGAGATCAAGGCCAAGCTTCGGAAATGGACGGTGGACCTGTATTGGAAGTTTGCTAGAGTTTTCAGGGAGCTTAATACTCCAAGAACTACATAGCGACTAAGACCCGGTACTAGCTGGGACGAATTAGACTCAGAAGGATAAACTAAGTGAATGGATGGATGGGAAACTGTATGGTTGCCGACGTAAGAAATGATTGATTGGCTTTGTTTTTATTACATAACCAAGCTAACATTATCAAGCTATTATGGGGAAGGTTGAGTAACAAAGATGAATATCGGGTTGTTCTGGGAACAAGAGCATCTCCAGCATTGCTGGTCTCAAACGGTAAAACAAAGGCTTTTACGATTTAGCCGAAACTTAAGGCTCCCCGCGGCAGGTCTTATTGCAAGTTTTAGCTTCACAGTAACTTATAGATTGGTTTTTGAGTCTTAAATATAAGACCCCAATCGTAATTCCACCCATACAAAACTGAAGGGTCGAAAGGTTGCAACAAAACTTAATGCAATTTCAAAGCGTGGAACGCACTTATAAGGCTCGCTTTAGAACTCAGGGATGGGAATAAGTCGGTCTGCTCAGGTCTCAACTACAAAAATGTGGTAACAAAGACCCCACTATACCTCAGAATAAGGCCCCGCCGCTGAAGATGCTCTTATAATGATGAATGACGGGTTATAATTAGGAAGGTTGGATTGTATTGAGTAATGACGGGATAGACCGAATTTCCCCTGGGGATATTTGGGTTTGTAGAGTCTCTACAAAGTTCTTAGCTTGCAGATTTAGAAATGCTAAAAATGTTGCGGCGCCTAAGGAGCCCTATCATACTCTGGATTTGATGTAAATGAACTTAATATTGGCCAAGTTACTTCATTTGGGTCCCAAGAATACCTGCATGTCACACAACTGAGCACACTGTGTAGAGTGTTACCAGTCGTGTTTGATAAGTCTAGTTATATCAGCAGTAACGTTGCAACGACTCAAGGACCGACCACGTTCTGCTGAAGCTCAACTGATTTGAGTAGAGCTGAAGAGAATACCAATAGGATAATACTCAAAGTCTTGAAAAGATGACAGCTTAAGTACGTACTACTCATGTATAAGATTCTGGATGTCTGCACAACCGCGCACTGCATTTAAATAGTATGAGGTCGTGAAGAGTAAGGCTTGGGATTTTGCCGTGCATACAGTTTCACCTCTTGTGATAATGTTACTTTTCGATGGTGTCAAGCTGAAGCTGAAGAAATTTTGCGTGTTCTTGTCCAGGAGGTCTGCCGACAATGAACAGTCGGCGACGCGGCGATTCTGCAATCGCTTTGTAGAGGTAACGCTGAGGCAAGTGAAGCTCCTTTGTGGGCCGGGATAAATTCAGCATGTCGTACTGCTTAAGCCGGAGGGCATAATGGAGGGCATTAATAGAATACCCCCCCAGTTAGCCAGTTGCCGTGGTATTCCGGTTTTCTTTCGACAGGCGTAGCTTGCACACCACGTATCGCATGTCCCCTTCGTCGATGTAGTCTCGAATCTGCATACAATTATTCACCGCAAACAGTCCGCAGAACGAATAGCACTCCGGCATATCACTCTGGTTGTGGCAGACAGCTGCACACGTGCGCATACTGCAGCTCACTATGTAGGCCACGCTGGTAGTCCTTCTGCTAAAATAGCAGCCCTCGGATGAGTCGGAGTATCCAACAAAGTAGCCAAGCAAGCTGCAGCAGGCACTACGCTCTGTGAGAATGTGAGTCCTGGCACGATACCTCGTGCGTCTGCCTCGTACGCGCGAGGCTTGAAACAGAAGAATGAGCGGAGTCCCGAAGCAGGGAGGGCTTCTCCCAGCTGAGAAAGTTGGGACGCGGATCTCCTTTCAAACCTTAAAATATTTTGGGCTCAACCTATCGGTTAGAATATTTCAGACTGAGGGAGGGTGTCAAGACAGCGGTCTTCAACTACAACGTATTTACGTAAAAACTAAGATATAGCATACACAAACTTGTAATAACTTTGTTAGTACATGTCCTGTAGAACTGGTGGCTGCGGAGGTTCCACAGCCACACCAAGCTCGTAAGCCTGCAACGGCCAAATGCAATCGCTTTTCGTTTCCTGCCTCAACTGTCCAAGTGTCCTCTCCCTCTCCCTCTTCCTGTTCCCGCTCCCGCTCACACTGATGTGTTTCTAATCCCGTACCACTCTGCTGCCTGCTGCCAAACCTCCCACCGTACAGCGACAACACAAGGGTGTACATGCAGGGCATCGCTCGGACCGGGAAGAAGTTGTTTTTGCTTAGCCACGTCATGACCTTCTTTGTGGTACAAATGCGCTCCATTCGAAAGCCGGGCTGTAGGTTGTCATGCGGGTGCAACAACTGGCGCCCGGTAGCACCCTCTCTAGCCAAGTGGCCGAGCTTATCGTAATCCGGTGCCAAAGCACTGTTAGAGGTACATCAGCTCCTTGGGGTCCGCGCTTGTAATACCAGGGGTATGGCCTTACGGGCTGTACGACATCCATCAACACTACGTGGTTAACCAAGTGGCTGTTCTTCTTATTGATGAGGCCACTCTTCTTGACAGCAAGGCGCGGGACACAACCGGCGCAAAACTTGGTGTAGCTGTAGTACGTCATGCCGGTTACTAGGATCGCGTACTTCTTGCCAAAGTGGGGGTTATTGTGCTGTAGGATAGACATAGAAATAATAAATTGGTCAAGACTTAGTTTGAGGCATTGTTGACTATGGTCGCTGCTTCAAATAACCTCAGATAGGGCATGTCCTAAAACGAAGTCGTAAACCTGTTTTAGATTTGGCCAGTCGTAAAACTACATAGAAGCGTTGATAAGATTGGATTTCGCACGAAAGCCAGCTCATTGCCCAAATCGTTCTTGCCATTCAAACTGATACAAGCTCAGCATTAAATTCTATAAGGTGGTGAATTGATAGTCGTTTTAGCTTCATTCGCTCCGGGACAATGGATAAGGCAATATGATGCATACAACAGCGGTTCAATACTACACCTGGTTATGCCTAAGCCTGCGACTGCCCCTTAACCCCAACAGCCTCCAAATCAAGGACAAAAGAACCAATAAATTGAAGCTAACCTTGACCGGAGTTCTATGAGATACACTATCTAATTCCTATGGAAGAAAGCCCTGGATTACCTCTTTAAAGTGTGTGTCTCGCAAACTGTCCACCATCGTCCATCATGCCTAAAAGACTATAAACAAAGTGTCATTAATAACATATTGCGTTTTCTGTTTTGTCCTTGATTCTAGGACAAATATCAGAGAATAACTGACAAATATCAGAGAATAACTTGCGTCCAGTATGTGGTTTCGGCCGTTACGCCTCGCGAACAGGCATTATACTTGGTATACATGACACACCCGTACTTATCCGGATCTTATCCCCTCCCATACAAACGCCAAGTCACTTTTGGTCCTTTTTGCTGGTTCTAGGACAAAACGCCAAAATCGTAGCGTACTTAAGCGAATTTTGGTCCTTGATTCAAGGACAAAAAATGTTGGGGTTAAAGCCACCCTCAACCAAATGGGCATGTACGTCAAGCGTGAACTGCATACGCGCTATGGGTGACAACTGATCAGGATAAAACTTGTTCTTCTTTCAGCACTTGTACGGACTCCAGCAAGCTCAAGTGGGCACCGCCAAAAGTGTCAGCTAGGGATTCTGTTGTAAGCTTTCAAAGAGTTGTTTGTCATAGCAATAGTTATTACCAGCTCTATTTCGTCCTTTGTTCTGCTCATTTTTTTCGGTGAGTTACTTGCTTCCAGTGGAATAGAGATCCGCCTGTGTAGGCGCTCTCAAGCTATTTTCACACGCCTAAATGAAGCACCTGCTCGAAATCACAGACTGCGAAATTTGGAGACCACTTCATGGTTGGCACGGCACCGAGCTCTCAGCCAACTTCGGACCTTCGGAATTGGCTTGCCGCGCTATTCGTGACATCGTCTCCGGATGTCACAACATACGCCGCCATTCTGCGTAGTTTGCAGTATTGATGCGGCATTTGTTTAATTCAGATAGTGCTATTTCTGATGTTCCTGTCTTAGTTTGTATGTATGTGCTGCAAACCAGCAGGGTGGATGTCCAATTAAACGAGGACGCCGAGGACGTGGTGGTCCACCAGTACTAGACCATCGAGCTGCGTGATAAGACTACGTATCTGATCGACTACTAAACAGGGGCGACGCAATCTGCTGAACGAGGCAGACGAGGTGCACTTGCCTTCGTATAGTCCGGACAGGTCCGACCCCGGTTAACATCTTTTTGGGAGGCATGTCGAAGTCGATACAAACCTCGTCGGCTTTGTAGAAAGCTTGTGTTATTGCAGAACTCCTAAAGGTTTAGCGCAAACACCTGGCACGTTGTAGCAATTTGCGGTTTTGGCGGGGAACATTCTATATCAATAAGCACAAATCGTTAATAAAATTAAATCGTATAGTCAATCATAACGTTATTGTTTCAAACTACCCTCCGCAAAAGCGTTGGCAAGCGAGTTCAAGGGCTTTAAGTCTGCTCCTGATCAAATCCTTATCGCTCATGTAGTAATTACGTCAGCAGGAGTGGTGCGCGTGATGTACTGGTACGGTAGCACCCATTTTGCTCCAGATTTTGTACGAAACAATACTTAATTCAAGTCAAACATAGGATCTATTATTACGGTGGGCTAAACATCGCACAACGTGTCCATCGGCGTGCTGTGTTTTCTGGTGTTACATCTTATCGCCTATCAGTCATTTGCTTCTTAGAAGCCCCCCCCCTGAGCTGCAGAAGAATCGACTTCTGTTTACTATTAACTTCGTTGAACCGATACAAGTGACGATCTGTGATGCTACAATGGAGTTGTGAACATTGTGATTGAACAGTCCCATCTCAACGTGGCCAACCCCTGCGCGACAAAGATTCGCTCTCTCAACTGACTTGATCGAACAAGACTCAAAGCGAGTGCCCGTCCAATCGGACCACATTCTTGAACCCGGGCCCTGCTGCTGAATAGTGGAGAAGGGGGATTTTGTTTTGCACGAAGAATAGCCTTGCTGGTGTTGGCGGTGTTCGAGTTGAAATGCGCTCTTTCGTTAAACTATCATTTTAAAATATATGGCTTTTTTAGCAGATCTAGACAAATTCGCTGCATCGTAGAAAAAAGGGGTAGCAGCAGCTTCAAACCCTGGGTCCGACCCTTTGCTGGCGTACCTGATGGACCACATAGCGCCTCCTACCGCTGCTGGTGATGCTACAACAAACACGATAATCATGCTCCGTCGTCGATGACGGCGGCGGCAAATCGTATATTTAGTGGGTCGTTCGTGCCAGGACAGCGGCGTGGTCACTTCCGCGCATATCCGCCATCTCCAGCGACGACGATGATGTCGCCTGGATGGAATCGTCCGAGTGATTTGGGAGACTTCTGAGTGTAGTATCCTGTTTAGGGTTAGAATGACAAGTTCAAGACTTATGTCCAGTGTTGCGCCGGAGATGCGGTGTGATTCACACTTTTGCAGATGTAGAAAACACATCGATACATGTATGCCGATACAGAAGTGCACACGGTCGTCTTCAAACAACTACTTCATTGCAGTGCGCAGTCGCTTCTTCTTTGACTCTTCCGGAGTCCTAGCGTAGGAATTTTTACGTCAACGTTTTGGAGTCCCCGAAACTCCACGGCCACGTCGCCCTCCACAGACACCTCGGTTTCCTTGCTGCGCACATTGTAGCGGTATGTCGCGCGCTTGTATATCACCTGAACTGAAGATCGCAACTGGCAATGAGTTCACCAACGACCGCGTGCTTGGATTTGAAGAGTCTCCTCACACCGTAGACAGCGAGAGCGGGGTGGTGGTTGGCGCCCCGTATTTTCATCTTTTGCCTCCCCCAACCAGGACACGTACAGAATGGAGCCTGTAGTAACTTGTGGTGCGGCGGTCTTATAGACGTACATCGCTGCGATGGTCGGACTCGTGCTACACGCCGATGCTTCGCTATCGTCCTCATTGTTACTGCTTGGTTCATCTCTACAACAGCGTCATCCCGCTCGTCGTTGTCATCGTACAGCAGAAATGAAGTGGGACTAACGTTAAGGTGCGGTACCACCTCGTTGGTAATGTCGATGACTTTGCTGCGAAAGGCCAAGAACGCTGCTGAGGCCATAATGGCAGCTGTAATCTTGGCATCTCTAATACTATGACGTGCTACATGGGTTACTCGATAAACAAGATGTCTGACAATTTTTCCAGTTAAAACACACAAAATTGTTGTTCGTTCGAAGCCGCAATCACGTTCAAATAAAGATCCATTTTGCCGTGTCCCGTTACCGAGCAATGCGTCTTGAATTGTCATCCTAGCTTCCTGTCTGTAAGCTTTAGGTGCAGGCGGTATCTCGTTCTCACGTCAGAATCAACCAGGCCGACGTATCCAGCGCCAGAAGCGCGCTGCATTAACGATTTTCTTCGTTCTGTTATTTTCTGTGCTCCCTTCAAGCCCAACCAGCCTCTCTACCGAGCCCTCGCCGCTCCTATCAACCGAACGAAGAATCCGGGCCTTATCCAACGACGCACCAGCTATGTGAATACTATTTGAAGATCGAGGTGACCGCTACCATCGTCGGCTGTGTCCTGGGAGCCGCTTGAAGCTGCGGAACGACAGCTACACAACCATTCTACGCCACTGGTAGCGCCACCATGACCGCGTGTACATGGGCGAGTACAACGTCCTGGTCGGCCGCCCGAACACTCTCAATGCTTTCATCCGGGTCATCGCGACCCCTGCCATCATGGACAGCTGCCGGGTGATGGACTGGATCGTGATGGAGCACCACGAGCTATCGTTCTGCGAGAGAAGCGGAGCCCGGAGTACACGCTGCTTGGTCTCCTCGCAAGGGCCAAGCTGCGTCGACACCGAGCCCGCTGCGCAAGATCGTACCCGTGCCTGACTTATTGGCAAACGTTTAGGATTTTTCGATCGACACGCGGAAGGAGTCTGGTACTCACTGCGCTGTCCTAGTCACTGTTTTTCCCGTTACGGAGTGACAGAAGCGTCAGGGAGAAATACTTGCTCGTATTCTCCCCGTTTGCCGACGAAGGCGACCTGGGCGCGGACTCATTCATTGATCTGTTGGAATACGCTTTGGACATAGCGTAGACCTGCTGGTGTTCTATGTCTGCCACCATGCTTCCGTGAACGGTGCACTTGCATCCAGAACCGATGTACCTATGTTTGGCTGTGCCGGTCACCACCACCAGCTAGTGGCTCAAGGCCTTCTTGAACCCAACGACAACCAGTTTGTGATACAAAAGTACACGGCCTCAAGATCAACACGCTTAAGACTCGCCAAGCGCTACGTGAAGCGAGGAGGGGGGCAATAATACCCGTGTCTAGTACCACTCGCTGGAGCAGTACGTACCGGATTCTGGACCGCTACTTCGATATTGCGGAGCTGATCGTCCACACGAATCGTAAGCTGTTGGATGCCCTGCTGACTCCAAGAGAGAAGGCAAAGCTGGAGAACATTTTCAGCTGAAGAGTCTTGGGAGCGTTGGCCAGTGACTGCAGGCTGGGGATGCTGACAAACTGGAGACATCGCTACTCGATGCCCGACGCCTCCAGGGGTTTCCTAACAGTTCGATTGCACAGTCATTTGACAGTCGCATGCAGAGGTTAGGATAATTGACCAAATCATGGTATTGGTATTACTGGCCCTGCTGGAGGTCTGGTATAAATATCGGTTATACAATACTTTCGTATAGAAAACAAGTATCAGTATTAATACAGATTGTATTAATACTCTGGGTAATACTTTATGCTTGTACAACTTTATGTGGCCCACATTAGCTCGGCTTCGCCAGTGGCGAGTCTATACTGAGCCCATAGAACAGTTCAACGCTGAAGCGATCCAATCACCTTGACGATCCGAATGGCATTGAAGACCTTCTTCGTAGTATTCATACGACGGTCCTTATGTTGCAGAGGCAGCCAAGACAAGCGTAGCGCGACCTGAAGATGTGGCTATGTAGTGGTAGTCCCGCGGCACTGGTCTTAATTATCACAGGCAGGGAAATATTTTTGTGGGTAGTTGGGAAGTATGTCGGTAGCTTGGTTTAGTGATCGAACGCAAACTTCCCCTTTGCATTTATTGTGAAAACCGATTAGTTTGTCCTGCTGAATTAGTCGATTAAACATCGCTCATAGCGGATTTGACGGCTAATAAATCGGGGATGTATCAATTATAATCGGAGTATAAATCGGTCATCGGCCTCGTAATTATGTGCAGCCTAGCAATTTCGATCAACATGCATTTACCTCAGCCCGAGACTCGCCAAGTGCAGCGGCAACACCGCGCTTAAACGCGTCGCCTGCATATCTCAGTTACATGTATTATAGCGTGCGGCTTTTCCTGCTTAGTTCTGATGTTAGTGTTGTAGCCTTGACTACCTAGTCAAGAGCGACTGCAACGATTGTTGCGTGGCGGCTGATTTAGCCTACAAGGAGCGAATGCCGGTTGCACATCGGACATTCCATCTGAATAGCAAGCAAATCGGCCGGCCCTGGCTTAATCGGTCGATTACCAAATGTAAATCCGACTCATATGCTCTGACTCTGTAAGTCGTCCTAGGTAATAATCTTGAGTATAAATCGAGGTACCCCAGTCTAATTAGGAGGTCTGATTTAACAAATGGGGGGTCGTAGGTCTTATTAAGCCACTAAATCGGCGGATTAACAATCCAATAAGACATTCTAATCGGTTTTCACAATAGATGAAGTTTCTGTTAAGGTCGTGGTAGACGTTGGCACGGTGCCTCGCGCGGGTCACGCTGTCCGACGGGTATCGAATAGCACCGCGGAGGACGTATAGAGAGTGGAAGTGCGCGAGAATGCACTGAAATAGCGCCTGCGTGGGTTCGGAGGGGCTTCTGGAAGTATAACCGTAAAATATTACTGGTATTACCAATTCCGAGGAGTAGTATTACTTCAATTATCCTTATACATTCGCCCAAAAAACGAGTATAAGTATTAATACAATCTGTATTAATACCGAAATTGTATTACTGAGTAATACAATACTTTGAGTTATCCTAACCTCTGGTCGCATGATGCTTACAAGGGTTAGATTCTATATGACGCACACGAGAGAAGTTAGCCGCCGTGACTGGCACCAAATCATCGTTGTTATCGGCGCCGAAGGCCCAAAACCTACGGTGGTAGCGCATGGTGGTGCAAATGGGGCAGAAAAAAAGACTTTGGGTACAGAAGAGTGACCTCTGTAAAAGAGGAGTGACTCTTCGAGGAAAGACTGAGCCTTCGGCAAGTTTACGCCAAGTCATCTGCAGACGCTTGTTTCCTTTCGCTGAGAACGCATCTAAGGCAAACTGCGCTTGGCTCCCAGCTACTTTGCAGATAAGGAACAAATTGCAGGTCAACTTTGAATTTCGATTTGATTCTTGACGATGTAAAGCTGGATATTCTCCTTCGTCGAGTTGGTGAATGTGGTGATTGGACCAGCATTGAGCAGTTGGGATTCTACTGGGGTGCAGGCGATCCTTGCATTCATGTCAATGACCAAGTGATGTGGAACCTGGAGGAATCCAACGCTGACTCGCGCGAAACAGATGACACTGTCGAACGCACAAAAGTGAGAGCAATCTATCAGTTGTTATATCATTGAATTTGAGTAAACATTGACATCATAACGAGAAAATCACAGGGGGGGCTTTTAGTATTCGCAGTATCTTTAGCAACCCAAATACAGTTTCGCTACACTACATTTGCTGCGACGGGAGTAATAATAGCAGTTGCGTACGCACAAGACCACACCCTCAGTCGGGTAAAGGTCGGTAACTTAAAGCTCCGCTTGAGGGCAGATTTGATGCGTACCACGAGGGCTGGTGTAAGGACAATGATTAATAAATCGTCAACGTACACGGCGATGTAGCAGGGCCAGACGGGAACATTTTCATGAAGACACAGCGGTCTTTGATGAGGCGGCAGAAGCCGAGATCCCCCCCAAAACGTGCACAGTGTATGGTACCACACTCGAGGGGCTTGTCTAAGACCATACAGACTTTTGACGAGCTTACATACGAAATCCTCCTTTCCAGGGGACTTTGAAGCCTTCGGGTTGACGCATATATATTTCTACGTCAATGAACCCGTTAAGAAAGGCGGTTTTAACATCCATTTGGTGGATCTCGTAGTCTAGTAGTGCCGTTATGGTGAGGAGCAAACGGAAAACCTCCATCCGGATAACCGGGGAGAAGATATCGTCGTAGTCTATCCCGTAGCGCTGAAGGAACCCTTTGATGTGATGACCAGTCTAGCTTTGAAACGGTCAATTTGACCAGTGGCGTCGTACTTAACGACAAATACCCACCGACAACCAATGACTGAGCGGCCTCGTGGTGGTGGCACCAATTTCCAGGTGCCGTTGTCGATGAGGGACTGGCATTCGGCCTGTGCTGCACGGCGCCACTCATGGGCAAAATCAGAGCACAGGGCCTCTCGGTAGGTTCTAGGTTCAGCCACATGCCGCAAAGCGAGGAGAACGTACTGGTGTTGGAGACGTTCCTCTGCTTCGTTGAGATCGACTGGTGCATTAAGGTAAACATGGGTAGTTCGGAGTCAGAGAGGTTAGCCCGTTTGTTCGTGCGCGGCGGTAGGCCACGAGCAGGATTTTCGTCTGGGGGGGCGTATAAGGTGGTTGGACGCTGTGCTAATGTGAGCTTGCTGTAGATGGTTACCAACGACAGAGCGAAGGGATGGTAATAGAGTGAACTCACCAGGATCGGTGGTAGTAGCGTTAGTAGGAGAAACCGCAGCTGGTACAATACATGCCAAGGTGGAAAACTCATCCTCTTTGAAGACAAGATCGCGACTGTATACAATCCTGCTCATCTTGATGTCCATGAGGCGATAGTCGTTTTTGTTGCGCGGAAGCCCAAAGTGCAAGCTGTGGATAGCACGAGGGTCGAGCTTGTTGCGATGAGCAGAAGGGATATGCGCATAGGCACTACAACCGAATACTTTAAGGTACTGCGAGGACGGTTTGCGCTGATACCATTTTTCGTGTGGTGTTTTGTTTCCCGTGGCCGTGCTGGGTGTCATGTTGATTAAGTTGCAAGCATGGGTGACGCATTCGCTCCAGAGCTGTTGCGGAAGGGAGCCATCAATAAGAAATGCTCGAGTGCGTTCAAAAATGGTTCTCATACGGCGCTCAGCAACCCCGTTCTGTTGTGGGGTGTATGCATTCGTGAATTGTGCGCGCGTTCCATACGTCTTTGAAATATGTCGACCCAACTTTTCACATTCTTTAGCGTTATCGGACTGTAAGACCTGGATTTCAGGGTCATAGTGGTTAGTTCGATACTCTAGGTGTTCGATGTCTTTGCGAAAGAGGGTGACAGCACATTGTCGGAAACGCTCATAGCATTCGTGCAATTCGGATTTATTACGAATAGCATAGAGATACATGTATCGTGAATAGTCGTCGATGAACGTCACAAAGTAGTGACAGCCAGACAAAGTGGGGACCGGGAAGGGGCCGGCCATATCAAATGAACCTTTTCAAGAGGGGCTTTAGCACGTTCAACAGGGGCTTTACTGAATGGGGTGCGATGTGATTTGGCGTTACACACATGAGCTACAGAAGTACGTCTTGTCGTCCTGAGCAAGATTGAGGTCCGCAAGTGCTTCGGTCTTACTCACATCCTGCATGAGACGGAAGTTAGGATGATCAAGCCTTTTATGCCATAGTAGAAATGTATCATGCTTACCTGTAGCTGCAAGATGAGCTTCAGCCGGCTGAGGGCTCGTGGACGTGGCCGGGACCGCCTTGAACTGATAAAGGTCCGCCGAGGTCGCCAGGCGAGCAAAGAACTTGTAGCGGTTTGCATAGTACAACGTGCACTTTTTCGGGTCAAACACGATCTTGAAGTCGTTGCGGACAGCGTTAGGGACAGATAGAAGGTTGAACTTCAGTTTGGGGGCGTAGAGCACGTTGGCGAGGTCCACGGTGCGCGTGGCACCCTTGGTATCTTCCATGAGGAGGCGGATAGACCCTGTACCCTCAACGGGAATCTCGGTTTTGCCACCGACCGTAATGTATTCACGGCTAGGCGTGAGCGAGGTGAATCATTCTTTAATGGCGGTAATGTGGCAGGTGCAACCGGAATCCACGATCCAGGTGAGGTCGGGAGTAGCCACAGAGGCCGCGAGGCTCACATGTTCAACCAGGGGTCCCGTGACAGCAATGATGCCATAGTCGGTTTGCTTGTTGTTTTTGCGCTGCTGAAAGTCGACGCTCTCGCGGTCGACGGAGACCGAGTTGCCGAAGCGGTCGAACGGCTCGACCGTATCGTCAAACTGCAGCTTGCGCCCAGCACTGTTGTTGTTGCGATTGTATCCACGGTTATTGCTGTTGTTGCGGAAGCCGTTTTTGGGACGGGAATTGGGGTGGGCGCCGCGTGGATGCGAGTTGGTAGGTCCGCGATTCGGGACGTTGACAGAGAAGTTTTCGGGGGGAACGGTACCGCCCTTGACTCGCCCAGCAAGGAGATCGCGCTGAAGAACTCGGCACGTAGTTCTCGCGCGAACAATAGTCACACCGGTTGTTTGCCGCGACGAGGGCAGTCGGCACGTGGGAATCCGTTTCGGCAGCTTGTAGAGCAGTTTCAGCACTCTCGGGGGATCCCTTCTGGATGATGTACTTTGTCTTCGCGAGCTCGCCCCGAAATTTTTGCCCTCAGTTCGGCGTACGGGATGAACTTCCGAGTGCCTTTCCAGATCTGCAAGTCATTGCGCCATGATGTGGGCATTGCAAGGTAGAGGTAGATGGACTGTTGCTCATCGCTCAGGCTACTGTTTGTCGAAACGGAGCAGGCATGGAGGGTTTGCTCCAGCTTCAGGAAGAAGAGAGTCAGGTCCGTGCCTTCCTTGTACTTCAGCTTCATGAGGAAGCTTTGAATGTAGTATGGGTCACCATGGAGGGACTTGTCCTCATAACGCTCACGAATCGTGGCAAAGATCTCGTAGGCCGTCGCTTGTCACGGACGAAAAGGACATGGATGTTGTCGAGCACGCTCGACAGGTACATCTTGGCGCGTGCCCCACGGCGGCGCAGCTCGCGCTTGTTGGGCTTCGGGCGACGCTTGGACGCGGCGCGACGGGCATCCTCCTCCTTCTGCTCCGTAAAGGATAGAATTTGAGGAAGTCCGATTGAGACGTCGTTGGCAGCGTCATCAGGCAAGGCTGAACCAGCCGAGTCAAGCTCCGCGCGGTCGGGGTTGAATTCAGCTTCATCTTCATCTTCTTCAGGCAGTTCCATCACCACATCGTCGTCTTCGGTGTCGGACAAGCCTTCGTAGTTGGGTTTCATGACGAATCCCAGGAGGTGTTTGCCGTCGAGGGTAGCAATCACACGTGGCTTCCAGATGATGTAGTTAGCACTATTGAGGAGAGGTTGGTCGTCGGAGGTGGAGGCTTGCGTAGGGCTCATGACTTGTGAGCGGGAGCGGGAACAGGAAGAGGAAGAGGACACTTGGACAGTTGAGGCAGGAAACGAAAAGCGATTGCATTTGGCCGTTGCAGGCTTACGAGCTTGGTGTGGCTGTGGAACCTCCGCAGCCACCAGTTCTACAGGACATGTACTAACACAGTTATTACAAGTTTTTGTATGCTATATCTTAGTTTATACTTAAATACGTTGTAGTTGAAGACTGCTGTCTTGACAATCAGCTACTAGCTCGCGATGACTGGTATCTGGAGCAGGTTCACCGAGATGACCGCGTGCTTACGCACGCGGTTGATAACCCGGTCCCCAGTTTCTTGCGGATGCAGAGTGAGCCCTGGATCGTCGATGTCAACTGAGATGTACGGGCCTTCGCGCTGCCCGGCGGTCGCCACGTGGTTCGATATGGGAACCAACGGGCGAGCTGGGCCTGGTCGGTAGGAGCCATTAACACACATCAAAAACAAACAAGGAATATGGACAATCACGCAAATCGCAGAGCAGTCACATAAAGGACATGACGGATGCAAAGACAGCTGGCTTAACGTACATAACGACGCGACGAAAACTCATCAAACACGCCTCTCATTTCAGTTAAGTCGACCCAAACATCTTTAGAAGGTAGTTGCGTGAGCTAGTGCCTGCCATTCATATTTTGCATTGGAAATCACGAGAGAAGATGGAGCAAAAAACACAGCAGCGCTCATACAGCTGGACTCAAGTGGCAGCAGGTCTGAGCGAAGAGGGACTTGACGAGTGGATAGATAGCTGTAAGTCGCATCTCACAAATGCATACAACGATGTCAAGTGCCAGATGAGTGTTTTAAATATCGAGTTACACAGGTATGAATACCAGATCATTCACGTCAATTCGCCCTTGGCAATCATACTTGTGTACGCGAATATCTAGCGTTCATTATGACCAATGTGTGCATTGCAGAGTTCGACACGGCTACTGGGCAGCCCGCGGTGCGAAAAATACTTCAGGAATGTTAATTTGAATTTGGATCTGGAGCTGCAGCGGTCGGTGGGAGGCGAAGTAGCGCCACAAGAGCCACCACGATTCCGGGCCATCCCCCCCCCCTGTGCAGCCTGTACGGGGAGCGGATGCGCCAAAGAAGGACACTATCGTACACTCCTGGCCAAATTAATCCGGGCACCCACACTTTTGGCCGTAGCCCCGTCAATTTTTAAGTACTCGCACTGCGCTTTTGATATGTCCTTTGTATTGTATAGAGTAGTCGGGTGTTTGTGTTAACATCCTGGGTTTTGCGGTTTGTACTGTAGCTCCCATACAATAAACCACTTTGACCAAGTGGCCCAAACTTCCGACCACCCTGACTATACTAAACTCAAGACAAATGTGCTGAAATGAATGTATTAGTAATGGGTTTTAGCGCCCTTCTTCTCAATCACTTCAATGCAGCGGCGAGGCATCGACTTGACTAGCTTCACCAGAGCGGCCTGCTCAATGCTATCCCAAGCAGACAAGATGGCAGTCGTAAGTTCAGCTACGTTAGCATACTGACGTCAATTGGGATACACTTTGCGTGCCAGCAATGCCCACACGTTCTCAATGGGATTGAGGTCGGGGGAGCGGGCCGGCCAGCTGAACAGCTTGACGTCCTGCTCTTCGAAAAACTCCATAGTCTCGCGTGACTTGTGGATTGACGCATTGTCTTGCTGATAGACAAAATCAGACTCGTAGAGCGTAAGGAAGCAAAAACTCCGACACAGTATAGATATACTGTGCCGAAGCCTGCCACCCCACTAACACAGCCAGCTTGGACCTGCCCTTGGTGCTGAACGCGCCCCAGACCATTACAGAGCCGCCGCCATTTTGCCGCCCCACCGTCGTCCTTGGCGGTCGTCGCACGTCGTGCCGGTAGCGCTGCATTCCGTCGGGCCCATCTAGGTTGAATTTCTTCTCGTCGGAAAAAATGATGCGGTCCTAGTCTGCCTGTGGCGTTACCACCATGTCCTTGGCCCAAACCAGCCGGTTCGCCTTGTGCTCCGGCGTCAACGGAAGCATGTTCTCCATTTTGGTGTAGACAAGCCAGTCTACACCAGAAAGGAGGCGACGGATTGTGCGAGTGGAGCACTGGCACTGGCACTCGACCTTGAGCTACGCGGCGGAGTAGTCACCGCTGGCTGCTTTGCGCAACAGTCGCACCAGCCTCTCAGACACAGCGACTTTGCGTCCTGGCTTCCGGCGATTCCAGTGGGGCGCAGACAGCGCGAGCACGACAGCATCCCGGGACCTCTTGACCTACTTCGCAATGGCTCTGATTGAGAGCCCTCCTTCTCGAAGTCCACGCACACGACACTTCTCTTCGTCGCTTAGCCACGCTGGCATCTCCTTGAACAAAATGAAAGTGCTGCTTGGAAACTAGAGCGCTTGACGGCGCGCGAGCATCCACCAAAGTGATGGATGGCCAGCAAGCAGTATCATCCTATGTTAAATGAACAATCCTTTCAGCACATTTGTCTTGAGTTTAGTATAGTCAGGGGTGGTCCGAAGTTTGGGCCACTTGGTCAAAGTGGTTTATTGTATGGGAGCTACAGTACAAACCGCAAAACCCAGGATGTTAACACAAACACCCGACTACTCTATACAATACAAATGACATATCAAAAGCGCAGTGCGAGTACTTAAAAATTGACGGAGTTACGGCCAAAAGTGTGGGTGCCCGGATTAATTTGGTCAGGAGTGTATGCGGGGTCTCTGATGGGGTATAGATGTGATGGTCGGAACACTGAGCAACTTCTACATATTCAACTGGGTGGCAACTTCGTTCGATCTATTTTGGAGAGTGGGGGTGTCAGCCTGTAGTGGACACTCTGTCGGTCTCTAAGCAACTCAAAATCACTGCGTCAGCGGAGCAACATATTATGGCGGTGAGCTGTAAATTCATGCGAAATAGATCCATAAAAGGGTGGACAACGCTTATTTAGTGCTAATTCCGCCTAAGATTATGGCCCACAATGTGTGGGTGCTTCCCCTTAACACCCGCGATCAGCATTTGCGAGCCAGTCGACGGCAGCATGGCAGAGCTAGCGGGTAGCAAACCGCCATTGCTCTGTTTTCGTCTGGATTAGCTTATTCCGCCTTAACTTAACCCGCTCTTAATTCGGCCACGGCGGGACGACCCGGAATTAACAAGGGAATTAGCTAATTCAGGTGAAAAACACAATATCAACCAATTATAAAAACTGTAGTTGACATACCATCTGCTTATTGGTCAATTTGACATAAAGCTGCTTACTTTGAAAGTTTCAAATTGAAACCGGCGCACACTGTGCTGTGCACTGCACAGTACTGATGCCCAAGAAGTCCAAGGCCAAGAAGGCCAAGCAGTCCAAGCAGGCCACTGCCTCATCGGTGTTCACCAATGAGGGACCAGCCCACCCGACTCTAGTCGCCGCCAACGCAACACCTGACGTGATGGTGGACTTCCAGGCGTTCTCGCACTACGCTCGCAACGGCGCCAATGTTTCCATTCGAGGCTCCCAAGCCAAAGACCTCTCGGAGTCCACACGAGAGAGCGTCGTATCTCTCTTCGAGGGCAACATGAAGACTCTGTACCAAGCTTCAGACTGGGGGTACGACCCAGCAGCTAAGCGCAAAGAGTTGTTCGAGGACGAGGCACGGTATCTCTTGGTCCACGACGAGAGCGTGACCTCCACAGACTCGGAGTCGGTTGCGCCACTCGTGGGCTTCGCGCACTTCCGCTTCGTGGAGGACGACGGGGCGCTCGTTTTGTACCTGTACGAGGTCCAATTGGCCTCGACGGCGCAACGTCACGGTATTGGCAAGTTCCTCATGCAACTCTTGCTGCTGGTGGCGAGGAAGCACGGAATGGAGCTCATGGTGCTCACGGTGTTCAAGAGCAACACGGGCGCTATGAAGTTCTACCGAGAACGACTGGGCTTTGAGATCGACGAGACCTCGCCTAGTGCGTGCGGAGACGACTCCCAGGACTACGAGATCCTCAGCAAGAGCGTCGTACCGAACAAATAGAGCTGGAAGGTAAGAATAGTCGCAGGCGGACTCAATGGACTTGCTCGCATAAATAACCGGAAGCAATCGAGACTCACTAGATCATTTCAAGCACTGCCTCTCCTCTCTGACGCTTCACTGGGTTCATGTATGGGTTCTCCGCGACGCAGCAGCACTGCTTGTCGCCGCGCCACGCTAGGTCCGCAACTCCTCCTGAAGAAAAATACATTCCAAGGTCTCGTGATCCCCGTGGCGCCTCTCCAGCAGCAGCAAGATGTTAGTGTTCTTGTCTCTGAAGCTTTGGCGAAGCAGCCTCGACTGCGGAAGTTCCAGGAGTTCCCACGAGCGTCTCGCATTCGCGTAGCAGCAAGCAAAGACTGCAGCCCGAGCGGTGTCGACCTCGTTGAGGAGTGCGACGACAATACTTTGATAGGAGTTGGAGACCGCTTGCTGTATCTGTTGCAGCGCTGGCAGGTGACAAATGTGGTGCTGGTGGTAGCGCACCACGATTCCAGTCTCAGTGGGCGGCTGCTGGGTGGCGCTGAGCTCTACAAACTCTCCACAGAAGCTGCAAAGCTGGTTCTGGAGCAACACTACATGGATTCCGTCGCCGAAGCTGCCAAATTCTCGGCGGAAATCGCGGCAGCTGAAGGAGCTGTATCGTCAACAACGGAAAAGAATCAAGAACGGCTGCAGCAAGTCGTCCCGGCAACGTGCGTTATGTCGAGTGCAACCGTCCCAACTTGGCCGAAGCACCACCAGCCGACAAGCGACGGTGGAGGTCGCAAGGGCGTCAAGCAGGGCCGTATCAACCACTTCCGCCACCGAGAGATTACTGCTGCTGAACGAAACCAAGATGCGGAACTAGCCGAAGAGATCGCTAACGAAGGCATTACCAGCGTGATTAGTGCGAAGAGCACGGGCAGTTTGGAGTGGCTGGGTATTTCACGCGAGGAATGGCGAAAGCTGCGCAGTATCCGCGTGCCTGTGCGAGAGCTGCACTATCTCTTCATGTGTTTGGTGGTGCTTCTGGAGCCGCCCATCGAACAGCGCGATGCACGGAAAAGCAAGCCGACCCCAAAGCAACAGGAGCAGTTCGTGCCGTCCGATTTTTCGTGGGCTCATTGTCGTCAAGTGTTGCACAAGTCGTCGGAGTGGAGCCACCGACTGCGTGCCGTGCGTGGCAGCACGCTAGCTCCCTCTCAAGCCGCAGCATTGCGCGCCATCTTCCAGGAACCCACATTCACTGAAAGCGCATTCGTCCGAATCGCAGCGGGTGCTGGCACCAAAATCTTCGCTTGGCTGCAGAAACTTCTTGACGAGTACGACGAGAGAGATCTCGGTCTCCTGCGCATCGACATATTACCCGATGTCACATCTCAAGCAGCAGCATCGCCAACCTCTGTCGAAGTTAAGGAAGAAAAGGACGGGGAACAGCAGCACCAAGATGAGCAGGAGCAAGCCGGGGAGAAAGCCTCGCCGGTTCTCCGAGCACTTCAAAACGTGGTCAAGAGCCCGAGGTCTCCAGGTCACAAGCCCCTAAAAATTGTTGATCCTGGTCGACTTTTCGGCCGCAACCATGCAACTCAATAGTATCTTGAATAAATGCTTCATTGGTGCTACGAGCTTTACTGTGTCGGTGTATCATGGATAAAGTGTAGATGAAGATGAAGATGAAGATCCACGGACAGCCTACTTAGTGCTAAACAGAGTTGGCTGCCGCAGTATCGCGGACCTGACGCTCGATTCTCTTGCGGATGTCGTCAACGGGGGAGGCGCGGTCTCGAGGTTTCGCCATCAGGATGCCTGCTGTGATAGAACTGATAATGATGATGGCGTAGATGAAGATGTTGTAGTCCCAGACCGTGCGCATGCCTTTCAAGTAGTGGATCTGCACTCCCAGGAGCGTTCGCAAGGCCGTTAGACGGTCGTAGTCTGCGAAAGCTTGGTCGCAGAACTGCACCGCTGGAATCGCACAGAGCAGCACCAGACCAAGATTGAAGACCAGCGAGTTCATGTACGTCCCGTGGAGCTTCATTGGGTGCAGCGCGATGCAGAAGCAACGCATCCCGAACTTGAAACAGCCTTTGACCGCACAAGCGAGCAGGTACGAGCTGAAAATGCCGACCGAAATGGTGCCGAAGAGCGGGAACCAGCGGTCAAACCAAATGAAGTACGTGTTGAGGAACGGCAGCAGCGGCGTGTTCGGCAGCATGTAGAGGGCGATGTGGAAGAACCACATGCAGCTGATGACGCTCGCAATGCATCCCAGGAGCAGCTTGAAAATCGGCTTCAACGGGTTGAAGTTCCGGTATTCCTCGTGACAAAGTTTCAGGTCAACGACGTCGCCCTCGAGCAAGTAGACCGACTGCTTGAACTTGTTAAGCGTCACGAAGTCCAGCCGCCGCTGTTTCTTGCGTTCCCACGAGCTCTGTCCGTGACCGGGGCGATCCATGCTCTGCTTGATGGATCGGCCGATCTCGAGGAGCTCCGTTGAGCGGCGCTGAAGAATCAGCTTCTGGATCGCGTAGACGTCAGCACTGATAAACTTCGGGCGATGGAAGAAAGCACTATTGCAGCGGCACAACACACAACGTCAGTGAATAATACCGAGTACAGCACCGTGTAGCGAGAAGTATCTTTACAGGATCAAGTCCATGGGCAGCGCAATAAGTCCAACGCCGCAGAAAATCGAGAAGCCGAACCAGCCGACAAAGCTCGTGAGACCCGTAACGTACACCGGCAGTGAGACGTCCACGGTCAGTGTAATGTGCTGCACCGTGACATTGCTGGCTGCATCGACGACGTCGGTGGATAGTGTCGTGCCGTCGACGTAAGCGTGAAAGCCCGCAGTGGCAGACATGGAGTTCACCTCCAACGCGCGCATTGGGACGTTGCTCTCGGCGCTTGTGATGTAGAGAACCGTGATCAACGCCGCGGCGACGACCACCGTGCCGACCTCCATCTTGATCGCCTCACCCCACTGACTCTTCTTCGGGTTGTCCTCTCCGTCGTCGGCCTCGTAGTAGTAGATCGCGAACGGCAGCAGCACCACCAGAAAGATCACGATGGACAAGAACACCATCAGCCACAGCAGATCCATGTTGATGTTGCCGCACGCTGTGTTCCAGCCCTCGGCGCAGCCGATGGCCGTCGAGTTGTTGGCCACATCCAGCGGCAGCAGCAGTACCGTCGCCTCTGCGAAGAACAGCCCGAAGACCTGCCGTTGCAACGAAAAAGCTTAGCACTGTGTGTACCACCAACACAAAGCAAGACAGATGATCGTACCACGAGCGCTTTCGGAAAGTAGGCGGTGTTCTTGTCGTCGTCGTGCTGGAAGTAGACCAGAATGTAGACGTTGCAGATGAGCAGCGCTACTGCGATGATGATCACCACGGCCAGCAGGAACAGATCCACGCCCATGGCTACAGCAGCAGCGGGCAAACAGGAGATGCCTTCTTTCGCTCGTGCTTCTCACCTATGCCTATGCCTTTCTCGTCGACACTCGACGCAGTGTAACGGACAGCCTGCGGCAAGCGAAACGGACGAGCGTATTTAAGTCTGCAGCTAGCTGCCTGCAGACAGAGTGTAGTTGCTCTGCGTGCACACAGTGCTACATGTAGACATTCTGCTACCAGCAGGCTAACACTACGGTAACGTAGCTATGGTATGATTTGAATGGGGGCCTCAGAAGGTTCTTTCGACGCATTGCGACGGCGGTCGTAACCCCGCCACTCATGCAGTAATTGGACATAGTGTTGTGATCATCATAGGCTCCACCACTATTATACAAGATTACACGCGCGGCATAGGCGCAGGTACAGGAAAGAACTAGGAAGCTACAGCCGCCCGGAGCTTGATCTCGAGAGCGGCAAAAGGCTTAGTGGCAACCTGCGCCAGCGGGGCGGATACGCAGGCTCTTCTCGTCCAACCATCTGGCGGTGTGTAAACCACACGTAACTATGTGGTCACACTAAATGCGACGGAGCACTCTGTTTGGTACATTGTACCAGGTGAGTAATCGGACCACTTGGCTGCTTGTCAGTCAAGTCTCCGCTCGACTTGCCTGCAACCATGACAAGCACCAAGCAGGCCACAGTACCAACGAGAAGCGGGGTTGGTCAGCCTGGTGGCGGCACTCTACCCACAATAATTCGCTTGTCGCCGAAGCATGAACCACAATGCTGGCTATGCGTCGTGACACGACTTGTGCCGAGCCTCAAGCATGGCGGAAGAATCACCTCGGCCGAACCCGGCCACCTCGGCTGAACCCGGGCCTGGCCGGTCGGCTTCAACTGATCCAGGCGCGCTGCGATAGTTGACGCGCAGCTCTACTACGGAAGAACACGGCCCACTCCATTTCGGCGTGAAAGCGCCGAAATGGGACTGCAGATATGAACCTCCCATGCCGAACGTCGTGGACCTCCGACCGGCCCGCGCCAAATACACTTGAGCTGTGCGCGAGCTTTGTCTCTCCGGCTTCGGTAGCCGACGCTGACGGATGTCTACGTGCAGTGGCGATGCCGCGGAGCCTCGTTGCCAACGAGTCGTTGACATGACTCCAAGTGGGCGGCCGGCGTGCTGGGGTGTTCGCGCACAGATTTGCTTTCCCACCGCTCGATCGAACCGCTACGATACCGCTCGAAGACTTGAAGGGATCTCACAGCTTGGTCGCCTGACTGTTGCATGGGACCCTCGCCTCTCGCTGCAGACGCATCCATCGAGTGGCGGAGCTGCCGACAAGTGCTTGAATCCGTGAAGCGCTGACAACAGCAGGGTCTGCCGTGCCTGCCCACGCCGCGGCGGCGACACCGAGTCCGCGTGCGCAGAGCGGCCGGCTGGCTGGCAGTCAGCCAGCCCGTTCTCTCGGCGCAAGCGTGTCGTTGCGTTGCAAAAGGGATGATTTGTGCTCGATTTACATCTGAGCGCGGACCAGGGCGCGGGTTCACTTCGATACGAACGGTATCTATCTCCGTGGGGGGCGTGACCGGATCGCAATGGCGGCGGCGCTGTTCGAAAGCGCAGACTCGACAACGGCGATGGCGGCCATTGGCATCATGAACGCTAGCAAGTTAAACGTATACGTGCAGTGCATTGCAAGCCCAACAAACCAGCGATCTTGCATGTCCCGCTCCATGTGTAATGTGAGAGCGAAAACTTTCGCGCCGCTGTAACAACATCTTGCACCTGTTGCAACTGGAATTTGCGAGCGGCGACAGCGCAATGACAGCGCGGACTTTTCGTTAAAAGAAAAACATTGTTTTCGTGCCGTACAGTTATCGCGAGAAGGAGCTGGATTCGGTCAGACACAAGTCCAGCTCCTGTCATTTGTCACCAGAAATCAGCTCGCGCTGTTGGATGGCTGCATGCATGGTGGTTGCTTGAAGCAACTTGCTTGAAGCGAGCTGAGAGCGACCGCACGGTGAGTGAAGTTGCTGCGACGCGAGATCCTCCCATCCGGCCCCCGCTTGCAGCGGTGGCTACACACGCATGTACGAAACATCCGATGATCCTCGCTGGGTATCGGCAGAATGAGCACCGCAAATCGCGCGTGGCCTCGAAGTTGCGGTCTGTAGAGAGAGAATGCAAGCTGTAATGGCCCGCGACATGCTGGAAGGGCGCTGCCCTTCGCGGCCGTGGCTCCCGCGTTGCTGTTGATGTACTTTGATAGTCGCTGCGGGAGCACCATCGTGCGGCTGCAGAGCTTGGCGCGCGACGCCACGACCGCGACGCTCATTCTTGAAGTCAAGGAGAGCGATTTCGCGCTGGGCAAGCCACGCCACGGCCCCTCTGTGCCGTGCGTGCGATACATGTACACACTCGTCCGACGCGGCGCCGAGAGCCACCAACTGTATCGAGACAGCTATGTACACGAAGGGCGTTTTGGTGGATAAGGGTAGTCGACGCTGCAGTGCATGTCTAGGCGGCACTGACGAGGCCGCCGGAAAAACTAACGGATCGAGCAAGCGGACCGCTGCAACTTGCAGCCGTGTGGTACTGTATGACAGGTGCCTACGTAATATGTAGGTAGTGCACTGACAGTGTAAACCTCACTTCCTCGCCACGGGAGCGTGCAGTGCGGCCACTGCACTGCAGTACATGTAGTGTATTGAATGAATGCATCGGCCAGTACTGTAGCGATGAATCTCATGAACTGGAACGCTGTCACCGTCATCGATGTCGCCGCCGCGCTGGCGGATACCAAGTACTAGATAATACCTAGGTATCCTCGTCATGGCCTTGGCAGCACGGCTCTCGCCTGCCATGTTGGTTGAGTACGGGAGAGCGAAGGCTGGACGTCAACAACAGCTGCCAGGCTCGCCTCCACCAGATGCCGCGAGGGCCGAGGTGACTTGGAGTTTGTATGCTGCTGACTAGTTGCCGCGAGTCAGTTCGGGTTAGAGGAAGTCGGACCACTGGCCCCGAAGCTCCAAGTCACGACAACACCAACGTCAACGAGGGCCGTGCGCCATCCGCCAGCGGCTGGGGCGTTGTCTGCTGTGGCCAAGAACCTTCGCCGGCCCAGGCGGCGACCGTCGCGCCGGCCGCTCTCACTCTTCTTTTTGCGCCGCCGCTCGCGCGACAGACCCCGAGCAATCGACGCTCGGATCAGCCCCCACCGCCCACCGCCGATCCCAAAGCGCGTTCTTTCATTTCCAAGCCGCCGTCGGCCGCTCTCACTGCCCCTCGACAATCGCCTGCATTCGATTTCGAAGCAAAGCGAATCTCTCGTGCCTCCGCTCCACATCCCGAGGAGCGCTCGTCCCATCCGAGCGCGCGTTCTCTTGGTTCTGGGCCACGAGACCCCCTTCAAGCCGTGCAGCAGCAGGTCCGCGCCGTTAGCAACGAGTGAATCCAGCCTTGCCGCGAGCGAGCGACCGACGCCCCGAGACGTGCGAGCGCCTCAGTTGTAAAATCGAGCCGCGCAAGACAATCGCAGGAAGGAAGGAGAGAGCCTTGCCGCAGCCGACCCGAAATGTCCATTGAGAGCGCGCATAACAGCGAGACCGGCCAGCAGCGGCCGAGCATGGCCCACAAGACCGTGCGCGCGCTGCAGCCGCCCGTCGCCATGGCGCAGCACAACCAGTACTCGGACATGCTGCTCGGAGACATGGGCATGATGGGCTGCGACGTCGACGCCTGGTCGCGCCCGCAGCAGCAGTTCGGCTTTGCCTGCCCCCCGGCGGTGCTCACGCGCCACACCTCCATGCCCGTGCGTCAGATGAACCCCACTTACTACCAGCAGCAGCTGCAGCCTCAGCCGCCGGCGACGTCGTTCGCCATGGGCATGCCCCCGACGCTCGCACGGCATCACAGCCACGGATACGTCTCGGTCATGCAGCAGCAGCAACAGCAGGGATACCAGACCACTATGAACGTGCCGATGCCGCCTCGCCAGGTGCACGTGAACGAAATGCAGCACCTTCTGGAGATCAGCATGGGCCAGCAGCAGCCCCTGCAGTACCAGCCGCAACAGCGCGTTGTGAAGCCCGAGCCGATCCCCTCTTCCTCTGCTATGAACGTTGAGCCCATCGCCTTCACCCCCGCTGACAACAGCGCCAAGATGCCCATGGAAGACCTCGACCCCCTCGCGTACGCCGTGTTCGGCAACGCCTCGGCCCCCAAGCCGGCACTCCCGGGCATGCCCCAGGACATCCAGCAGATCGAGTCGGCCTTCGACTCCCTCGACCGCCTGCTCCCCGAGATCGAGCAGGAAATGCTCTTCCGCTCGCCCGAGCTGGACCAGTTCGCCCGGGCCACGGTGGCTGCCAACATGAAGCCGACGACCAAGTCGCCCAAGAGCATGGCGACCTGCAAGGTGGCTGGCTGCGAGCGCCGCGTGCGCTCCAAGGGCTTCTGCAAGACCCACGGTGGCGGCCGCAAGTGCAGCATCGAGGGCTGCAAGAAGTCGAGCCAGAACGGCGACTTCTGCATCGGCCACGGCGGCGGCAAGAAGTGCAAGGAGGAGGGCTGCGCCAAGGCCGCGCAGTCGCACGGCCTGTGCAAGGCCCACGGCGGCGGCGCTCGCTGCAAGTTCCCCAACTGCAACAAGAGCTCGCAGGGCGGCGGTCTGTGCCGTGCCCACGGCGGCGGCAAGCGCTGCCAGGCCGCTGGATGCCCCAAGGGCGCCCAGCGCGGCAACTTCTGTGCCACGCACGGCGGCTTCCGCAACTGCAAGATCGAGGGCTGCGTGCGCACGGACCGTGGTGGAGGCTTTTGCGAGGTGCACCGTCGCGGTCGCCTCTGTAAGATCGAGGGCTGCAAGAAGCTATCGCGCAACCAGGGCATGTGCACCATGCACATTCGTGAGGAGAAGCAGGACATGAACTCCAGTGCCTCCGTGAAGCCCGAGCCCGCCGCGGCCCTCGCGGTCTGAAGACCATGTCCGTCTTCGTCTACCCGGTCGACTCGCCCAAACTCCGTCCTTCTCTCTCTCAACTACCGCACGAAACTTCGTCCCTCATTCATTGGAAGATGGGGAGGAAGGATCTGGACAACGGAGTCGACTCCGGACAACTCGAGCTGCCGTCTATCGCTCGGGTGTATCTGTCTCTATGTCTCTAGCTTGTATTCATCGGCGTCGTGCCATCCAGTCTAGTCTCCGTGAACAGCTATGTATCTGTGAAGTCAAGTATTTAAGTCGTACGATGGATCAATGAAGCAAATGTATCAAGTTTAAGCTGTTCTTCACTTTGGTTTGCCGTCAGCTTTGGTTAGGTATCCTGAACTTCAGGCTGAAGCTAAACATCGTTGGTAGAACTTATAGTACCTAGTTGTCCAAGGAGTCCACGTAGCGAGCGGCATGATTCTCTATCCCCCTACGTGCCCCGTGTGGTGTTGATGACAGGCGGTCAAGGCAACGATATCTTGGCTGGGAACGGCGGCAGGAACAGCTGCAGATGACTCTGCGGATCGGTGGCCTTCGTGGTGTTGGAAAGCCCCTCGACCGCTTCAAGTATCGACAACAAGGTGCTCCCACGCTGCCAAAGAAGCCTCGAGTCACTCGAGTGCTCCGTACCACCCGGCTGTTGCTACTTGGCCGAGGTGGCTTGGCTGCGGTCAATGCCTGCCGATCATGAGCCGCAAGAGAGCCTCGCAAATTGCAATAGAGCTTGGTGGCGATCGCACAACCTCATAATACTTGCATTTGGTTTGTGGCAATAATGAATCGTGTCTGACGCTAGGTATTTACATGGCTCCGATAAGAGCGACGGCGCTGATACATGTAGAGCAGCTTAGGGTGTGCCTCCAGACAGGGCGGCACTGGTCTTAGGCGACATCGACGCAGTGGACGAGACCTCGTCCATGTCGTCGTCTTGCGGGATCTCCAGGTGAAGCACCCGCGCGTGGTGGATCTGACGGATCGGCTGAGGGTGGTCGATCTGCGGAGGCATGGACGTCCGGTGCGGGTGCGCTGCCTTGCCATGGCTGTGATGACCATGCTGGCTTTGCGGCAGCTTGGCACCGTGGTGCATCTTGCCGTGCGGCGCCTTGGGCTCCTGCTTGGGCTCCACCGCCTTGACCGGGTTCTTGGCCGGCGAGAACTTCGAGTACAGGCCAATCATCTCCTTCTTCATCTTGGCCTGGTACTTGTCATGCTCGCGCTGGTACTCGGTCGTGAAGTTGGCAATGTGCGTAAGTAGCACGTCCAGCTCCTCCTCGGTGTCCTCCTCCTCGAAGTACTCGAGGAAGTGCGCCTTGGCCGCGTTCAGCTTGTCCAGCAACTCCTGGAGTGCGTACAGCTCCGTCTTGACCTCCTTGCAGAACTGCATCAGAGTGTTGTTGTACGCCATCATTGCCTCCTTGTCAGCATCGCTAGCGGTAGGAGGCGGAATCGAGGCCTCGGCCTCGCGCAAAAGATTCTGCAAGCCAGCCTCCAGCCCGTTCTTCTCCGATGCCAGTGACGCGTACGCCACCTTGCTGCACTTGGAAATGAGGTCGATGTCATTGTAGAAGTGCGCGAGGTGGGGCACGTCGCGCTCGATCGACTGCACCACGTACTGCAAAAAGGTGATGCCACCCACAAACGCCTTGGTCTGCGAAAACTTGACCAGGGATCCCAGCGAGAAGGCGTCGACGCCCTGCTGCTCGTCGTCGCCGCCGAAGTTGAGCAGATTGCCGATCTGCAAAATATAAATAAATAGTTGGCGTAGTTCTGCGCTAGAGCACACCTGGTACACACCTCGGGTCACAAGGCCCAACGACTCGCGCAGCTCGTGCACGCGCGAGGGGAACTCTTGCTTGAATACTAGACATCCAAGCTTCTCGTGGAAGCGCGGCACACTGCGCACTTCCATCAAAAATTGTTCGGCAGTGCCGATTGTTGCCATGTCGCCCGTGAAGGCGTTGATGGCCTCCATCTCCTTGCGGTCAGGCCACATGTCCATGAGGGACCGCACTTGAGACGGTGAAAGCACGGACGGGTTCATCGCCAAAATCTCGCGCTTCAGCTCCGGGAACGTCAACTTCACGCGCGCCAGAGTGATGGCAATGTTCTGCGACTTCTTCATATCGATGAGCTGGACCATCGCCTTCTTTTTCTTGGCCGCAGCGGCACCATCCGACTTGACGGAGGCGTTGCGCTTCTTGCTCTCGGTCAGATCCTTCACAAACAGCTTCTCGAGCATCGCGCGACTCTCCTCCGAGATCTGGACCGCCTCCTTCGCCTCTTCCACGGCGTCCCCGCCCCACAGACTGTCGCGACGTGTCCTGTGCCGCTTTCCCTCCCAGTGAAGCTTCTTGCGGATCGAGTCTTTGCGTTTCAGCGTCTTCTTTGGCTCCTGCGCAGGAGTCGCCGCCTGACGAGGACCGTTCAGCTCTGCCGGGTCGAGGCCGGCCATCCGCATCTTTTGCTCCACAGCGCCGCGAGGCAAGCCCATACGAAGCATCTGGAAGTACTTGTGGTATTTCTTGCGGTGAGCAGCTCTCTCCTCCTCCGTGATCTCGGATGCAGCTGCAGGCTTCGGCTCCGGCCTCTTGGGGGGTCCCTGCAACCAGGCCGGATCCACGCCGTCCATGCGCATCTTGTGCTCCACCACGGCGGGGGGCAACCCCACCTTCACCATTTGCAAGTACTTGCCGTGCTTCGCCTCGTACTCCTTCAGCTGCGCCTGGTACGCCGCCTCGGCTTCCGCGTCGAGAGCGGGTGCTGGCGCCTCGGGCAGGGGCTTGTTCGGGTCCATGTCCAGGACGGCCGGATCTACGTTCTCACTCTGCATCTTGTGCTTGACAACGGGCGGCGGGAGACCCACCTTCAGCATTTTGAAGTACTTCTGGTACGTCGGGTGGTCCTTCAGCGGGGTCTGATCCTTTCCAGCGTTGTTGCCATCCGAAGCCGCAGCAGGTGACGGAGACGCGACCTCAGCTGTTGCTGCCACAGGTGTCTGCGGGGCCGCTTGGCGTTGCTTCAACATCGCAGCCAAAGGATGCGCGGCTCCGCTTGCTTCCTCCTGTACAGCAGCCGCCGGTGGAGGTGACGGCGCAGTTCTCCTCGCAAGCATCGCCTCCAACGGGTTCACCTTCTTGGGGGTCTCCTCACTCGGGGACTCCGGCGGCGGGGAAGATCGCTTGGCCAGCATTGCTTCAAGTGCGTTGGTCTTCTTAGCTGGGGCCTTCTTCGGGCTGCTCGTTTCCGATGGCGGAGCAGCTCGCTTCGCAAGCATCTCGGCCAGCATGTTACTTCTGTCCATGGCGGGGCTCTTCTGGGGGGTCTGGGGCACGCTTGTCTCGGTCTCCGAGGGCCTTGATACTGGCGGTTCCTCTTCATCGGAAGAGTCTGTGGCTTGGTTCGGAGGGGGAAGCGCGCGGTTAGCGAGCATGTCCGCTACACTAGCGTGTCTGTCCACACCCGCGGGCATATGCCGCTGCGAGAGCATGTCGAGCAGCCCCCCTCCGAAAAAGTCCTCGCTGTTATTTCTTGAGCGCGCGGGGGTGGAGTACACGGACTCCAGGTCGTCCATCTCGTCTTCGATCCGCACGTCGGCCATGATGTCGAACGAGTCGTATCTCCTGCGCTCCTTCTTCCGCCTCTGCGGGGTCCTGTCGACGGGCTCTTCGTCCTGCAGCTCCTCGGCCTGCTGTCTTGCGAGGAGGTCCTCCAGCGCGCTCTGTAGTCGTCCGCGGCCTCGCACTGCGCCGCGCATTTCGTCTTGCTGGTTGTCCTCGGAGGACGTGGAGGACGTCGCGGACGAGTCTCGGCTCTCCGCGGCGTTCCTGGACACGAGGTCCCGGACGTCGATGGCTTTGTCGTCGTTCTGCGCGGCCTTCTCGTCCTCGTCGCTGTCGCTGTTCCTATGTGATGCCTGCTCGTCGCCATCGCCGCTGTCGGGGTCGAGCGAGCTGGTTGTATGTCGGAAGAAGTCCTGGACCTTTTGCCGGTGGTTCCAAGGTGCGTGCGGCTGTGTCGGTGCTGTCTGCGGCTGGCCGAAGGGCGTGCGCTGGAAGGTGCCCATGGGCAGGCCGAACTGCAGGCCCTCGGCGCGAGCCGAGCGGCCGCGCACCAGCTGCGGCAGTGTCACGGGGGGCTGCACACCGGCCGGCGTGCCGGCACCGGCACTTGCGGCTGCAGCCGGGCCGGCACCGACACCGCCCCGCTTGTCGGCGGAGTTGTGTGTCATGAGCATGGAGATGAAGGACGGCGCCATTTTCGCCTAAGCAACGGCCGAGAACGCTCCGAGAGAGACTGCGGAGGGGGCCGCGCGCGCAAAGTCGAGTCGAGTCTGCGCCAAGCTGGCCTGCAAATCAAGCGGCCAGACGACGGGAGCAATTGCAAGGCGCCTTGCAGACAAGGCTGGATTCGCGTTTTTTGCCGAGTGGGCCGGTTGGATAATCCTGCGGCCCACGCGCCCGAGCTCGGCGGTGAGGTGCGTGTTTCTGCGTGTATGTTGCAGGCCTTGCACTGCCGGGTGTGCTACACTTTGAAGGCAGCTGTGGTGATGGGGGGCTCTGAAATAAGTGCGCGTCCCACTTTGCTGATACAGTGGGACACGTACTTATTCGGATGGCATGCTATCTCGCAGGTGCGCGGAGCTACAAAATTTATGCTGAGACATTTCATGGCGATCGTCTAGCGCGGGGGTATCGAATAAGTCATTGCGCACTTAGTGCTAATGCGTACTTGCGTCAACTAGCAAAAAATTGAGTTAAGCATACTGGAGCCAAGTCACTTGGAAACCGCGATTGACTGGCGCTCAGTATGCCGCGCTCGACCACCACGAATCTTGCGGTTGGCTCGGGTTTCTTGCACGCCCCACGCTCAGATAAGCCCGGTCGCGAATGACTTGCCGGCTTGACCGATTTCGCGACTCACTCGGTTGCTAATTGACGTCGCGTGACCGGCGGCGGCAGTCGATGCCTTTTTGCTGCCGTCGACCAGCTTGGGCCGCTCCACTTTTTTCAGCTGTCTTCTCTATGGAGAATGTTGGGACACGCTCAGAGCGGGAAGTGGAAGGGAGTCCCAACGCGGAGGTGGGGGCGAGCTATTAACTTACGGCCTTGGCCAGCGCGGCGGCGACGACCGACAACATCTTAGCTCGGCGGAGCACTTGCGCCACTGCGGAACTCGCCGCGCGCTAGCCCCGGCACACTACGAGCGCACACCAAGATACTTTTCCTCGATGTGACTCACTCGGGAATTGTATGGGCTGGATTGCACGCACCGTAAACACCGCGAATCTGATGCAGGTGGCTGCCCTCCGAAACACATGCGCCCAGCGCATCAGCGTGAGCCAAAGCGCACTGCCAGACCCGATGCCCCCGCGAGCCTCGATGCAGAGAATCCGCCGCGGAAAGCACGTTTTCTGCGTGGTCCAGCATGGTCCAACCTTGCGTTTTGCATTGGTTGAAGCATGGGCCACCTCGTCTGCCGTTCTCAGTATTCAGCTCCGTATTCGGTCCAAAAACCTCCGGCCCGGCATGAAGAGCCACCAAGAGCCTCCAGAACGGCATGCCCGCAGCCGCTGCTCGTCATGCCCGTCCAATGCAGGCGCTCGTGAGCGTTGGGGCTCGCTTGGCTGTCCCAAAGCAGCAAGAGAGCACGCCGCCACCTCGCCGCCAGCGCACTGAGCGGGGCCCTACACTACAGGCACGACAGCCCCCTAGAAGGCGGCGGGAAGGACAAGAGAAAAAGATCGACCGACTGCAGCCATGGTATATGGCGCGGATGGGGGCCCATTTGACACGACGCGCGATTTGCGCAACAAGATACGCCAACTTCAACCATGTTCGTCGACGACCGTCGTCGGACGACGCCCCAGCGATGGCTGCGTGGCCACCTTGAAGCTGGCGCGCCGCGATCTTGATCCTGATCTTGAGGCAGGCTTAGTCCGGGTTGTCGAAACGCCACCTTGTCCGGCGTTCAGTCGGCGCCAGCAGCAGTGGCGGCGTACTCTCGGTAGAACGGGTCCAGCTCGAGCTGCGCCGCCGGCACGAGGTGGTCTCGCGCGCCCTCCCGGGACGCGCCGCTCCTGTTCACGGCGGAAGAAGGATGAGCGCGCAGATGCGCGTTAGACATCGGAGCTGGGCAAGCCACACACAGAGCGGGCAGCGACTGAAACCAGTGCAAGAACGAACCATTCGTCGTGGAAGCCGTCGCTGTTGACGGTCGGCAGCACCTTGAGCGGCCGGTGGATCCCGTAGCAGAACGAGCGGTGACTGGCGCAGCACAACAGGTGATCCCATACATTAGGCGCCCGGTAGCAACGATGCACTGTTGTCCGAGACAAAACCAACCTTCGGTACGAGTTCTGGTGCTGCACGCTCGCGGACGACGTGCGGCAGCGATACTGGCAGTACTGGAACACGGTGATCTCGGCCGGGTCGCTGTAGACCGGATGGTTCGGGTCAGCGTGCGTCAAGTAGTCTCGCCGGATGCCAGTCTGAGAGACGCCAAGCACAAGGTGAAAAAACAGTTCAAGGTCAGCTGGGGGTCTTCAAGTGGAGGGGACTCAACGGGGCCTACACCAAATGAGCCACGAAGCTGTGCGCAGCCTGCAGGTGCAACTGCCCAAGCGGCCATCGCAGCAACACAAAACGTACGTTGAGGGGGTGCATGCAGCAGGACACGCAGTGCTCGAAGACGTCGCAGCAGTGCGGCGGGTTCGTATCGCACTGGTCGCACGTGAACTGCTTTATCCGGGGAAGGCTGGCGTCGGTCTCGTTGCAGCAGCCGGCCTTCACCTTGTCCAGCTGCGACCGCGTGCACACATAGCCTAGCAGTAGCGGTAGCAGCAACAGCATCGTTAATACAGCCCATCCAGCAGCAACTGCATGATCCAATGTACCTCGTACCCATAGAATCCGTGAGCAGCCTCACGCCTTGGACAGTGTTCTCGCAACGAAGCTCCGTGCTGTCCAGCTTCAGCCCGTCACCTCCTTCACGCAGGAACATTTGACGACGCCCCGGCATCGGCGTGTCCACGCGGTCCACAATAATATGTGATCGGATTTTCTCTTCATCCAGCTCGTCCGCGCTAATACAAAAGAAGCCACGAAAGTTGTGAATCTCCGAATGTTATATCATCTACATGTAGCCAAGTCAAGCCACTGGATAGCTTACTAACCTTACTTTAGCTCCTCGGCCCGATGGGAACCGCATGCGCCCAATAGTGAGCACAATGTACGGCAGCGCGAACGCCAGGCCCAGCGCCAGCAGCAACCGCAGCGTGCTCATCTTCTTCCTGGGATGCACCGACACGCGGATCGACTGCACCAGCCACCGGTCCACGAACGCGACGTAGCGCGGCACGCTGCGCTGCAGACACTGCAGGCCGCGCCTCCCCAGCTCCACGAACACCTGGCTCAGGAACATGACGGCCGCCATGAACTTCCGCCAGCGCGACTCGCGCACGCGCCTGTCCTGCCGCGCGCGCTGCTCGGACGCCAGTCGGTTCTCGCCCTCGCGCATCAGCTCAGCCAAAACCTCGTCGTCCGTCTCGTCATCCGCTCGGTTCACGCCGCGCAGCATGCCGGCGCCGCAGGCATGAGAATGAATAAGTTCCCAAAAGAGTAGGATTTCCCCAAATCAGTGTACGCTTCGTCCCCAAACCTGTAATTGAGGTGTGCCACATACAGATCGCGGAGCACTTCAACTTCAGCTTGAGCAGGGGATCTGGGACCAAGCGCCATCATTTCCTTCATTTTTTGTCTTCTTGCCCAGTCAAGAAGCTCATTGCTGCTTTATCGAGCTCTGGCAAACACGATGGACTCGACCGTATCTGCATATGTCCCGAAGCACGAGCTGACTGCGGCGGAAGCAATCGTTCTCGTCGCGCTGCCACTCGTTGCTTCGATACTGTGCTACGTTTTACTGCGCGTTGTCTGGAGAGTGCCAAGTTCCCCTGAACTTCTGCAACGCGAGCCGCCGAAGTATGGTTCCGTGCCGCAAACCAAGAACTCGCAGCCCGCAGCTAAGTGGCACAAGACGTTCGACTTCGCGTTCCTGATTGGCATGATCGTGTACGCGGGAGTACTGCTGTTGTTAACCTACTTCTACGAGCCACAGTGGCTGCACGAGCCTCACTTCTGGGTCATGCAGCTGCCCAAACTTGGTGTGATGATACTGGTGTCCGTTGTCGGCGGGCTCATTTGCCGCTGGTTTTGCAAAGTCGACGAGAAGGGCTACTTCTTGACGAGCAGATCATCCAAGTTCAAGGTCAACTTCAGGACTTCGCTGCCTACATTGTACCGATGGTGGTCAAATCTGGATATCCTGGGCCGGTTGCTCGAGCATGGGGAGACTTCTTCACTATGCTGAGCTTCCTCCTGCTCATCAAGCCGATTCGCGAGAATTCCAAGTTTTTCGTGCTCCAGTTCAACTCGCTCGACCGTCCAGAAGATCGACCCAATGCGCTGAAGTGGATCATCCTGGGAAACATCGCCCCCGGAAAGCTACTGTTGATGATGTTCATGTGGGTGTTCGCGACGAAAAAGGCGCTGACATTTATTCTCGTATTCATCACGGGCATTGGTCATGGCTTCGCTGAGCCCGTAGGCATGGAGTGCGGCAGGTAACCTCCAGTTGGGGTCATATACGGTACAGATCTGAGATTGGATCTGACGTGCTAAAAGGTGTTCTGGGGGTTGCACCCCCAGACCCCCGCAAAAAGAAAACTAACTCCGAGTTGCGGCAACGGGTCCGTTCGCTGGAATGCTCGTCGCTGGGCCCGCCTCCGCAAATACCGCGCGGCCCTGCTTCGCGGGCACCCCGCGCGGGTTTGCTATGGCTACGCTCCTCGCTGCCGAAACATATGTTTTTCAATACAAAAATTAGTATTAAAAACCGATCCATTCTCTGATCTGTACCCTATATGATCCCCAACCGGGTTTTACCGTGCGGCAAACACTGAGTTTCCTATGAAGATCTACGCAAAAAATAAACTGATTGGATATTCTTCTTGAGGATCTACATGTATACAAGAAGCGTGCTATGATGAAGTACATATTTGTCGACTCTGGCATGGCCACCCAAAGCACAGTTCAAGCTTAATCTAGGCGGCATTGCTTGGCCTTGCTTTTCTTGCTACCCTCTTCGGTCACCAATGAGCCGCGCCCTTGAATCTCTTGCGTCATCCTAACCAATCAAAGTCCCAGCGCCCCTTGTTGTATTGAGACAAGCTGGGAGCGACGCACGAACGAGAAAAAGAATCCCAATCAGAGGCGTGTATACCTCTGGGACGAAGCGATGCATTCCGCTTTGCTGACCAGCGCACTATGCAAGATATTGGCCTCGATCTCTTTGCTGGACCACTACTGTCTCCTCTTTTCCGAGACTCCATGAGTACGACGGAGTTGTCGCCTGAACTATCGGCAGCCCCTACACCGGAGTACCGTCATCTTGAGCTGACGCCTGCTGAAAGAATCGTGCTGGTAGCGTTACCAGTGATCGCATTGGTGCTGAGCTACGTGCTGCTGCGTATCGTCTGGAAGGTGCCAGAATCCCCCGCGCTGCCTCAGCATTCGCAGCCATCGTATTTCTCAAGGGACATCGCTCCCCTCAGTTCACCGACCAAGGACGTCGCTGGTTGAGGAGGGCGAAGTGGCTGGAGACTACGAGAAACACTGGTACGGCACGTTCGACTTCGCCTCCCTGGTGGGCTGGCCGTGTACGCGGCCGTGATGCTCGTGCTGACGTACTTCTACGAGCCGCAGTGGCTGCACGAGACCCGCTTCTGGCTCATGCAGCTGCCCAAGCTCGTGGTCATGATGGTGGTGTCGCTCGCCGGCGGCATCGTGTGCCGCTGCTTCTGCGACGTGGACGAGAAGGACTACATCATGACGAACAAGTCGTCCAAGTTCAAGGTCAACTACACGCGCAAGCTGCAGCACTTCGCCGCGTACATGGTGCCGCTGGTGATCAAGGCGGACTACCCGGGCCCGCTCGCGCTGGCGTGGGGCGACTTCTTCACGATGCTGGGCTTCCTCGTGCTCATCAAGCCCATCCGCGAGCACTCCAAGTTTTTCATGCTGCAGTTCAACTCGCTGGACCGCCCCGAGGACCGCCCCAACACGCTCAAGTGGATCATCGTGGGCAACATCGCGCCGGGCATGTTCATCCTCATGTTCTTCAAGTGGCTGTTCGCGGCGCGGGGCGCGCTGACGTTCATCCTCGTGTTCATCACGGGCATCGGCGACGGCCTGGCCGAGCCCGTGGGCATCACGTGGGGCCGCCACAAGTACAAGACGCGCAGCTGCTTCAGCAAGAACAAGTACACGCGCAGCTGGGAGGGCAGCGCGTGCGTGTTCCTGTCGGGCCTCGTGTTCCCGGCGCTGCAGTACGCGGCGTTCGACAACTTCTGGCAGGTGCTGCTGCCGATGCTGATCCTGGCGCCGACCATGGCGTACGCGGAGGCGACGGCCCCGCACACGATGGACACGCCCGTGCTCATGATCGGGTGCGGCGTCATCCTGTACGCCGTCATCCACCTCATCTAAAGCCCCACCACTTGCATATCTAGGCCTGTAACTCGCCGTAGTTGAAGTGGGCGTATCTTTCTTGAGCTTTTCACATGGCTTCACTTTTGATTCGAATACGATTGGCTGATTTTGTTCTCCTCTAAAATAAATTACGGAAGCTTACTGCAGAATATCTGACCGACGAGGAGCTCGCCAGGATGTTCCTGCGCGACAACGAGTTGGCTCGCGGAGCGGGCGGCGGGGGCCGTCGGGGCGACCGCGCGCGCGTGCTGCAGCTGGCGAAGGAGCAGCGGGAGGCGCGGGGCAAGCGCAAGGAGCAGGAGGCGGCGGCGCGGCAGCTGCAGGCGTTCGTGCGCGGGCGTCTCGCTGCGCGACGTGTGCGGGCCCAGGCGCGAGTCGAGTTCGACCAGAAACTGGGCGATATCGCCAACTTGAAGGCCATCCTGCAGCTGCCCAGCATGCCGCTGCCTTACGACGCGCTGTTCGAGGTGAAATGCCGCAGAAATGAAGCCGATACGATGTTTTCAGCTAGACTCATGAGTGTTTTATGGTATTTTGTTGTTGTAGCTGCTGCGCCTGGTGCTGTTTTTCTATACTGGGGGTGAAGAGGATGCCGAGAGGTTGTTGCAGTTGAGCTCACTGTTCGGGGACTCCTTGGCCGCTGCCCGTGACGGAATCAAAGGAAGTGAGGACAAGCAGAGAGACTGGCAGCTGCGACGGTTCGTGGATCTCTGTCTGCAGTGCAGTACGGCGACCTCTACTGCGGTTGAAGTGGCGGTTGGCTTCAAGACTGCGCGGGAATTGACGGAAACGCTGCCGGAAATCCAGCAGTACCTACTTTCTGGTCGGTTGGTTGACTGTCACCCGCTGAGGGAAATGAGGAAGAAGCAGTACTTTGAAATGCCCAAAGCGTCGGTGACGCAGATTGTTCGGCAAGGGTTGATATCGGCAAGAGGACAGCTGCCGATTTCGTCTCGCGTACATGAATCGTCGTACTCTAACGCTCTGCTCGATTTCGTGGTGTATCTGCTGACGAATACGAGCGGGATACTTGAGGCGTTTGTGATGGAGGTAAGAGCTGTTGGCTGTTGGTGTGGGGTACTCCAGTGTCCTGATGTTGCTGTGTTATGCAGGTTTTATCCGTGCCACTTTTGAACAAAGTGGTTGCAGCTGATCCGTTGCTGCAACTCACGAATCTTCCGCTGTGGATTCGACTGCTTAGTGCGGGTCTGCACTTGTCAGTGTTCGACTTCCCTGCGTCCCCGGTGACTGGGATTGCTTCTGAAGCCTGGTTTCTTGGCAACCTCTTATGGATTTCTGACCAGTAAGTGCTCTTGATGATTCAGATTGGATGAGTTGAGTCTAACAAACCATTTGTGCGTACCGGTAGTGTGGAGGGTAAAACCGACGCTGTAGTACTGAACGAGGTCCAGCTGCTGTCCAAGCTGCTTCAATCTGTACCGCCTGCAACGTACGCAGCATCCGGGGTAGCTGTGTCGTGGACGAAAGTATCCGAGTCTCACTCCGTGCCCGTGGTTTTTCCAGAGGCTTTGAACGAGCAACTTCAAATTTTGGTTAATGATCAGTATCTGCGCTCAATGTGTAACCACCTCCTTTCATTTTCCCCGAGCGCTCTTCGCCATCCGCTGGGTGCCCAGCGACCAGTCCCAATGTATCCTGAAGCACCTACGATCGCGGTAAGTATTTCTTGTGTATTGGTTTGATTCTCGGACTTACCTATGCGCACTACACAACCCTTTGTAGGAGCAATTTGGTTTTGGCGACATCGCATCTTCGTCTTCATTGTCGACATCTCTTTCAGTGACATGGCAGAAGATGAAATCGATCGGAAAGGCGTCATGGGCCAGAAGCTTGTTCGAGAAAGCAGGACTTCGTCGGAGGCGTGAGGGTGGCGAAGAGAACAGCGGTATTGCGGGTACTTCCCAATTGCCAAACACCTCGAGGCAAGCGCGACATATTGCCGCTAGAGGAGTGGATCAAGTCAGCAACGTCGCGTCTACAACAGCGCAAAGGGCAGCATCTCTGAAGTTGTCGAAGAGCACGGAGCCTTTCATTCTGGAGAATATCAAGGCACTATCGTGCCTGTGTGGCACCTTCCTTTTCCGATGGGGCAGCGATGGAGGAAAGCGGCAGTCCTATGCAATGCGTCTGCTGAACACGCTGGCTTTCTATCACGTTGAAGTTGTTGATAACGAAGGGGTTGCAGCACAGAACGTATCTCTCGTTCACATGCTATGGTGCGTTTTGCAAGATACCAAGAATTTTGAAGATTTTGCCAAGGTAAGGCTCTACTGATTGTGGTGCTGCCCTTCATCATTTTGACTGACATGGTGATGCATCACAGAATGTGGATTTGATGCATGCGCGGAGCTCAGATCCGTACGTGTGTATGTTGGTGCTGTTTTGTATGACATACGAGCATCTTCTGGTCGTGATGGATGATGAGGAGGTGAACAATCTCGTTTACATTTCCGGGTTGAGTGGTGGATAAGCGTTTATTTACTCATGACTGTCTTTACTGCAGATGTATGAAAAGGAATACCCACTTCCTCTTTGCGAAGTGGAGCGAATTGTGCTGAGTCTGAAGCGGGCGCTTCATGAGGCGTATTGGACCTACGCCAACCTTGCTCCGTCTTCCGAATCCGTCGCGTTTGGCATGTTTGTCGTAGAAATGGCGACTCGCCTGATGAGGGTTCTATACAATCGGTGTTCTCGGCAGCCATTTTGCAATGTTACGAGCTGGTAAGTTATGCGTGACGTCTATGGATATTCGGCTAAAGTTTGAACGCTAACGCTGATCTATATCATGGGTTGCAGGATTATTGCTGAGCTCGATAGTAACCAGCTGATTGAGGAGGTTTTGCTCGACACACCTCGAGCAAACAAGCTGATCCAGTCCATGCCCTATCTGGTACCATTTCCCGACCGCGTTAAACTGTTCCAGCGACTTATCAAGGCGGACAAGGAGATCCACCAAAGCGAAAGCTGCTCGGTGTATCGCATCCGTATTCACAGAGGTGCCATTTTGGAAGACGGTCTGAGGAAGCTCAACTCGATTCGGACAAGTCTGAAGAAGCGTATCAACGTGGTTTTCGTTAACGCCACTGGTCGCGAAGAAGTTGGCATCGACGCTGGCGGACTCTTCAAAGAGTTCTGGCTGGACCTGTCGACCCTCGCGTTTGATCTGCAGTACGGACTGTTCCTCACGACCCATGATCAACTGTTGTATCCCAACCCCAACTCAGCTTCAGGTCATTTTTCGCGCGAGAGCGACCACCTTACGATGTTTCAGTTCGTCGGTCGGATCTTGGGAAAGGCGCTCTACGAAGGCATTGTGGTACAGCCGAAGTTCGCCCACTTCTTCCTCTCCAAGTTGCTGCACTCGTTCAATCAGCTGAATGAGCTGCCGTCACTGGACCCCGAGATCTACAAGGTAAGATTCAACAATTGTTCGTGGTTCTCTTCAGCTATCATGCTAACGTTGCCTCTTGTGAGTGCAGAATCTGATGTTCCTGAAGTCGTACGAAGGTGGCGTGGAGGATCTCGGCTTGACCCACACGGTCGTCCAAGACGTGTTCGGCGAGCAAAAGGAGGTCGAGATCATCCCAGGAGGAGGCAACGTGCCCGTCACGAACCGGAACAAGACTCGCTACATCCACCTGGTCGCCAACTACTACCTCAACACACAGATCAGGGAGCAGTGCGCAGCCTTCCGCCTGGGTCTGTCGGACCTCATCGACCCGCGATGGCTCCAAATGTTCAACGAGCCCGAGTTGCAAGTGCTGATCTCGGGCAAGAGCGGCAAAATCGACGTGGACGACCTCAAGGCCAACGCGCGATACGCTGGCGGCTACTACGCGCTGGACAAGCGCGTTGCATGGCTGTGGCAGGCGCTGGCGAGCTTCACGCCGTCCGAGCAGGCGGCGTTCCTGCGCTTCACCACGAGCTGCCAACGCGCGCCGTCGCTGGGTTTCGCCTCGCTCACGCCCCAGTTCTGCGTGCAGAAGATCCCGATCCGCAGCGACGACGAGCTGCTGCCCAGCTCCTCCACGTGCTTCAACACGCTCAAGCTGCCCACGTACTCGTCCTACAAGGTGCTGCGAGCAAAGCTGCTGACGTCCATTTCGTCCGGCGCCGGCTTCGAGATTACCTAAACCAAGGTAGGCAATGTCACTTCAATGTAGCCATGATGTTTTTAGCTGCACAAATGCCAAAAACCAAATCACAAATCACAGTTTTCAAGTTGTACATTCGAGCAGCTCCGCTATTAGCCGACACTATGGGCTCGCAAGATGAGATCCGGCGGCTGATGAAGGAGGCCAAGCAGAAGCCCAGGGGCGCTGCTGCGTCAAGTGCAAAGACGTCGAGCGTTAAGCCCAAGCCGCCTGCAAAGCCCAGCAGTTCCGCCGCCGCCGCCTCGAAGCCTCAGCCAGCGATCCCCGCCGGCTTCTTCGACGACTCGCTGGCCGACGCCAAGGCGCGCAACGTGGACGTGCAGCAGCTGGCGGACAAGCAGCTCGAGTCCGACTGGGAGGCGTTCCAGGAGTTCGCGGCGGAGGTGGAGCAGCAGTCGGCCAAGGAGGAGCGGCAGCAGGTGGAGGACGCCAAGGAGCGCGAGGCCGTCGAGCAGCTCGACAACATGCAGTACGTGGACAGGTACCGCGTGGCGCTGGAGCGCGCGACCAGCCTCCGCAATAGAGAGAACAAGAAGAAGGACTTCAATAAGGCAGAGAAGAGGAAGCTGCGGGAGGATGCTGATGGCGACAACTCGGTGGGAAATCACGACGCGGCAGAAGGCGCCGGAGCTGTCGAAACGGCAGTGAGCGAGTTCAAGAAGAAGCACAAGAAGGCCAAGAGGCAGCAACACTCGGACAGTGAAGACTCGGACGACTTCGACCCGTGCAACTGGAGGTCTCGAGCCATCTAGACTGACCAATTGAATGGAATTCATTAGACACAAGCGAGTGTATTAGGTAGATGCTCATCAAACATGTTTTACTTGAGAAGCTTAGCAGTGCACGCAGTCGCTCTCTCCTCTAGATGGAGGTGAGTGACAGCGCTTAGACAAGGTTCACGATGGCGTACAGGATGACGCCGCACCCGATCATGAGCACGGGCGTGTCCATCGTGTGCGGGGCCGTCGCCTCCGCGTACGCCATGGTCGGCGCCAGGATCAGCATCGACAGCAGCACCTGCCAGAAGTTGTCGAACGCCGCGTACTGCAGCGCCGGGAACACGAGGCCCGACAGGAACACGCACGCGCTGCCCTCCCAGCTGCGCGTGTACTTGTTCTTGCTGAAGCAGCTGCGCGTCTTGTACTTGTGGCGGCCCCACGTGATGCCCACGGGCTCGGCCAGGCCGTCGCCGATGCCCGTGATGAACACGAGGATGAACGTCAGCGCGCCCTGCGCCGCGAACAGCCACTTGAAGAACATGAGGATGAACATGCCCGGCGCGATGTTGCCCACGATGATCCACTTGAGCGTGTTGGGGCGGTCCTCGGGGCGGTCCAGCGAGTTGAACTGCAGCATGAAAAACTTGGAGTGCTCGCGGATGGGCTTGATGAGCACGAGGAAGCCCAGCATCGTGAAGAAGTCGCCCCACGCCAGCGCGAGCGGGCCCGGGTAGTCCGCCTTGATCACCAGCGGCACCATGTACGCGGCGAAGTGCTGCAGCTTGCGCGTGTAGTTGACCTTGAACTTGGACGACTTGTTCGTCATGATGTAGCCCTTCTCGTCCACGTCGCAGAAGCAGCGGCACACGATGCCGCCGGCGAGCGACACCACCATCATAACCACGAGCTTGGGCAGCTGCATGAGCCAGAAGCGGGTCTCGTGCAGCCACTGCGGCTCGTAGAAGTACGTCAGCACGAGCATCACGGCCGCGTACACGGCCATGCCCACCAGGAAGGCGAAGTCGAACGTGTTGTACCAGTGCTCCTCGTAGTCTCCAGCCACTTCGCCCTCCTCAACCAGCGACGTCTTGATGGCGGTGATGGGCTGCAGCTGCTCGCCCGTCGCGCCGTAGGACGGCACGGGCGCGCGCACGGGCAGCGGCGTGGGCACGCGCCACACGAGGCGCAGCATGACGTAGCACAGGATGAGCGCGGCGAAGGGCAGCACGGCGATGATGACGCCCTCGGTGGTGGTCATGTTCTCGGGCCACTCGAGCGGAGCGGCCGTGGGCGCGGGGGTCACCACGGGGTCGACGGGGATCACGTCGGCCATGGTGCTGCTGAAGCTGAGGCTGCTGGGTCCGTTCCCTTCCTTGGAGCTGAGCTGGTCGGCGTCGAGCGGCGCAAATTCAGTTGTGACGCTGCTGGGCGAGGGGGTGGATGGATTGGATACCACGATCTTTTGTGGCAACTTACTCGAGAGCGCCGGGAACGCGGCAGGTATAGAAGAGACGGGTCAAGCCGGTATGTAATCGAGGTGCGGCCGCTGACGTACGTGTTCTATCAGACCGCTGGTGGCGGTCCACCACTCGATTTCTGCGCGGGTTTCTGTATTTTGGCCTGCACTCGCCATCGCTGCGCTGACAGTCGGCCACTGCCGGCAGCAATGCTGCTGGCAAGGAGTCGTGCAACGAGGACTGCGGTGGGCTGGACTAACGTGCGGTCACGGTGGAGTGAGGCCCCAACACGCAGCTTGGGCTTGCCTCGCTTTAACACGCAGAAACAGTACGCGATTCCTCTTTTGCGCCGGCAACGTGATGGTGGCGCAAGGAATAGGCCTCGCTACGTGCTGGCGAAGGCTCGAGTTGACTGGTTCCAGGCCGTCCACGTGATTCGCAGTGTGGTTCATACGGGTCCGCGTCAGCGGGAGTGGGTATCGAGACCTCCATCCATCACGGCGAATGGCATCAGACAAGCTTCATGAAGGCAGAACATGAACATGAACAGTGGAGACTTTGTCGAGGTCTCTGAACGGCTGGCCTGTGATTGGCGGGCCAAAACCGTTACGAAGAGCCGTTTCAGGGAGCCGGAAGTGAGTGAATCCGCAGATTTTAACTGAGCTTGCGAGCTCCGGCAGCGAATCTGCGCTTGTCGCCTAGCGACCTCGGCGATTTGAAAGGCGCGTGGCCCTGGTGGCTCGCACTCGCTCAGGTTGCGGTCCTGTCACATTGGGCTCGCTTCGGCGGTGCGCATGAGCAGTCAACACCGGCAAAAACCTGTCGACTGCGGCTTGGCTGGAACGATCCGTGCAACGCGGTGCTGCAATGCGGGGCGGGGACCGGAAAACATGCAGAAGTCGAGGCTTTCTACAGTAGCTGTCCAGCTAGGAGCTCCACTGCAATTGCTTCAAGGTGCCACCCAGTGGATGACAAGGCACGTAATTCATTTCTGCGCGCGGAGACACAACAAAGGCTCTCTGAGAGAGAGCCTTCATTGAACTGCACCACCTGAGTTTGGCAACAAGCAGAGCCGCAGCTTGTGTGTCGACAATGCGGCACGGAGTTGCAGACCACCATTCCAGCAGAAATTAATCCAGAATGCATGTTGCCCCTTTTGCAACATGATCTGATGACCAAGCTCGTGCGAGCTGCACCGCGCTGCAAGCGCTATTCTCGACTTCCCTGTGGCCAGCTACTTGTGGTGGTCGCAGCGGTAATAGCGCTCGGCCGTCAAGTAGTGGAGCAGACATAGCTGACCATGAGCTTTGCATGACTTGCGTTGCATGCCAAGCAAACTCGATCACCAACGTGAGCAGCTCTAGACGAGTTGACGCACATCATCTGCAGAAAAGTCTGCGATGCAGGTATGCGCTTGCACGTGTACTGCTGTCATTGACAGCCTGCCAAGCTTCAGTTGCAGTGTTCCTCAACAAAGATTGATACCAAATGGGGGCATGGTTCAAAGCCAAGTCCAGGTGACCCCACGGTCCATGGGGTTATCGATAGATTGGCTGGTATTCGGACTCAATCAAGAGATGCTGGCATGATTCCTAGCCCCACTTTGTACTTTTAAACACTTGACAGCACCATAGTACATTCCTCGTCTACCAGTAGACGCTAGCAGCTTAAATAATTTTACTGCAGTGGGATGGATTTCCGTGCCATGAAAGGCGAAGCCATTTGAACAGAGTGTAACCTAGGGTTACGACATTACATAACCCTCAGGACCGTTCCTAACCGGGATCGCGACCAAAGGGGTACAGTAGGTGACACCGCCTGCAATCCGTACGGGATCGCGACCCAGCCATAGATCGCAACAAAACCAACATGCTATAAATAAAATGCAGGATTTACTATAAATCTCTTTTGATAGCTTTGGGCACCCGATGAGAAACGTAAAAAACATACCGACAAGAGCTGCACGTAGCAAGTGAGCTCTAGTTTACTAGGATACTATCCTTTCACGCAGCAACGAATATTTGGTGCGGTAGCACTGCGCCGAAGCCGCTGCGCGATCCGGCGATCCCGCTCGCTCGCGATCCGAAACTCGAATCGCAGGGGTTACGCTGGGGGTACACAGTCGGAAATAGGCGGGACTAAACTGACCAATCACAGACCAAGTTTGGGATCGCGATCCCGGTTAGGAACGGCCCTCAAAATAGGCACCATCGTATAAAAGAGCGAAGTGTACCCAAATATGTACACGATTGCCCAGTTGGTAGTAAATTAATGAAAAGATTACCCATTTGAACTTTTGAAAACGCCTTTCAACACCTATGTTTTCTTACTTTAAGCTTATGAAAATACTCCGCAGCTGAAGTATTTCATAATCTTGCCTGTTTTGTGCTTTTGAAAACGCACACGTAAGTTTTCTTACTATCAATTCCGTAAAACAATTTTAGCGTGAGCGATCTTTATGCAGTAAAAAGCAATAGCAATGCTTGTTATTGTCATGGTGTCGGCCACTTTAGCGGTATCGCAGGATGTAATACTTCAACGAAAAACCGGTACACGTACTTTTGAGCATATCATGAGATCACATCAGTATATAGTTGTCCCTGAAAGCCTCCTTGCCTACGGTTTCTCTGGGAATATATGTTTAACGATAGCTAGCCCGAGTTCGGGCGCTAAAGCGTGAAGGCAAACCAAACTTCGGTACAAAGCATGCATCGGTTGCATGTAGTATAACAGAACACTGCCTAGCTGTGGACAAAGCGTTGGTGCGTATAATCATAGAGCATACAGCGATACCTTGCGACTTTCAAATGCAAGCCGTACGTGTCATTTACTCTTAGTTGCAACCAACCTACCTAAGCGATGCATAGAGTGAATATGATTTCTAACTTGATGCAGTAAAAACCCAGCTTTTCTAGAGAAATGAAATTCCGCACACAATGTTAAAATGAAACTTCAATATAAGATGAAGTTTCGTACACGTATAGAGCAGCAAAAGCGCTGCTTGCGCTGTCGGCTACGCATCCGATACATACCATTGAGAAACTTCATCGGCAGTCTTGTTCGAAACAGGCTTACATCTATCTACAGTACAACGTCCAGCCTTGCAGCGAAAAAAGGTGTAGCCATCGGTGTGTTTTCTTGCCCATCCCATCTCAGACGTTTCTCCTCCAGTCGATTTGGTCCACACCAGTCGTACACAGTCTGATTCCACCGAGAAAAACCTCGCGGTAAAACCTCGTTTGGTACCCACCTGTCTGCTTTCGGTACACTGTACCATTCTACAGATGGCTACAATGGCTCCGTTTTGGATGGAGGAGCTCTTACGCGGTCGTCAATCAGACCCAAAGCAGCCGAGTCCCAGCGAAAGCTTCAAGCGTCGGCCACCATGGACGTGACTGCTCTGCACAACATCCTGCTACACACGTTCAGCAATGACGGCGCGGCGCGCAAGGCCGCGGAGGACGCCGTGGCCGGGCTGCACACCGTGCCCGGCTCGGTGCAGCTGCTGATCCAGATCACGGTCGAGGCCAGCGTGACGCGCGAGATCCGCCAGGCCGCCGCCGTGTCGCTCAAGAACCTCGTGCAGAAGTACTGGGAGGGCGCGGACGGCCCCGAGGGCCAGTGGATGCAGGTGATCAGCCCCGCCGACAAGGTGCTGGGCCGCCAGAACGGCCTCGAGGCGCTGCTCGTGTCGCAGGACTCGAGCATCCGCTCGCTGCTGGCCGAGACGGTCGCGTACATCGCGCGCTTCGACTTCCCGGACTCGTGGCCCACGCTCATCGACGAGATCTGCAAGAACGTGCAGAGCGGCGATGCCAACCGTATCATCAACGCGCTGCTGGCGCTGCGCCGCGTGGTCAAGAACTTCGAGTACCGCTCCGAGGAGCGCATGGCGCCGCTCTACAAGCTCGTGGAGGTGGTCTTCCCCATGCTGCAGAACATGATGGTGCAGATGCAGACCAACAACTCGATCGAGGCCGCGCACATGATGCACCTCATCCTCAAGACGTACTGGTCGTGCGTCAAGACCAACCTGCCGCCGCACATTGCGCAGACCGAGCAGGTCGTGGCCTGGATGAACATCTTCCGCATGATCATTGCCAAGCCGCTGCCCGAGGCCAGCGAGGGCGGCGAGCCCGCTGGCCAGCCCACGGACGAGGAGGAGCGCGGCAACTGGCCGTGGTGGAAGCTCAAAAAGTGGGCGCTGCAGATCCTCTGCCGATTCTACACGCGTTACGGCAACCCCAAGAAGGCCGAGGAGGAGTACCTGCAGATGAGCACGGTGTTCCGCAACCAGATCGCCCCGGAGCTGCTGCCCTGCGTGATGGAGACGCTCGCGCTGCGCAAGAACGGCCGCTTCTGCACGGACCGCGTCGTGCAGCTCGCGCTGGTGTTCCTGCAGGAGGCCGTGGACTCGGCCGTTACGTACAAGCTGATCAAGCCGCACCTGGGCTTCCTGCTGTTCGAGGTCATCCACCCGGTACTGTGCCTGACGCCGAAGGACCTGCAGCTGTGGGCCGAGGACCCGCACGAGTTCGTGCGCAAGACCAACGACGTATTCGAGGACTTCCTGGACCCCGTGTACGCCGCCTCGAACCTGCTGGCCGACCTGTGCACCAAGCGTGGCAAGGACTGCCTGCCGAACGTGCTGTCGTTCTACAACAACATCCTCAACACGTACCTCGCCACCCCGGACGACAAGAAGGACTACATCCAGAAGGACGCTGCGCTGCACGCCCTGTTCTCGCTGGACGGTGTGCTGACCAAGTCCAAGGCGCACAAGGACCAGGTCGAGTCGATGATTGTTACCCACATTCTGCCCGAGTTCAAGAACCCGCACGGCTTCCTCCGCCTGCGCGCCTGCAAGATCTTCTCGCGCAAGTACATTGAGGGAATCAAGTTCAAGGACGAGCAGACCCTGGTGAACATTGTCAACGGCATGCTGGATGCCATGTTTGACCCCGAGCTGCCTGTGCGCATTGAGGCCGCCAAGACGATCCGTTTCGTGGTCATGTACCCGCACTCTGACACTGTTGTCGAAGTGCTGCGTCCGCGTCTGCCGCAGATCCTGGAGCAGTTCTTCAGCCTCATGGACGAGATCGGCAACGACGAGGTGGTTGTTGCGCTTGAGCACATCATTGACCGCTTCTCGTCGGAGATCGGACCTTTCTCGCTGCAGCTTGTGGCCAAGTTCGTGGAGTTCTTCGGCCAGTTCACTGCTGTTGCTGAGGAGGACGAGGACGCCTCGCTCGCCGCTGTGTCGTGCCTTGACGCCATCAACACAATCCTCATGAGCATCCACAACCACCCGGAGCTGTACGCTCTGCTGGTGCCCACGCTTGCGCCGGTCATCCACAAGATTCTCACAGACTTCGACTACGTCGAGTACATGGAGAGCGGCATCGATATCCTCGGCTCGCTGGCGTTCTACAGCCAGAAGATCGCGCCCGACCTCTGGGCTCTGTTCCCGTTGATCTTCACGAGCTTCAACGACTGGGCCTCGGACTACCTGACCAACTTCGTCCCGGTCATCGACAACTTCGTCGGCCGCGACATCGAGGGCTTCCTTACCGGTTCGGCTACGGACCCTGCCACGGGCGCCAACGTTCGCTACCTGGAGCTTGTGTTCAACATGGCTAAGACGGTCTTCGAGAGCAAAAACGTGCAGGAGATCGACCTCTGTGCTGCGTGCCGCCTGCTGTACTCGCTGCTGCACAATCTGTTCGGCAAGGTGGACGAGACCATTCCTCCTATTACGCTGATGGTCTGCACCAAGCTCTCGGAGCCGCTTGTGGACTCGACGGCCCGCAACCTGCTCGGTGTGTTCGCCAGTCTGCTGCACTACAACCCGGCCCTTACTCTGGATGCCCTCAACTCGCTGGGCGCTGCTGACGGTGTGCTCAAGATCTGGCTGAGCGACCTGTCCCGGTACGACAACTACCTGGACCGCAAGCTGTTCGTGCTCGGCGCCATGTCGATCCTGCGCGCGCCTGCGGACAAGATCCCGGCTGCACTTCAGCCTCACATCAAGCAGCTGATCCAGGCTGCCATGAAGGTGCTGGCCGAGTCGATCCAGAACCCGGCTCCGGGTATTCTGGAGGGCGGCGAGGAGGCCGAGGGCGATGACGAGGACGCTGAGCACCTCGAGGAGCTGCTGGAGCAGGGCGGCTACGCCTCGAACGAGGACGCCGAGGACGTGGTGGACGACCAGTACTACGCCATCCTGCGTCAGCTGCGTGAGGAGGCTGAGGGTCAGTTTGGCTACGACGACGAGGGCGACGAGGACTACATCAGTCTGCTGGACGAGGTGGACGAGGTCGAGTTCTTCCTCAACTCGCTGCAGGGCTTCGCGCAGGCTCACGCTCCTCAGTACCAGGCTTTGGGACTTGAGGCGGACGCTACGACGCAGCAGGCTCTTGTCCTCTTCCAGGCCGAGCACGCTAAGAGGAAGGAGGCTGAGGCCCAGAAGACCCAGTAAGGGGAGCGATCATCTAGACGATAGTTTCCTCTTGGAGGAAGACGCAGAGTGTGAGAGAGAGAGGAGAGAGGGGAGTGATATGGTTTTTAAGACATACATTTTTGTTCAAAATGTTCATGCCACGAAAGCTTGCACATTACAATGCACTTTACGCCTTCGCGGCAGACTCAATGACGTCCTTGAGCATCGAGCGGTAGGTCTCAAAGTCGAACTGCTCGGGCTTGTTGTTGAACTTGTCCACGTGCTCGTAGAGCTTGTCGTCCTGGTAGCTGGTCAGCAGCTGCTGCAGCAGGAGCTGCGACTCCTTCTTGTCCAGCATGTTGATCACATCGGCGCGCACAAGCGTCAGCTCCTTCTTGGCCAGCAGGTCTTCGTACAGCGACACGGCCACGCAGGGCGGCGCCGCGCTCGGGTTCTCCTTGAAGGCCTCGAGGTACGTGACCAGGAAGCACGACTGCTGGAACTGGCACAGCATGTTGAAGAAGCCCTCCTGGCGGTACACGGGGAAGATGAAGTAGGGCGCGGCCTCGGCGCGCTTCACCAGAGCCTGGAACTCGTCGGCACCCAGTGTCGTGGCCACCGCGTCATCCTTGTCGGCGTGGAACTCCTCCCAGATGCTGCGGATCTGCGGCGCCTGCTCGTTCTCCAGCAGCTCCAGCTTCACGATCTGCTCCAGCGAGCGAGCGCCAGGGTATGAGAAGCCGGCGGCGGCCTTGGCACTCGCGAAGGCGCGGGGCTTCAGCGCATGGCGGCTCGAGAGCAGCGCGCGGCGGCCGAGGCGAAGAGCAATGGACGACATGGTGGTCAAATGATGAACGCACGTGTGGACGAGGAGCTACGGAAGATGTGGTCCACACATTGCTTGTCAAACGTGATGGCTGCAGCTCAAGATCGCTTGTTCAAAATGGCTTCACTTTTCGGCACCTTCGACATGAGCTTTACAGGACTTGCCTTGCAAACTCGATCGTCAGCGTCAGCAGCTTAAGACGAGTCGGTACACTCGACAGACACAGTTGCTCGTCATCAATCAGGACACAGGTTGCGATCACGTTCTCCACTGTCATTGACAGTCTGGTCCAAGTTCAGTTGTGTTCCTCGACAAAAGTATTGAGTTTCGCAGCAAAGTCATCACACTCTTTGCTTGCTCGCGATTCAACCACTGACAGCATACCCATGCCGTCACAGTAAGAAGAATGGCAAGAGAGCAAAGTAGGGTAGGCGAATCGTAAATATATGTAACCTTCGACTACGAAGATCTAACTAAACCTCACCACCAAAAAATGCAAGAGCTAACCAGTGAAAGTCGGCGGGACTCCAAGCTGCAGCGCGCCACTAAGGCGGACAACTGGCAGCGTTCTCCGAGGCGTTCAGGTTGCACTCGAGGTCCCCATCAACGACTTCAGCGCGAACACGCTTAGTCCACCTCCTCCATCGTGCTCTCCTCCTCGTCCTCGCCCTCAAGCGGGGGCAGGTCCTCCATGGTCTCGTCGGCGGCATCGTCGTCGTCGTCGATGCTCAGGCCGAGCTTGATGAGGCGGTGGATGCGGTTGGCGAACGTCGTAGGCTCGTCCAGGCTGAAGCCCGAGGTCAGCAGCGACGTGTCGTACAGCAGCCAGATCAGGTCCTTGACCGTCTTGTCGCTCTTGTCGGCCTCAGCCTTCTCGCGCAGCGACTTGATGATCGGGTGCAGGGGGTTGATCTCCATGGTCTTCTTGGACGTCATGTAGGCAGAGGTGCTGCTGTCACGCAGGGCCTGCGCCTTCATGATGCGCTCCATGTTGGCCGACCAGCCGTACTCGCCCGTCACGAGCACGCACGGGGACTCGACGATGCGGTTCGAGATCTCCACCTTCTCCACCTTGTCGTCGAGGACCTCCTTCATGAGCTTGCACAGGCCCTCCGTGGCGGCCTTGGCCTCCTCGAACGACTTCTTCTCGTCCTCGGTCTCCTCCATCTTGAGGCCCTCCTTGGTGGCGCAGATGAGCTTCTTGCCCTCGTACTCCTTGAGCTGCTGCACGGCGTACTCGTCGATGGCCTCCACCATGAAGAGCACCTCGTAGCCCTTCTTCTTGAGCTTCTCAATGAACGGCGAGTTCTCCACGGCCTTCTTGCTCTCGCCCGTGACGTAGTAGATGCCGGGCTGGTTCTCGGGCATGCGCGAGATGTAGTCGTCCAGCGACGTCATCTCCTCGCCAGACTTGGTCGAGTGGTAACGCAGCAGCTTGGCGATCTTAGTGCGGTTGGTCGAGTCCTCGTGGATGCCCAGCTTGAGGTTCTTGCTGAAAGCCTCGTAGAACTTCTGGTACTTCTCGTTGTCCTCGGCGAGCTCGGCGAACATCTCCAGGCACTTCTTGATCAGGTTCTTCTTGATCACGCGCAGGATCTTGTTCTGCTGCAGGGTCTCACGCGAGATGTTCAGCGGCAGGTCCTCCGAGTCGACAACACCCTTGACGAACGACAGGTACTCGGGCATGAGCTCCTCGCAGTTGTCCATGATGAACACGCGACGCACGTAGAGCTTGATGTTGTTGAGTTTCTTCTTGGCACCGCCCTCGAACATGTCGAACGGGGCGCGCTTGGGGGTGAAGAGGCAGGCCTTGAACTCCAGCTGGCCCTCCACCGAGAAGTGCTTGACGGCGGCGTGCTCCTCCCAGTCGTTGGTCAGCGACTTGTAGAACGAGGCGTACTCCTCGTGGGTCACGTCCTCGGGCTTGCGCATCCAGATGGGCTTCTGCGAGTTCAGGTGGTCCCAGTCATGGGTCACCTCCTTGATCTTCTTGGTCTTCTTCTTCTTCTCGCCCTCCTCCTCGTCGACCTCCTCGACCTTGGGCTTGTCGTCGTCGCCCTCCTTCTCGTCCTCCTCCTCCTCGTCGTCAGTCACCTCCTTCTCCTCCGTCTTCTCGACGTAGAGCTTGATGGGGAAGCCAATGAACTCCGAGTGCTTCTTCACCAGGTCTTTGAGCTTGCGCTCCTCGAGGTACTCGAGCATGTCCTCCTTGAGCTTGAGCACGATGCGGGTACCGCGCAGGATGGGCTCCGACGTGTCGGGCGTGACCGTGAACGAGCCGCCGGCGGCGGACTCCCACACGTACTGCTCGTCGTCGTTGTGCTTGGAGTGCACCACGACCTTGTCGGCCACCAGGTAGGCGGAGTAGAAACCCACACCAAACTGGCCGATCATGCTGATGTCAGCGCCGGCGGCCAGGGCCTCCATGAAGGCCTTGGTGCCCGACTTGGCGATCGTACCCAGGTTGTTGATGAGGTCGGCCTTGGTCATACCGATGCCCGAGTCCTGGATGGTCAGCGTGCCGTTGGCCTTGTCCGGGATCACCTTGATCTCGAGGTTCTTGTCCGTGTCCAGCACGCTGGCGTCGGTCAGCGACGAGTAGCGGATCTTGTCCAGGGCATCCGAGGCGTTCGAGATGAGCTCGCGCAGGAAGATGTCCTTGTTCGAGTAGAACGTGTTGATGATCAGGCTCAGCAGCTGGTTGATGTCGGCCGAGAAGGCAAACGTTTCGGCTTCCGGAGCGCTCATGGTCTCTCTGTGTGGGGTGCTTCTTGTGTCTTGATTCCAACAGGGAAGATTGAAGAATGAGCCGCCGACTTGTCCTCGGGAAAGGGGGCTTTGCTTGCAGCCCCAGCCAAACAACCCGCGGCGCCCAAACTAAGTGCGATCTTTCTTGTTTTGGGCTGCCCTCGCCTTGTCATCGAAACTTCCATCGATCCAGAGGAGGGGCGACGTGCATACTTTTGCGTGTTAGTTTGCCGTGAAGTGGGAGGGAAGACCCGTCAACCCTGTCGAAAATTCTAGATTGCGACGGGCCAGGACACCAGTGGTACATTGTACCCAATAGGATGATGCAGGTCTGAATTGTATGTGATTGACCTAATACAGGAGGTCGGACAATATAAGGTTTCGCGACGCAGGTACGTGGCAGTGCGGAAAATCCGAAACGGTCGCGGTTGTTCTGGAACGTACGTGGCCGAGTCACTAAAGCCATTTGCTGGCGAGGACGCTTGCTGCCGAGGACCATCGGGTGACTTTGTGAGCGTCTTAAGAGCTATGAGTGAGGCTGTCGTACGTGCTGGTAGTCAATTGGCTGGCAGTTTTAACCAAGGGATGGGTGGGTGCGCGTGTCTTCAAGTTGAACGGATGGATGGATGCAGACTCCAACTCCAATGTCGCTGCAAGCTGCTGCGGCTGGGTTGTGTGACTTTGCTGCAGATAGCGTGGGTCTGTTGCTCGATTGGGTGCTGCTATACAGCGAGACTGCCGGAGGAATGACAATGAGGTCGCGATGGTTCTGCTCTGCGGCTTTGTCTCCTCTCGGCGAGGTCTCCTTGCTGCCCAAGACAATGTTTGGAGAATGCAGTGGTGCGCTGCTAAGGCGATGGAGAGAATGCATGCCTGCACTGTTGTACAGCACCAACTTTCGTGCCGAGCCTATTTCATGCTGCATCGTAAATTGGTCTCGTAGCGGCACGCCGAGTACTGTATTGCCACTAGAACGCGGCAAATATATTCAAAGTAATTTATTATCGTGTATGGTCATCGCTTATAACTCATTCCATTCCGTCTCTAAACACCAGCATATTCACAACAGGCTGCATCGCCTCAGTCATCCCAGTCTGAGTCGTCGGATGAGGATTTGTCCCAGTCGACATCATCAATGCCATTGTTCTTTGGCGGGTTTCCTGTCGAATTCTGGGATACAGGTAAGGGTGCACGAGGGGCGGAAACACTGCTGCGGCGCCGGGTTTCAGCCATGAGCTTCTCCGTCGACTTCTGGGCAGTCTGCCGAGTGCAATGCTCGCACATACCATTCGCTTGAAGCAACTGGAACCCCCACCCGCCACAAACGGAGCACCTCTGGCGCATTTGGGCGGAATCCACAATGAAGGCTAGGCGGAGGCGGTTGCAGTGAGCACAGACGCCGTTCTTTTCAACCAGCCCGACGCCAATTCCCTGGCAACAATCGCATTTGCTCAGCTCCGGCGCAGACTGCTGCCCATACATGGATCCGAAAGGCATTCCATAGGCGCCCTCCATTGTTGATTCCGCGCTGTACGGCACCATTGCAGACGGCATTGCCATGCCGTCGGACGAAGGCAGTGGTGTCTGAGGCACCAACTGGTACCCTGGGGGCACGCCTACCATGCTGGGGGGATACATCGGAGCGGGCATCATGGGTGGGGGCTGCATATACGGATAGTAATATCCATACGGCGTTGATGGCGGCGGTGGTGGCGGTGGCATCATCATGTACGGATACGGGGGATACATTCCACCGCTCAGCGGTGGATTCTGAGGGTAGGCTCCGGCAGGAGCTGACCCCGAAACCGAGCCATTGTTGTTCGTTGCGTGCTGCTCTGAATGCCCATCTTGAGACCGTTCGTGATGATCACCACCCAAGTGGGCAGCGAGCGCCGCTTCCAACTTGGCGACTCGTCTCCTTTCACGCCTCAACTGCTTCTCAATTTGCCTGGCTTCCTCTTCAGCTTCGGCGCTGCTGGATGTGCGGATGCTGGAGTCCTCTGTTAGATCACCAGCACTGGATACCGATTTACGTCGTTGCGATTCCGATGTCGCGGGCTCGGTCCGTTTCAATGCCGCCAACTCCTTCTCTCGTTGTTTCCGGACGCGTCGCTCTTCGCGTGCCCGTTGGTTTTCATCCTGCGAAGGGTCTGATGTTACTTCACCTTCTATCAGCGAAAGCTCGTCCTTAGCACTGTCCTCTGCCTTCGCGTTCTCGTACTGCAATGAACGAATTGAGCTTCCATACTTGCTTCCCCAACTTCGACTGCGGCTCCTATGCTTCACCCGTTCTGGTGATGATGCCTCTGAAACCTCCTCATCTTGAGCCCCAGTGCTTCCATTACCAGTGGTTGCCACTGTATCTTGCTCAGTAGCACCCTTTTCACTAGCAGCGCCCGTATCATGCTCAGAGCCCTGTTTGTCCATCCCATCCAAAGCCTTCTTCTTCTCCTCCTTCTTCTTTTTCTTTTTCTCGTCTTTCTCCAGTCGTTGACGGTTCTCATCTTCCTGACGCTGTCTTCGTTCTTGCTCTCGCCGCTCTTCAAGTGCAGCTTGCTCAGCACGCTCCTGCTCCCTTCGTAGCTCTCGCTCTTTCGCAGCCTGTTCTTCGCGTTCTTTTCTCGCCGCCTCCTGCTCCTTCGCCTCCATCTCCGCCTGCATCTGCTGTCTCTTGCGCTCCTCCTCCGCCAGCTCCTGCTCCTTCCAACTCATCACCTTGTCACCGCTGTCTTTCTCCTTCTTCTTGGAATTTAACGTAGCTCCCTTCTTCTTCATATTGTTGGCCACCTCGGCCATAAAGTCGTCCCCAGTGATACTCTCCCTCTTGGCCATCATGTTCTCCTGTCGCTTTTTCCTCAAAAAGCGGAGCCTTTCAGCTGCACTCATGCCCGCAGTCTCCGCCTCGTACTGCTCCTCCAGCGAGGGTGTCTTATTCTCCTCTGCAGCTCCTCCTGCATACTCCCCCTCGCCCTCCTGTCGGATGTTCAGCATCGGTGGGGGTCGCCCCATCATGGGTACATTGAGTCGGCCCTCCAGCGAGGCTTGTAGCTTCTGGAACATGGCGTTCTTGGACTTGCGGACAGCTGGGACCTCGTCCGTGGCACTTCTTCGACTCTCCGGCCGCTTCTTCTTCTCCTTCTTGGGTTTATTATCAGCAGGAGCTTCGGTATGAGGCGCCTCTTGCTCCAGGACGATCTGCTTGTTGCTCCCTTTGGAGCGTCGGTGCTTGGAGTGAGCGGGGGGCTGCTCCTCCGTCTCCGTGGGGAGCTCCCACCTGCTCTCCTTGGTCACGGCGTTGTAGTAGTACGGGTGGCCGTCGGGCGACGTGAACTGCTTCCATTCTCCTCCTGCTGTTGCGTCCTTCTCCGCGGGCCTGTCGTGGCGCTTCGACCGCTCGGACGAGCGCTTCTTCTTCTTGATACGCGCAGCCGACGCGTCCGCTTCCGTGCGCATACTGGCGCAACGTTGGAATGTGGCCCGCCATGCTATGCTGGGCGTAAGCATCGCACTTAGTAGAAGCGATAACGGTACGGTATCTGAACAGCTTCAACTTGCTGATGAGGGTCTGCAGTCCTCTCTCACCAGTCCTCTCACCAAGTGGGGAGTGCTTGCCAAACCGTCAATAACTGCAACGCAGCTTACAGTGTGCATATAGGTTTGATCTTTGCATGTACTTCTAAGTGCCGGTGTCGATCAGCGCCGTTTCCTTTAGTTCTCTGCTGAAGACATGCTGGAATGAAAAAGTGTTGGTACGCTGCTCGGCACGCATTGCCAAGTAAAGTACCAGCGACAAAGTAAGTCTTCGCGCAAACAGTGCTAACAGAAAGTAATGAACACGCCACGGTGCTTTGAAAAGAGGAAGGGGTGGAAACCACGCTTACCTTTTTGTTCTCGTCCGTCATTGTCGAGTACATGTATTGCACGCTCCTAGGACTCCTTGAAATACATATCTTCGGTCGATATGTGTATCGAGAGAGAGATTGTATAGATACCAGCAATGCCCTAGAACTGTTGAGTCAGAACTGCAGTTGAAGTGAACTAATCTGACTGATCCAAGGGATCTGACAATCCAAGAGGGATTAGTCAGCGCGCTAGCAGACCTTGCCTTGCTTGAATCATACAGGTATCTCGCTCATATGAACCCCACCGCTCTCTCATTCTTTAATCGTCGATCTCGAGCCAACATCTCATCCACCCCCACCCCTTCTATCACCATGGGCGTAGCCATCGCCGGAGCCAGATCATTCGCCAAGTACTTCGTCGAAGAGCTGCCCGCTGCTGGACATGAAGTCGTCCTCTTGACCCGGTCGCACAAGGACTTCTTCGACGGCAAGAAGGGCGTCGTGGAGCAGCGCATCACCGACTACTCGTCCGTGCAGCAGCTCGTGGAGCGACTGCGATGCGCTTGTCAGCACGATCTCCGACATGTCTCCGGCCTACGTGGACGTTCACAAGGCGCTGATCGAGGCCTGCAAGCAGACGCCCAAGTGGAAGCGCTTCATCCCATCCGAGTTCGGCGGCAACACGGAGGAGTTCACCGAAGAACCGGGCACGGCGTACCAGTTCAACATGCCCGTGCGCGATGCGCTCAAGGAGCAAAGCGAACTCGAGTGGACTGTCGTGGTGATCGGATTCGTCATGGACTACATCGTCCCGAGTACCAACCGCTACCACCCGGGCATGGGCCCGTTCTACGCCTTGGACCTGAACACAAAGACCATGACGATCCCGGGCACCGGCAACGAACCGTTCGAGACGACAAGCGCCCGTGACGTTGCGAAGGCTGTCGCCGCGCAGGTGAAAAGCCCCAACAAGTGGCGCCACCACACCTTCGTCCAGGAAGAGCAGACGACGTGGCAAAAATGGCGGAGTTGGTGAAAACCGAAGGTGTCGACGATCTCAAGGTCACCTTCCAGTCGCTCGACGAGCTGCAAAAGGTGGCCGACCAAAGACCTCAGCGAGGCCGCCCTCGTGGCGGAGTTCAATCTGTATGTGCCGCTGGGGGCGCTCAAGCTCGACCAGGAGAAGGTGAAGCGTGACCGCGCCGAATTCTTCCCGAATGTCCACTTCCGTACGGCGCGCGAGCTGCTGGCGGCGGTCAAGCAAGACCCGAAGGCTATCGTGTAAGCAAGGTGGTAGGGAGACGCTTGTCCGTAGTTTTGCTTTCGTACGAACTGCACTAAACTTTACAAACCAATACACATCAAAGTATGAAGCTGTGTGATACAGCTTGGCAACTTATGCGATGATTCGCTCAGGCTCTCGCTAAGCAACATGTCTTCAGTGGTAGAGAGGGTAATGTCAAGGCATTCTCGAGCCGCTGCCATTGCTAGGCTTTTCAGGTCAGCTACATTGCTGTATCCGGCCTTCGTCTTGAGCTCCGATTGACAGACGAGCGCGACGATCGATTCCATGCTGCTGGACGGAGAGCGAAGAACCGCGGCCCACGTCGTGTCCTCATACCTGACGCTGCCGTCCGCCAGCATTAGAATCGCCTGCCACACGAATATATTGGCGCGGTAGGTGTTTCCAGCGTGCTTCGATGAACCACCGCGTGATAGTCGACTACCGCAGTCTCGTCGTTGAGTACCAGTCTGTCTTGCACCTTCATGGTGCAGAGGCTCGGTGCGCGTTCGACTACTCGAGCCTTCAGTGCGATGTCGCGCGCGTCCGATACGGAGCAGTTCTCCGAGGCGAAACTCGCTTCTGGACGCGAGAGAGCCGTCCAGAGGGCGTTTGAGGTTGAGTGCATATCAAAGGGAACGTGGCGCACACCGACCAATGCGGCTTCCATTGCACCAGTCTCTCTGTGAGCCCACACCTCCGACGTCAGGTCTTCTAGCGCTCGGACGCCATTTCTCGCGAAAACTTCGGGCAATCGCAGCGCGGAAGCATGTGCTTGCCCCTTCAATTGGCTCAACACGAGGTCGTCCTCCGGGAAGATTATTAAACAGGTCTTTTGCGGGTCTGGTAAGGCTTCGGGTCAGTAAGACCCTATCCAGACCTATGGATATTTTACAGGAAAAATAAAAAATTTTCATGCCCGACCCATATCCATACCTGAGAAATACCACTTAGCGACCTAGGTGTTACTAATACATATCGATCTAGCAGTAGATAAACTAGCCTACGCAAGTACTGGTATCAATTCATGGACGAGGGCGAGCGAATGCGAGCGCGAGGCTCACTCAATGCGTTCACTGTTCACCAACACCCGCCGAACAGGCGGGGGCGTGTCTGTGCGAGCGAGCGAAGGCGAGCGCTGCAACCCGATATTTTTTTTCTAGACACCGCGCCTGGCCGAGTCGAGGACTTCGAGTGAGGGGGTGGGGCAGGCCGCGCAGCGGCGCCCCCCCCCCCCCCCCCCGTCTAGAAGTCCGCAGACGAGAGCCAACGAGCGAGTGTCCGCCCCCTTAAAGCATGATACACATGCCTTGCTACCACGTTCACGGTATCTTACAGGTATTGTACGGATCAGGCTGACGGTCATACTGACCAGCCAAATATGCACACCAGACCAACTACCTTACCAGACCCGCAAAAGACCCGTTTAACCCTTAAAATGAAACCCGTCCTCCGCTCTCCGCTGCATCGTCGCCATCACCTTGAAACTGTAGGCGTTGGCAGCTCTCCGCTGCATCGTCGCCATCACCTTGAAACTGTAGGCGTTGGCAGCTCCCCGCTATTCGTGCAGCAGCTCCCACAGACGCTGGATCCAGTCGGCGTTGCTCTGGGCACGCTCATTAAGAACACGGTTGGTCTGCTCTGCTGTTCGTCGAGCTCGCGCTTGCCGCTCAGCGAAGCATTTCCACGCCGACTTGGAGCTGAGACCGAGAGAGCGTTCCGTCGCCTCGAGAGAGTGAGGCCAAGTGGGCTTCCAGCTCGACCACGAGGCTCCGAAGCGCCGCCAGCTCTGCCTTCTCGCGGTCTCAAGTTGAATTGCGCTGGCTGGGCTTCCGCATGGGTTTGATCCGGCCGAGTCAGGTTGACGCGAGAGTTTTTGGGGGAATGACATCAGGGGCTGCGTGACAACAGACGGGATAGGATGTTGTGTGCACTTGCATAGCCGCTTATGCCACGATTAGTCAGCGCTGGGCGGACCATCAGAGCGCTTGACTCACCATTCACAAGGTCCAAGTACTGTATGCTACGAGTTATAGGAGATACATTCATCTTGAAATACATTTCACAACACACACACGCAGCTAGCCGCTCTGTCCCACCTCGTCACTACCAGCGATTTCGTCTGCTACACGCAGCGCTTAAATATTCCTAGGACTGCGACCGCGGTTGCAGAGCCATGATGAGATTCCGTGGAGCGTCGTACTGCTCTTCGTCGTCTTTGGAGTTTGCATGTGATGTCTTGCCCTTAGTCGGCGGCGGGGTCTTGACGATAGAGCCAAAGTGCTTCTTCGAGAGGATCAACGGCCTTGGAGCTGCTTCTGCTTCCGGCTCAGCGGCAACCGGCGGCGTTCCAAGAGGCGGCCGCGGGTTGTTCAGGACTCGAGCTGCCACGATGTCGGCTACGGACTGAGGGCTCTCGGACAGCAGCAGATCTTGGATACTCCCAGCCAAAGAAGGTAGAGTGACCGGGGTACCGTGGGTATCTCTTGATCCGTTGGGCTTGGAGGGAGTCGTTAGACCACCAGTGGTCTTGACTCCATCGAGTTGCTGGTGCGCTGCCAAGTAGTCGACGTATTCGCGGATGTACTGCTGCATGTACTGTTTGAGCTGCTCTTGCTGCTCGAGGAGGATAGTCTGCGGGTGAATAGGCTCGTTGTTGGCGTCCATTCGAAGCAGCATTTTCTTCTCCTCCGTCGGTTGCTTCGATCCCTTCTCATTAAGTCGACTCCGTTTTGAGGAAGACTCACCTTCTGACATGCTCACGTCGCTTGCGTCTTGGTCGCTCTGCTTTCGCTTCGAGCCGCAGCTGCTTGAGTCGGACTGGGAGTCACTGCCGTCGTCGAACATATCGCTGTCGCACGACTGGGGGGATTTCATGACGTCCGCATCCTCCGTGTCGGCAGCAGGAGGCATTGTTTCCGACTTTACTCGAACCGCGTTGTCCGGACCAGGCTGAGTCGGCTTGTTATCGCGCACATTCTCCTGGTTTGTCGAGTTACTTGTCTGAGAAGAGGTGGGGGTCGATGTCGAGCTGCGCGTCTTCCACCGAAAGACCGGCTTCCGGGAGTTGGAGAGTTGGAGCTTCTCGATCAGCCCGACGCTTACCAAAACATTGGCAACGTCGTACAGTCGGCGGATTTTGGCTGTTGTCGGAGCAAAGAGTATGGTAAGAAATCGTGAAAACCGTAGATAAGCAGCAACTTCCACAACGTACTCTTCAGAAGGCGGTCTTCTTCGTTTTCGCTATCTTCCATCTGGATGAGCTGCTTGGCAGCTTGGTCCAGTGGGATAATGCAGTCCTCCTGTGTAATTTAGGTGCAGAAGTTAGTTAGCTGTCAATCTACCTACAAGACCGTTGTTGAGTCGTGGTATACCTTCCCGAGGAAGAGCTGGACGAACATCTGACTCAGCTTTGACAGTGACTTCCCTCTCCGACGATCACCTAGAGAGAGCGTGTCATGTCAGTTTGGCTTCAAAGGTCAAAACACAATTTTCGGGCTCTACGTACTCTTGATGGGAGGGAATTCTGCGCTCTTGGAGCCACCGGGGGACGACTTGTGCATTTCAGCATAGCGTTGCTAGACAACAAGAAAAAATAAGCCTCCATTCAACCCACATCGCAGCCATTTCAGTTGCGGTCTTACCTTCATGGCACCGATAGACGTAGGGAGCGACGCCAGCCCGTGCCAATTGTACAGGTTCTTGCTCTTGCGGCTCACGAGATGAATGCTCTCCAGGATGTTGACAATGTCGTAAATCCGCCTCCTCTCAACACCCAACTCCGTCGCTGCTCGATCGAGACAGATCTCGGCAATCTTGTCGTCGCGGTACAGCTTCAGGAAGCTACATAACAAAACAAAACACCATCAGCAACCCTTTAACCACACAAAGTCTACACCCCAGACCACAGCACGTACTTCTCACACAGCAGCCCGAGCGACTTGTCCTTCCGGTTGTATTCTCGGAAGGGGAAGAACCTGACCTCGTCGCCGTCCATCCTCCAGTCGCCGTTCTTGGCGTCCTTGTCGCCGTCCTCCGGCTTCGAGTCCGTCTTGCACGAGGGCTTCCCCGTTGCTGCCGCCGCGTCCGAGTCCATCCACGCCGTCTTAATCTGCCGCTTGGCCGAGGTGCCGACCTTCTTGGGGGCTTTGCGCACGTATCGCCGCTTGGCCTTCGCTGGCTTGAGGGCGGGGCACGTCTTGGGCTCCTGCTCGTCGCCGTTGCTGCCCGTGAGCAGATGCATCATGGCTGCCGCCGCCTCCGTCCGGTTGGGGCTCGGCTGGATGCTGGAGGCCCCCGCCACGCGGATGCTGCCGGGCGTACGCGGCGGCAGCTCCTGCGCCCTGCGGCGCATGGGGCTCATCATCTCCTGCGTCGCCATGACTGGGGCTGGCTGGGTGGCGAAAAAGTTGAACGTCGAGCGGTGCAGAGTCCAGGGGGATGGTGCGGCTTGACTTGACGGGCTTGACACGAGCTCTATGAGTTGCAGTACCGGTAGCTCCTGGTGGGATATTCCGTGTGCGGCGGTGGAATTGGGACTGACTGAGACCGGTTCAAAATTGACGCGCGTAAAATCGCTTTGGCGCCAAATTCAAATTCATTCATTTAGAAACGTTTTTACACATGTTTGACAGATTTTTCTAATTCGTTAGAAATGAACGTACCGGTCGTGTACGGAACACAATGTACCCAAGACCCAGCCGGAGCTTCTCAAGATGCCGGAAGAGGCCTCCTCGCTGGCGCTCGTGGAGCTCCTGCGGCAGCGCAACCTGACCCTCGACCAGCAGATCCGAGACGTGGTGCAGCGGAACAAGAGCCTCGAGCAGCAGCTGGATGCGCAGCACCGCGAGGCCGCGCGAAAGAGGAGGAAACTCCAGCGCAAGATCCAAGAGGCGCAGAACGCGCTCCGACTCAAGGACGAGGGCATCCGGCGGCTGCAGCGGCAGCTGAGCGAGACTATTGACGCGCTAGATGCAGAAAAAGACCGCACCGGCAAGTTGCAGCAGCTGGAGGATGACGAAGCGGACCGAAGTTTGATGGAGTCGGCACTGAGAGCAGCAGCTCGTCATCAGCACACGGAGTGTGAGCCTAGGATCGACATTTCTTGCAGTGACAAACCTGGCTGGGGAGATTTTGATACGCCTGAAGATACAGGGGATCAGTATCAAAAGAAAGAGTTGGGCCACAGCTTGTTCAGCCGAGAAGAGGATGTGGCTGTCACTCTGACCAAGATCATACCGCAACTGTGCGGATCACGGGATGACCGAGAACAGCAAGGTGGTTACGTGGATTCAAGGCACCATGGTATTGTTCCAAATGGATGCATCCATACGGATGAGTATGTTGGAGAAGCTTCGAAGCAAGGTCTGACCCAGCTGCTAAAGGAAGCTGGAGAGGCTCTCAACGCCCACCAAGAAACGAGGTGGCACGACATGATGGAGCGCGAAAAGGTGCTAACGTGCCCGCTTTCGCAAGATCTGTTCCAAGATGCGGTGGTCACTGAATGTTGTGGGAAAACGGCTTCGTGGGAGCCGCTCAGACAAGCACTCGCGCAGATCTCTGTGTGTCCGTTTTGCAATGCAAAAGAGGGCTATGTCCACAGAAATGCTGACATGGAAACGCTAGTGGAGCTCCATCGCTCTGAACGCTCAGCTTTGAGTGATATTGCGTTTATCACCGCGCGTACCGCAGCTCATCTAACCGTTGCATGCTCTCGCCCCAGTCAACGAGTTGACGCAGTACTGCTTCAAGAGCGTCCGAGTGAGCGGGATGAGTCAACTGGCATTTATCGCCTGCCCAGTGCTGCATCAAGTGCAAAGGATATCGACGACGACGCTGGTGGAGACTCCCGGGAAGAAGATACTTCGCAATGGGGTTCGAATGCTCGAACAGCGTCGCCAACTACTGGGGAAAGTGATGCACCGAACATTTCTCCGAGTACACTGTCACGGCCTCCGGCAAGTATAGATGCACGCCGAACGTGCCGCTATTTGTTTGAGCCAAGTGCCGCTTTACGTGTGACGCTAGAGACGCCAGGAAAATCTCATCGCAAAGATCCTGACGCTGCATCGGGAAGTAGCTTTCGATCTCCAGTCTCATCAGGACCCACCACTGCATCGCTAACAGCTTGGGCCCACGAGTTTTCAAGACCTCGAAAGCGGCGAGCTGCTGAAGAGTGGCGTTTTCCCGAGTGTGCATAGACTTTGAAGTAGGTAGTTGGTAACCTACAACAATAGGATTAAGGGTATTAGATACTTGTGGACATTTGAGGTTGGTCTTGTGGACAATCCGTCCTCCGCCTGTAGTCTGTTGTTTAAAGATCGAACCAATCAGCGTTTGCGAATCATTCGAGAGAATTGCGACCGACAAGCAGGCTACAGAAGTGCGCTTCATTCATGACGAAGGAGACTAACTTGGACGAGACGCATATCGAGTGCGAAGCTGAGCGGCAACGAGTGAATGATCTGCAACAAGCGACTAGTGCTGGTGCGCTAACAGCGGATATCCAGAGATTACAACAGGAGAATGCCGCCCAGCAGGCAGCCATTGCAGAAGCTGAGGCCAAGGCGCACACGGCGCAAGATGAGCTCAAAATGACCATAGTGCAGCTTACAAAGCGAACGCAAGTTCAACTCGCTGTGCTTAATCGCGAGCGAGCACAGTTGCTGCGGCGAATTGGCGCAACAAAAGTGGCTACTATTCAAGCGGCGAGCAGCTTATGTTTCACAAGAATCGTGCCCCATTTGCGCAGTCTATTGGCGACTTATGACCAAGGCCAAGAAGGCAATTCGACCAACCACACCAGTGCCTGTCCTGCACTGGCCGTCACCACCCGAAGGCCAAGTACAAGCTTACGAGGTTATTAGAGAGGCAAGCCGTGAGGCGCAAGCCCAGCAGAAGATGGCCTGGCAGGCCCTGATGGCGCGCGAAAAGGAGCTGTCGTGTCCGCTTTTACGTGAGTTGTTTGCGGACCCAGTCATTACAGGGTGCTGTGGAAGAACGTGTTCGTGGGGCCCGCTACGACAGGCATTCGAGCAGAGCTTGGCGTGTCCGTTTTGCCAAGCTCGTGGAGTCGGGGTTCACGAGAACCGCGACATTGCTAGACTAGTAGAGCTTCATCGCTCAGAGCGCTTGGCCTTCGAAGGGGTGGCTACCTCGCCAGCTGATGTCACTTGATGTCGCTGACGGCGAACTGCGCACGAATCTCGATGCATCGATGACAACGAGAATTTCAGGTGTCTTCACTGGAAAGCATCAACACAGTTACCTTGGATATCCTGAAAACACTTTCTTTCGACAATAACATAATAGTAATACTTCGAAGTGCACGCACGACCTTGATTTGAGCCGGCATTGCCAAAATGCTTACCCCGAAGGCGCTTCAAAACAACGACGTCATTTTTTTAAGCAAATTATCAAATGAGATGCATCACCGTCGTAGACATTGCCTTGTTAGCACGCATAACAATAAAGATCACCGCCAGTCGACAATGCACAGCGCGATCCAATGCGAATGCGTCAGATCGTACTCTCGATGAAGACCAAGTGCTCAATCAGGTTGAGCACGACAGATCTACACACGCTTCAACTTAAACTTGACCGTGAGTCGCGTATTTTCAACCAATCAGCGACGATTATCTCAATGGCAACTTTTGACCAACCAATCAGCGACGATTATCTCAATGGCAACTTTTGACCTACACTCGCATTGACGTCCAGCGGTGTGTGCCATGGGGACTTGCGGTCCCTGCCTCGCGCCGACGCAGGAGTGCGAGCGGCACAAGACGCTGTTCCTGAAGCTGGCGGAGGAGTCGAAGGCGGCGCTGACTGAACTCGGCGCCAGTCTGAACGAGCGCATCCGAGACCTCGAGCAGCAGAATGACGACCTCGAAGAGACCAACGGCGAGCTGGCGGAGCAGAACGAAGCGCTGCAGAGGGAGAAGACGCAGCTCGCGGAGAAGGTGGACAAGCTAGAGGCCTCGCTGCACGAGAAGCGAGAGCAGCTCTGGGAAACAATCCAGGATTTCCGGGACGAGATGAAGGAGAAGAAGAGGGAACTGCGGGAAGCGGAGGACCGACACGCCGAGTACCGACGCCTGGAGGCTGTTCTTAGAGAGGAGATTGGCTCGCTGCAGAGAGAGCTCCGTGAGCAGAAGGAGAGCCTCTCGCAAGCGACCATAGAGAAAGTGTCTACCGAGGCACACATGCGGCTTCAACAGACAGTGGAGCAGCTTGAACGGCGTCTGAAAACGAAAGACGCGGAGATTGCGTCTCTGCAGCAATTAGTGCACGATCAGAAGGCGAGGCAAGCTACGAAGAGGTTTAATGAGAAAAACAGCAAGGCTACTGCGAAGAAGGCGCGGCTTCAAGAGAAAGTGGCGCAGCTGGAACAACGTCTCGAAGTGCAGAGTAAGGCATTCGAGGAAGAACGGGTGCAGTTGACGCAGGAAGTGGCGAAGTATCGAAGTGACGCGCAGATGATGCAGAAAGCGAGCAGTTGCCAGGACGACGCGCAGGAAAAGCTGAATCTATCTCTTGACGACGCCATGCCACAGTTGCGGAGTCTGTTGAGTGCGTACGATCGATTGCAAGGCAACCAGCAAGGCAAAGGCAAAGGTAAAGCTAAACCAGCTGCAGGTAACACAAAACTTGGACGAGCTGGGGCAGCAGACAAGGATATGCTGCAGCGTCTGAAAGAGCAGGAAGAGGCGTTTGACCAAGAGCGAGCGCAGCTACTCGAGCAAGCAAGCGACGCAGCCAAAACCCAACGAGATGCCATTCGACAGAGCCTGATGGAGCGCGAGGGGCTGTTGACATGTCCGATCTCGCTCGAACTCTTTGAATACCCGGTGCTAACTGGATGCTGCGGCAAGACATTTTCCTCAGAGGCATTTGAGCCAAAGTCCTCTCTGCCCATTTTGCCGAGGGCAACTGGTATCGACCCACGCAAACCGCGACATGACGAAGCTTGTGGAGCTGCACCAACGGAACCGCTCCCTTTTTGATATGTCAACCGGCGAAGATTCGACCCCAACAACCACTGCATCATCGCTGGATGAATACGCGGTGATATCTGCTACGACGGGAAGCACCCGCCGTAATCGACGAAGAATTGGAGCATCAAGCGCACGCCAAAGCCAGCACAGACAGCATCGGCGCGAAAGAGTCCAAGCACGATCTGAGGTACCTCACCGCCAATCATCACTATTTAATACCCAAGGCAACGCTCCATCGGGTACGACGGCATCCGTTGCTACTTCGAATCTTTCACCAAACACCGCTGTGTCGGCCGCTGCTACCGACAACAATCGCGAAGCGGAACCTTCAGGTCTTGAAATTTATCGACTAGGCAGCGATGGGCCAGTTGCTGTACCAAGGAATATGGTGCGTTCAGTCCTCAGTTCACTTCGTCTTCCAAGCGCGCAGTCCCGCTCTACTACCAGTAGTCGTCAACGTTCAAGGTCTAGCGTCAATCGGTCTACCGCTACCAGCCGTCAACGCTCCAGGTCCAGAACTTCTGCAGCTTCGATGGCCCCTTCATTGGTCACCACTGTTGCAGAGCAGCAAGTACAGTCATCTTCTACCTCTCGACGTCGAGCTTTAAGCTCTAATGCTGCTTCGGCAACTGCGACATCAAGCACAGTATCAAGTGCGACGCCAAACACGAATGCATCTTCAAGCAGAAGGCGTACTTCACGTTCAAGTCCAAATGCTACTCCAAGTGCTGCCCCGATAGCAGCAGAGCCGCCAAGTGCGGTATCCACGGGGGAGCGGTTATCTACCTTGCCGATAGCTGCATCCAGTGCTGCTCGGCATTCATTCATTAGTCCTGCAGCCAATGGTTCAGCAAGTAGTCAACCGGCAGGCACAAGCGACACATCAAGCAATGCCAAGGATCCATCCACCTCCCTAGACGCGTGGATGAAGGCATCAGCCCGTGATCATCCATCTACAGCGGCAGCAACATCAACTACAGCCCGCCTGTCAGGACCAAGTGCGAGACCGACTGCTTCGACTTCTGCTAGAAGTACAACATCAAGAACTGCAGCCGCGTCACGTCGACCAGTTCGGATTTCTGCCACACAAGACGACTCGGTGCTTGGGCGCGTGAAGCACGAGTCTCCCCGGTTGACAGCGAGCCAGCCTGCTCCTCGCCAATCGCTAAGCGCTCTTGCGCGGAGCGTCACGTCACTGGAAGACCTCCTGGGCTCGGACTTCGAGTCCATCTCAGATTCCGACTGAAAAGGCAACATCCGAGTTGAAGTTTCAGATGTGCACCCGATAATCAATTATTTGCACTAGCCAGCCAATCACATTTCAGCTTAGCACTTCCGCCATGGAGCGAGAGCAGCTCACGAGTGAGAATTTCAAGCTAAGCGCGGAGTTTGCGAGCAAAGATGCCACTATAAAGTGCCTGGCGAGTGTTCTTGCTGAGAAGGAGAAGGAGTGGGTCGAGCGCTTGAGGCAGCAGCTTCGTGAGCAGCTGCGGACACGGCAAGACCTTGCAGTCAGGATGCAGGAGGCAGACAGGGAGGTTAGAGAGCGCGAAGAAGAGCTTGAAAGGACGGTGGAACAATTGCAGACGCAGCTAAGAGAGCAGACCGGGTGGAACGGTCAATGCTAGAGCCGCAAAGTTCACCAGGCAATCCTCGTGAAGAATCGATCAGAATTGGAGCCGCGCGTCTACACCAAATTTTGCGTCAATACCGAGAGCTTCGCCAAGAACGAGTTCGCGCACGGTCTGAGGTTCCTCACCGCCGGTCATCAGCACCAAGTGACCAATCTCCCGAGACGATAGCTTCCTCTACATTTCGAGCTCGAAGGCTTTCTCCAAGTTATGAGCGAAGAAGCTGGCCCACTATCGCCAGAGCGACAGCAAGTGCTGTTTCAATGGCAGAGTCACCCTACACTCCACCCGCAAGTGGTGACTTGTACGTCTCTGCTGCACCGACTGAAGATGGATATCTTGCTGCGGTGTACAGTGACCAAGGACCGGAGCAAACTCAAATCGAACACGTGCCGTCTCCGCTTCGAACCGTGGAGGAGTTCCCAGTGTTGACGGATGAATCGTGGAACTTGATGGATACCTTAGCGGCGCGGACTGAAATTGCGACCCCAATGGACCTCTCGACTTTAGGTGAGCCGCTTCGAGTCCAACGAGTGTCGGATGATAACTCGGACGGTGGCTTTGACTCGGATACGGACTAACATGTAAAGATTTGTTGCAGTTGAAGTTGTTTGGTAATCACTAATTTTCAATTACACAGCCAATCAACACTCATAACAGCTTCCATCTTGAGAAGTTTTCAATCGTTAGAGATGGATAGCTTCCTCTCGTCGACTTCCGAGGTTCAAAGCGCTCGGGAGCTAGCGGAAGAGTCCAAGTCAGCTCTGGTGGACCTGGCGATTATCCTCAAGCGGCGCATCGAAGTTCTGGAGCAGCAGATCAAAGACAAGCACCACGAGACAATTACTTTAAGTGCAGCGAAGGAGATCATCCAGCACAAGCTGCAGGACGAGCGCTGTGCTTTCGCCAGCAAGCGAGAGCAGCTCTGGAACGAAATAGAACGAGGTGAACGGCTCTAGAACGCAAGATCGAAATGGTGCAGGGACTGGAGCAACGTCTGAGCGTGCAGGCGAGAGAGTCCGCAGCACTGCAGCAGCAGCTTCACACACTGATTGAAAAGGACACTGAGGCTAGAGCGAGACACGCTCAGCTTCAGCAGGAGGTAGAGAGATTGCAGAAGCAGCTCAAAGAGCAGAGTGAAGCATTTGAACTGGAACGCGCACAATGGACAGCAAAGAACTGATGCAGGTGGTCGGGATATGCGAGGACTGGAATCGTCGCTTTTGAGGGCGTTGCCTCATTTGCGCGGTTTACTGGAAGAAGTTGATCGAGAGCTTGGGGGTTCAAGTTTAAGAACGCAGAATTCTGGTACGACCGACCAGGCACAAGCCGCTATAGATGCCGCGACAGTCGATCTCACCCAAGCTGAAGATGACAGTCCACCACCGAGAGAGCAGCAGCAAAGTGCGTTCGATGAGGAGCGCGCACAGTTGCTGGAGCAGGCAAGCGACGCTGCCAGGACCCAACAGGACGTTAGCATCCGCAACTTAGCACAACGGGAGGGGATGCTGACGTGTCCGATATCTCTGGAATTGTTCGTGGATCCAGTGGTGAAGAAATGTTGCGGAAAGACGTTCTCGTCGGAGGCACTACGCCAAGCGCTGATGAGAAGCTCGCTGTGTCCGTTCTGTCGTGCACCCACGGTGTCGTTTTATCCGAACCGTGACGTGGCGACACTGGTGGAGCTCCATCGCGCGGAGCGTTCAGTTCTCGGACTACCTGAACTCCCTGCACCAAGCAACGACGAAGCAGTAGAGCGTGGGCCGCCTATATCCGACGCGACTTGCTCTACCATAGTCGAAGCTCCACTAGCACCCGTCAAAGTCGACATCGAGATCAACGCAGTGAGCGGGTGCACTTACGTTCGTTGTTTATTCGGCCCCGACTTATCGAGACTGGTGAGCAGCAGACGCCTACTGCATCGAGAAATGTTGGGAGTGCTGCTCCAATTGCTCCGACTGCGAGTGCTGATGTTGCAGAACCCAGAATTCTTACACCAAGGGCTGCGCCAAGAAACCATGAAGATATCCTACCGGCAGGACCACTGAGTGGAGCTTTGCGCAGAGTGGGGTTTATCTCCTTGGCCTCCTTTTTCCAACTTGCTGGATCACCGACTGCCATAGGAGGTGGTCAAAGTCGAAGAGCAGAACCGCAGCAACATATCCGATATGCCCGAGGTAATAATGCTGCGCTTGGAAACGTTATCCAGCTCGCTCCACAAAATGATTTCCCACCTAGCTTGTCGTCGAGCGAGCCCGATGGCGGCCAAGAACGGGCGGGCGGGGCTAGGCACCGCGCATTGACTACAAGGCGCGATCACGACAGCCGTGGTTACTACGACTCAACCTCGACTTCGAGCTCGAGTTCCTGGTCAAGCTCCAGATCGAGCTCGTCAAGCTCCGACTCAAGCTCTGCCTCGAGTTCCGACTCGGGCCCGTACTAATGATCTCGCAAGAGGCTATCATTTCAAGCTTTTAGGCGTTCATGGCGCGAAATAGAACTGCAATCACAATGGATCTCTGTTCTAGGCGATCCGCTTCGAGTCCAGCGAGTCTTGGATGATAACTCGGACGGTGGCTTTGACTTGGATACGGACTACACTTGGAGTTAATACATTTTGAAGCTATAGATGTCAGGATGAAGTGTGGGGGCCACCTCAAGAGGAAAACAGGGAGATGCGGCTTAGCAGTCGTTAGACTTAAGTGATTACAATACCCCTGGTTAATTTAAAGAAAAGATTGTTGAATTTTTTCGGCAATACTTGGTGTTCTGTTCAATTACGCCATTTTGTGGAAGTAGCAGTCAGAATAGCTTTCCATCTTCTCGGGATCGCGCGACTTCTCACGACTCAGCTGAAAACTTGAGGCCGCCCCCAAGCAATTTTACGAAGTACAGGCGGCACCACGAGACAATAAACTCTAAGTCGTGAGAAGACGAGCACAAGCTGCAGAACAAGCGTGAAGTGGGATGGCTTTTGAAAGCAAGAACGAAGTAGTCGTGCAGGGACTGGACCAACCTTTGAGTGAGGAGGCGAGGGAGCCCGCCGCACTGCAGCAGCAGCAGCGGATGGGCTTCACACAACCCATCAATGCCCTGATTGGAGAGGGTGCTGATGCTAGAACTTTACAAGAGATAAAAGAGCGACTTCAGCGCGAGGTGCAGTTTTTGCGTGAGCAGCTTCATGAACAAGAGCGAGAGCGGTGGACACAGCAAAGAACTGATGCAGGTGGTCGAGGATTGGAAGCGTCGCATTTGAGAGCGATGCCCGATTCGCGCAGTACACTACTGGAAGCTGTGGATCGAGAGCTTGGGGCTACAGAAGTGCGCCCGCAGGAGGGCGGCACGACTGAGCAGAACCAAGCCGCTATTGCTGCTGCCAGGGCCTCCGGATATGGCATTTTTATTTAGTAGGTTGGGCGTTGCTGAATAAATTATTCCTACCAATACAACAGTACATTATGGCATTGCCCCGAACGTACCACAATAAATAATGCCATTATGAAAAGCATGAAGTCTATTAACAAGACACCAGTTAGCTTATCATCTAGCTCAAATTGTCCACAGTCGTTGCATCCCAGTACGACCGATTCTGGCGGAGAAACAAATCGTCTCAAGCGTGCGTGGCAGCAGCCGTGTCGTTGATGACCAAACGTCACCCGAGCAATGCTGAAGAAGCGTTCCACCACGTTCGACGTGGGTGGGATGCTCTTCAGCTGCTCATACTTGACACGGTCCTGTGCAAGCCGCCGGCGCTTCCGAAGACGCTCCACGAACGACGCGGCTGGATCCTCCTCCTCTTCACTCGTGGCCGCGTCGTCCGGTCTGGCAGCTTCGAAGGGCTGCAAAGCGGCCTTTTCAGCACGCGTCAGCCGCTGCGCCTTCCCGCGGAGAACGCGTACACACCCAGCCTCAAAATCTGGGTTGTGCACAATGTTGGCCCGAGGCCCTGCAAAGTAAAAACCATTATACAATTGTTAGTGAAAATATTAAACACAAATTCAACAGTTACAAACTTACCAATGTAGCGCGCATATTGTGGCTTGACAGCGATCAGCTCGTCGAACCACTCGCGAACGTCCAGCAGGTCGACGTCGTGGCCTTGAAGGGCCTTCGAGCCGACTCGATGTCGCACAGCTCCTGGTACAATGCCCGCAGTCGCTTGTTCATCGCCGGCGGCGGCAGCAGGTCCATGAGGTCGTCGTCTTCGGCGTCAAGAAACTCGAGGAGCTGGAGGTAGCGCCGTACCATCTCGAACGTAGAGCTCCAGCGCGTGTCCTGGCGAATGACAGGCCGAAGTGGCGTTTTCAACCTATTTTGTAAAAAAATTACAAAAGTACACAAATTGTGTTAGAAACATATTGACACACCACACATACACATTGGCGCTTACCGTAGTTTGGCAGATTTGGTGAGAGTACGCAATTTAGCCATGAGCGCCTGCACAGCAGCCAGGTCCTCCTCATGCGACGCCATGTCCGCCTGAACAGCAAGGTTCAGGCGGTGGCTTGCGCAACCAACAAGCGGCACACTCATAAGAGTTGCCAGCCGCCGGTTTACGGCGCAGTTGTCAGCTACGAGGAAGCGACACTGCGCCAGCTGTACGCCGGAATCGCGCGGCAGCATGGTCGCTAGAAATTCGAGATGGCCCTGCGCTGAGAGATCGTCGTCCAGCGCGTCCAGCAGCGGGGCCATGCTGAGTAGCGTTGTCTTGGGACAGCCGTTCACCTCATAGCACACGAACACGGCGATGTAGTGCTCAGATGCGTGTGTCCAGCCGTCGAGCATGATGCCGAAGCGTGCTGGGAGCTCCGACGCAATCGAACGCTCAACGGCGACAACGACCCCGTCCATGCCAGCCCGCAGCGTTTCCTCCGAGATGGGGTCCAGGCTGGAGTAGCTGAATAACATCCACAAAGTAAAGTTGTTAGTTTCCGTAGTAATGTAAACACAATGACCTTATGCATACACGTACCGCCGAGCTTCTCGGCTCTCACAAAAAGAGAGTGGCAGGTTGCACATGACAATCCAAACCATCCAGCCGTGGAGGTTGCGCGCCGAGTGGCGGACGAAGTTCACGAGGGAGCCTGTCTCCGCCGTCGTAGCGTCGAGCATGACGGTCTCGTAGTCAGGGTGCTCCCGCCTGATATTTTTCATCAGGTTGGAGTACCCGTTCCTATGGGTTTGCTTCCGAACCGTGCCGCAACGGCAACGGAAATACTCGAGAATCACCTCGTCGTTCTCGTCGCGACACGGGCGGAAGTAAAACCCCGAGACTTGGGAGTTCGCGTAGGTAGGGCGAGGGGGGCGTTTAGCGCGAACCATGCTGGATGAGGTCTTGGAGGCTTGAGAAGTGAAAATTGAAAAGTGAGCGCTGCCAAATGAGCTGCAACTAGCAACGCAGACAACCATTGATTCCAGTTCTTCTGAACGACTGGAAGCGAGAAGATGGCTGGTAAAACGCTAACATTATTATATAAAGGTAACTGTCATAAATTATGTAATATCACAAAGCACATCAATAAATTATCACGGTAGATGGCTGAACCCGCCGAAATGCGTAATTTATTGTTATTTTCTGAAATAATGTTATTGACAATGCTATTTTCGGAGGCTCTGGCTACTGCGACGGTTGATCTCACCCAGGCTGAAGATGACGCTCCAGAGCAACAGAGTTCAATCAGCGAGGAGCGCGCACAGATGCTGGAGCAGGCAAGCGACGCTGCCAGGACCCAACGTGACATTAGCCTCCACAACTTGGCACAGCGGGAGGGGGTGCTGACGTGCCCAATATCTCTGGAGTTGTTCGTGGATCCTGTGGTGACAATGTGCTGTGGCAAGACATTCTCGTCGGAGGCACTACGTCGAAAGCTGTTGAGAAGCTCGCTGTGTCCGTTCTGTCTTCATCACGAGTGTCGTTTTATCCGAACAGTGACGTGGAAACACTGGTGGAGCTCCATCGCGCAGAGCGTTCGATCCTTGGACTATCGGAGCTCCCACCATCAAGAACCGATGAAGCGGTAGAGCAACGACCCTATACGGTCGACGCCGGTCGCCCTTATCATTGCCGAAGCCGACACCGAGATCAGCGCAGTGAACGGGTGCATTCACGTTCGGGTGTTTTCATCGCCTACCACCTCGAACGGGTACGATTGTGGCAATTGTTGGACCCCCGCCGCCACATGCTGTGCCAAGAAGCACGGCTGCAGGTGCTAATGCCACTAACAGTACACTGGCGCATGCGTGGAGAAGTCATCAAGAACTTCCGGGGTCAGGGAGTGGAGGAACGCGCTGGGCGTATCCCCTACCGCGTCACCGTACGGTGAGAGTCGTCTTCTGTAACGGAGTACAACTCCGTTGATGACACCTAGAAGGATTACTCTGTGTTTACTTTAGTTCAGGTTAAGATGACGCTAGGTTTACTCTTAGAATGACTGGCTGCAAAAGAGCAGCAACAAAGAAGGAAAACCCGAACTAAGCCAAGCTAAATACACTTTTCATTCCGCTTTCAAGAGAGTAAAGCCTACGACGTTACATAGTAGCACTTGTCGTTGTCAAGTCCTCGGCGCCATCGAGCTACCGAGTCCAAGTTTCAGACCATCGAGTCCGAGTTCAGACCATCGAGTCACGAAGCCATCGAGCCGACCCAAGTGTAGCCATCGAGCCGCACCAATATGGACGCCAGCAACGCGCCACAAACGTTTAGTGAGATGTTGTGTAACGGGGTTACATGGAATAGTGACCCTGTCACTATTCCGGGATGGCTACATCGGTCACTCCCCTGGATAGTGACCCAAGTAGCCTCAGAGCCAACAGATACATTTTGTATGACACAAACTATAGGGAACTTAGGATTTGTATGCAGGCCAAATCTGTACCAACCTATAAATACATTCAGTCTTAGATCTACCGCTTTTCAAGTCAAGTCGTCCCCTTCAGACCAGGGACACGTGAACGGCTGTTCACTTGGAGTTTGTATACTCCTGCTTCCTCTGTTAAGAAGTGTACGCCTACGCGGGTAGATTGGACTACCTGAATCCTCTGTGGTCTCATCGAGTGAGCCAAGATGGATCGTACGGAGTTTCCCCATCTGAACGACTCGCAGTACGAGTCCGTTCGTAAGATGGCAGGCAACTTTGGGACAGATGCCCTGCGTAGCTTAGCGGCGGCGACGCCGGCTGAGCAGGTTGAGCGTATCAACGCGTTCGACACCTACGAGCGAGGGCTCATCGCCCACGTTCAAGGGCTGCAGGCCACTGCGGCCGCGCCGAAGCCGGTGCAACCGAAGCCCCTGCGGCTGAAGGTTCACCCCTTCGAAGGGAAGGAAGGAGAAAACCTTCACTTCTGGGTTCGAGATGTTGAGCTCGCGATGGACGCGGCTCTCGTCTCGGACGAGCGACTCCGTGTCGCCTTTGCGCTCTCCAACCCTAGTGGTCGCACTAAGAGTTAGGCGTATACGCGCGAAGCGACGACGCGTGGATGCTTCGCATCATGGTCCCAGCTGTGCGAGCAGCTGCGGGCCGCGTTTCTTCCGGCGAACTACGAGTACCGCCAGCGTTCGCGCTTCCTCGCCTGCAAACAAGGAAGGCGCGAGCTGCATGAGTACATCCAGGAGATGCGAGTGTTCACTGCCTCTTTGGTGGGGAACCCCCTGCCTGAACACATCAAGGTGACCGTGTTCATGGACGGTCTGCGTGTCGGTCCTGCCTGCACGCAACTGTTCCGTGTGCAAGCAAACACTATGGAGGAGGCGATTCAGATCGCCCTCCAGGAGGAGTACAGCCACAAGCAGGCTCGTACCCCCGCCACGGTATGGCAGAGCAACCCTGCCTCTGGCGGTGCGCCTAATGGTAACTCCGGCAATGAAGCGATCAACGGGCCGGTTCCCATGGATCTGGGCATGGCCGAGCAGAGCGACATTCGCTGCTACGGCTGTGGCAAGCTTGGGCACATGAAACGTGCTTGTCTCGCGGGAGGACTGAAGAAGAAGTTCTCTTCGAAGCCCTTTGGCTCTAGGGGTCGCTGGCAGAAGCCGCGCCCCAGGAACCAGGGGAACGCCGGACACCAGTAGGGGCGGGGCGCCCTACTGGGGAAACACTAAGTCTTCATGAGGGGCGTGCGGGTGGCGCACGCCATGGGGACTTAGCCCCTGAGAGTCTCTGTACTCTCGAAGCGGAGAAGGGCAGCGGTGGGCTGCTTGTGGTGCACGCGAGTGTACCGGGATACGATCATCCCTTGAGAATCTTGATCGACTCTGGGGCGTCCAAGAACTTTGCGCGCCGCCAGACTGTCGCCCGCAATCGCGACAAGTGCCGATGCGCTACGAGGCAGCAAAGGCAACGGGCTGGTCTCGGTAAGACTGGCCGACGGTACGGTGGTAGAAGTACCTCGGGTCCACATGGACCTCACTGTCAAGTTCGAGGACTTCGACAGCACGGAGCCGTTCTTGGTCCTAGACATGGACAAGTACGACTTGATCCTTGGCATGCCGTGGCTGGAGAAACACGAGCCTTGGATCGACTGGCGCGGCAAGGCCATCGGGGCCAGCCGTCCCCCACGCTCTGAAAGAGCTTTGGTGAGTCATGTTCCCACCTCTGGCAGCAGCTGGGGCACCCACGAGGGCCGCCAGGGCGCAGCAGCGTCTAATGAGTTCTTGGGGTCCGTCGAGACTGACGACGACTCCGACCGGGCCGGACAAGGCCTGAGAGTGGAGGTGCCGGACAGCACCTACCAGGTGGGTAACGTAGGTCCACACGCGGGTAACGAAGTACCGCAGGCAGCAAGGGCTGCTGGAGAAGGCGCCGCTGGCGTTGGCGTGGGTAACCAAGTTCCACGCGAGGTCACTCAGACCGTAACTGATGAGGAAGGCACTGCAGGCGCTTCCGATGTGGGTAACATAGTTCCACAGGAGGTCACTCAGACCATAACTGATGCGGGAGTCGCTGGAAGCGCTCCTGGTGTGGGTAACATAGTTCCACCCAGCAAGGCGGGTAACCAAGTTCCGCTCAAGAACAAGGCGGGTAACCAAGTTCCGCTCAAGGACAAGGCGGGTAACGTAGTTCCGCACGAGATCGAGAAGATCGGTGGTGCCGTCAAGGCGGCGCCACGAGACGAAGACACCCGAGGGTCACGTCGTAAGCCGGGCCTAGTCGTGTGGCCGATGACGCCAGTCGCCAGCGACTCCGAGCCTCCAGCCAAGGCTCCAGCCGCCGAAGAGTGTTATCACATCTTCGACGGCGTGACCGGTAGTCGGGTCAAGACAGGAGCTGTCGAGCTTACAGCTCTGCCCGAGGTTTCAGAGTTGCTGAACCTTGGGGAGCTCGCCATGGAGGACTTCTTGGCCGAGCTAATGGCGGGGGAGATCGCAGAGTTGGTTCTCCTCCGACCGGAGTCCACGTCGGCCGAGTTGAACTCGTCCTCGGTCATGGACCAGGCAGTCCTGGAGGAGTTCCAGAGACAGCGCGCGTCGCGCATGGGCTCTGAGATTCTTAAGAACCCCCGGGACCCGGTGTACCCCTTGGTGAAGGAGTTTGAGGACGTGGTGTCCAAGGATCCACCGTCCAATCTCCCTCCGGACAGGGGAATCAGGCACGAGATCGATATCGTGCCGGGCACGAAGTACTACGTCACGAGGCAATGGCCTCTTCCCCGGGAGCAGTGTGAAGTCATTGATGCCTTCTTTGCCGCCAAGGCGGAGGCAGGCATGGTGCGGGAGTCGAAGTCCCCGCACTCGACGCCTACCTTCTGTGTTCGCAAACCGAACGGAAAGTGGCGTCTGGTTCATGCTTATAACAAGCTGAACAGCGCGACAGTGCCTGCGCAGACACCGATCCCGCGCAAGGACGTGTTGCTCAACAACATGGCCGGCTGCATGCTGTATAGCGCGCTGGACCTGGTGGACGGATACTACCAGATCTTGATGCGCGAGAGTGACATCCCACTCACGGCTGTGAGCACGCCGAGCGGTATGCTCTGGGAGTGGCTGGTCATGCCACAGGGGCTTTCTAACGCCCAGGCAACGTTCAATCGCTTAGTCACACAACTGTTCCGACCTTTGCGTGCGTTCACACAGACGTACTTTGACGACATCTTCGTCCACAGCCGTGCCGAGGCATGCCAGACGGCCATGGAGGTGCATCTCCAGCACCTTCGACGTGTGTTCGAAGTCATGCGGGCGAACAAGCTGTACGCCAACATCGACAAGTGTGTGTTCGCAGCTGAGGAGATCAAGGTCCTGGGCTGCTTCGTCAGCAGCGCCGGGGTCCGGGCGGACCCAGAGAAGGTGAAAACCATCGCGGCTTGGCCGCCACCTCGGTCGCAGAAGGACCTACGACAGTGGTTGGGCCTCGCCAACTACCTGCACAAGTATAGTGCAGGCTACGCCGAGCTGGCACGGCCCTTGTCGGATCTCCTGAAGAAGGATGTCGACTGGCGCTAGGAGCGTCGCCATCAAGATGCTTTTAACGACATCAAAGCGAGCTTACAGCGCGCGCCAGTCCTGGCATTGCCGGACGAGACGAAGCCTTTCAGCGTAGTCTGTGATGCGTCTGACTACGCAATTGGCTATGCGCTATTGCAGGCCGACGATGAAGGCCGCGAACGGGTCATCTCGTTCCAGTCCAGGCAGCTCAAGGCAGCCGAACGGAACTATCCAGTCCACGAAAGGGAGCTACTTGCCATGAAGTACGCTCTTGTCAAGTTCCGAGTGCACCTCCTGGGCTCGACGCCCTTTGTCGTTTATACAGACCACGCGTCCTTGCGGACTGCCGTCAACACGCCGCATCTCTCACAGCGGATGGCGCGTTGGCTGTCATTCTTCGTGGAATACAACTTCCGTGTCGAGTACAAGCCGGGCAAGTTGAACGTGCTTGCCGACGCGCTGTCGCGCCGACCCGACTACGAGCTTGCTCATATTAGTCGGGTCACGACGGATCTGTATGGGGTACCGAGACGATGCCAGTCTCGAACCTCTTGTGCGGTTCTTGGCCGCTGGCTTGGAAGCCAAGGCCGAGTGGCTCACGCCC